ACTTTTTGCACGGCGAATCCCTTTTTTGTTGAATTAGAGTGTTGTGTTAAATCTTTAAGAATTCGCCTTTATGAGGATAGTGTACTAAATAAAGATGGATTTTGTTATTGGTTCCTGACTCAAACATTCTTTACGGGCGCCTCTGCGAAATTTCCTTTATTTGGCTAGTAATTGATGCAACAGTCTGCCTCCACCCAATTACATCTGCTTCTATTTACATCCAACTATCTTCGATTTTTATTCTGAAGAACCCATAATCCTAAATACAACCATTTTTTACCAATGGTTACGACACCTAATGCATTGTCTGTTAAGTAATAGGTTCTTCTGCGTTATGTTTAGGTTTATATAGGATGAAATTGAAACCAAGCGAAATTGAGCAACTTCTCACCATCTGCCCTAAAAGCCTTGATCCCTGGACCCTAGAACCACTGCACTCGGTTGCTTTTTTCGACCCACTTATTAACCAGGAGGAGCTTCCTCTCTCTGAGGCACGACCACCCATTTCCTTTCCTGACCCCTCCCTCCCTCTCGCCCACTTCGATGCTGAGGTGCCTCGTGATTTCGACAGTGGTGAGGTCGTCGACGATTATATAGTCTGCTCCTGCTCCGGCAATCTTTTCCCTTCCGACGCCACTTCGGCCTCAAATCTAACTTCTCAGGAAACAGCATCGACAGTGGATTCGTTTTTGGCAGATATTTGTAAATTACTTTCGCCATCCTATAGTAATGATGGCAAAAGCCTTCTAAAAGAATGCTTCACTAATATTCCCACAGTTTCTGCGGATAGCTTGGTTGATGGTTATCTCTCACTTTGCTCTGAAGAATTTCTCCCACTTTGTGCTCAACCTAGCCGGGAATCGACAAGTAATGCAGGTGACGTTGAATCGGATAGCAGACTAGAAAAAGGTGGCAAGGAGAGGAAGAAGGATAAGGTTGACCTTGAAACTCAGGCTGAATTTATGAAGCTACTACGCCATACTAGTAATGAAGTAACTTCGCATGCAGTGCTGGTATGTTTTACTGATCGCTATTCAGTAATAGGATGCATTTGGAATCTACCATCATTTGAAATGTGGGTCACATCGATAATAAAATTCTGGCGCCAATCATAATGACCAAATTTCATATAGGAGAATTAAAAAGTCCGAAAATCGTCATGCAGCATTGAAATCTTGGAGTAAACCCTATGCTTCGTTAACTTTACCGATTTGTGATTTTTTTTTCTGAAGTCTCTAAACTCCTCGAAACTGTTGGTAGATTAGCACCATTGTAATTCTCCCCATCTTCCATTTACTTCTGAGTGAAATTATGTTTCATGCAGTTGACCACCTGAATGTATTCTCCCATTCGCGAGGTTAATGAACTATCTTGCATAATTTGTGAGTGGGATCAGCCACTTTAATTGACAGGGTTAAGTCATTACGCTTTGTGATCGTAGCGTAACATAGGGGATCCTCGCGGTTGGCCAAGCACCAGTCCAAATATGTAGTTGAGGTACATGTGGTTTTCATTCACGCATGCGGTAGGAGAGCAGCACAGAGATGCTGGCACCATTGACGGAACTGATTCCTGACCCAGCGTTTGAGTGGCCATTCGAGCTGGACACCTTCCAGAAGCAGGCGATCCTCTGCCTGGAGCGCAACCAATCTGTCCTCGTGGCGGCACACACCTCGGCAGGTAAAACAGTGGTAGCGGAATATGCGTGTGCCATGTGCAAACGCCGCGGCTCCCGCGCCATATACACCAGCCCCATCAAAGCTCTCTCAAACCAAAAATTCCGTGACTTCAGGTACCCACTATCATCAGTCCCTACTGTGGCTTTACTTCTTTTTATCATTTGTCTCACCGTTGGCTAACGATCGCTGTTATTGTCCACCTCTGGGTGACCTTGTCGTTCTAGTGACCATCGCATTTTCCTGCGGAAATTAAGTTGTAATCAACCAGAACCAGTGAAGCAGTAGTAGTAATGAATCGTTTCAATTTAGAATCGTACAAATTACTTTCAGTAGACCTCTGGAAATATTATGTGTCGGGACCTAGACAATCTCGAAAGCAATCTTGTGTGGACGCAAAACGCCTTGACTTCAACTATATTTTACTTGGAATGCGATTATTAGAATTGTCGGACTTATAATATTCTATTTTTAGGACGAAACTTATTTGAATTTGACGAAGACAAAGGTTACACTTACAGCAAATTTCTTGAGTAACCGATTGAAATTGGGATCAAGTTTGAACTGATTCAAACCAGTTCGTTTAAACGTCTAAGAACGGTGCTTCTCAAGCAAAGAATAAAACCGTTTATATCTTTTCTACGTACTGAATATTTCATATTACCTGGGAACTTTATTGTCCCATTCAGTTGTAGCATCTTTGTTTTATTTCGACGTTTACTGCAGCTGCCCTACCTATTATTTTTGTTTACGGTGGTGTCACTTACTTTACATTATTGGCGTGAAGCTTATAATTTGTGATATTGTGGTTACTGTGACCAGAAAGGCATGTTCGACATTTCGACAAAACATTTGAAGGTCCTTCTTTTCGAAATGATCCTCTCCCTCTAATAGTACCACGAACAATCCTTCGCGAAGTTGTATCTATTGAGGATTCCTCAGTGATCTTTGTGATTCTACAGCATAAATCAATTCACGATAGTGACCACGGTGAAGAAATAGATATGAGTGAATTTGTGTGGCGTCATTTGAAATTTACGCAATTTACGGTGATATGTTTCCTCAAATTTCTGTCTAACTATACACTTTAAAAAGGTGAAATTAAACCTAAACTGTTCATCCGAATCTCATCTGTTTCATAAGATTAATTAAAACTTTGCCCAAGAGTTATACCCACTGTCCGTAGGACAAATAAATCTCTTAATCATATCGCTTGGTATAGTGCTAATTACAGCTACTATTTGCAATCAGCATCTCCGTGCTTAAAACGGTTCTCTGCAATAGCAGTTTGCTGAATCCGATATATAGTGTCTACTTACTTTAAACATTTTCATGCGTGATTATTTTGAAAGATTACGGGGCACAGTAAGAACTTAGGTCTATATTCCACCGCGCACGCCTAGGCAGACGTTCGGAGACGACGTGGGCCTTCTGACGGGCGACATCAAGGTGGCCACGAAGTCGAGCATCCTCGTGATGACCACAGAGATTTTGCACAACATGCTCTGCAATTCCGCTGACACAATCCGCGACCTCGAGATTGTCATCATGGACGAGGTATTTTTTCCCTTCCCTCTCCACCTCTAGGTTGCGTTGAGTTGTTGGACTGATGTATCCTGTTCTCTCACTTGATGATGTCAATAGCATTAAGAAAATAAGAATTTTCCTAGTTATAAATTCTGTGCAAACGAGGTAGGTCCTCCCTCTCACTCCCTACTACCAATGCCTGCTCATTTCACTTTTCATGGCTTTGCTTGAAGATTGGTTGTCGTTCAGTTGAGTATGAGATGTATTTTGCACCCCAATATTGCCTTCCTTTATTAAACTCAGACCCGTACCTTCTGTTTAAATCTTTCTTTGTCTGGAGTTTGATTGGTTAACATTATTACAATTAGGTTATGAAGCATTATATTAAGGTGTGTAACATTTTTAACGTTCCAAGCTTAATCGTCTCCTCTATTCCAGTAGGTACTTTGAGTTTGGTGCAACTATGGTAAATAATGTGCCAAATCTAAGGAAAGTTTTACTGAAATTTAAAGCGGAAAAGTAGCATAAATATAAGGCTTAAGTGATGGGATTTTCGTTCGTTTTGCTTGAGGATAGCCATTGCAACGAAAGGGCAGTCGTGTTTATGTGAATTAATTACTTTCTAGTAAAGAATAGTTTTCGGAAAACGAGAGATCTATTAGTCTGTTTAGTATTTTGCATTATTACTAGGCTATCTTCTGACCCAAAGTGTTGGTGGAAATTTCCACCTGGTTTTCTTTGCTATTCTGTGTATTTGATGCTTTATTATTGCATGGCTTTCACATGTTCAGTAGTCACATTCTTTTTATGGGTTGCAAAAATGTATATACTCGTTGGTGCTTTCTGCTTGACAATAATTAGTCCATGGCTTATCCAATCTCTATGGGTACAAATGAAAATATGTATAGAAGGTACTTTGTTCCAAGTTCCGCTAATGTTTTCGTAATTTTGTCGAAATACAATTTTCGCCAAATGTGTCTGCCACACGACGGTGTATCGAAGATCCTTCACTTAGCACTTTACCATGTTTGCTGTCAGCGTCACATACATCTATGAAGTCCCGTTTATAATACCTGAGCTCGCTCATTCGCACGAATATGTAGCAGGTATTCTTTGCCATTTTGTGATAGCTGGGTGAAATAAAGGATTAAGCCAAAAGTTGAGTAGGTCGAAAGAGTTGGTGGCAAGTGCTGTCGTGTTGGAACATTTGAATGTCTGGATGAACATGTCAGAAGAGTTTGGAATCACTTCGGATCTTGTTTAGTTCTAGCATTTCTACATATGAAAACCGGTTGACAAGGCGTAGTGGTAGCATTAGGCGGTCAGGCAGACAAAGCGAAATTGTGATTGCGCTGACATCTGATAGGTACACTACATGAACGACAAGGACAGGGGCCACGTGTGGGAACAATTAATGATCCTACTACCACAGCACGTGCTGCTGGTGCTGTTGAGCGCCACACTGCCCAACGCTCTTGAGTTCGCAGACTGGCTGGGCCGCATCCGTGGCGGCACCACTATTCACGTCTGCCAGACGCACCGGCGCCCCGTGCCCCTTGAGCACCACCTCTACACCGGCTGTGACTCCGCTACCCGTGAGAATATCTACCTCGTGGTCGACAAAGAGGGTCGGTTCAACCGTGAAGGTGAGCTGTCTTCCTCTCCCTACCCCTTCTCTACTTCCCTACATCGTGCAGTGATTCCTGCGTGGTTACCTCTGTTGGCGAGTGGACACTTGTTTTGCGTAGGGTCTGCTAAGTTTTATGTAAAGTAAGAAAGCTCATTAACTTTTGGTCCGCAATAGTATCACTTCCGTCGAAACACCGGGAATATTGATAAAGTCTCCGTAGGTAATTCAAAAGCACATGCTTTCTGATGAGCTTTTTTTCTTGCCTCAACTCCCCCCCCAAAGCGTATTATTGGCACTTTTTAATCAAGTTTGTATTCATTTGCTCATTAAAACTATCCACGTACTATAACTCACTGGTTAGTAGGAATTTTTTTCCGCGTCTCATAGTGATCTCTATTATTTTCTGTTTCTGTCGACGGATGAAAACTTATTTTTCAAGGTCTGTAGAAAGTAGTTAAATCGAAAATATGCGTTAGATTATGTCCTGCCTACGGAATTACTTCTCCATAGACGTTGAGATGACCTGAAAAATTTTCATTGGTGATACAAAATGGGATTTCTCGGGCTTTTTTGTGATAAGGAGACACCTAATTACGATACTTTTGTTATTCATCCGATTTTGGCTTACCATTCAGTTAAAATTGTTTCATATGCCTTGTTATGACTCCTTTGTCTACCCTTTTTAATCTGTAGTCAATGCGAACTGTAAAGATCCCACAGTTTCATAAAGAGGACTTACAAAGGTTAATTCAAAACAGTTATGTTATCAGACAAAAATGATACATTTGCTGCCTGTGTTACCTTGAAGAAAAGAAGTGGTGGTCAATTAATATGTTTCTAATTCCCAAACCATTATTTAATAACTAGTTTCGGCTACCATGCTTTACTTAGCATGGCAAGACTTTATCTAATGGGGTCACTAAGACTGCGATTTTTTATCCCCTTATTGCCATCACACGATGTCTTTCCATTAGAAGGATTAGAATTAAATCTCAGCACCGTATTTCATGGCGGTCTATATATTCAGACTCACAGCACACCACTTTTCGCATTACCTCACTCAGACAATTCCTCGAACTAAATGGAGGACCTTCTTCAAAACCTTTTCACACTGAGTGTTTTGGGGCTCCAAATGTTGATGGAGCTAGCGTGATCAAATAAAACATTTCCCTCCCCTCTATCACGACACCTAGGTTACCAGGATGCCAAGAACTCGTTGATTAAACCCAGAAAGATGAGCAAGAAAGGCGACGTCTCCAAGACCGTGGTGACTGATGCTGCTGTTGATCCCGATGAAATTTCCCGCAAGGAGGCTAAACGGAAACCCAAATCTCAATTTACCGGGGGTAAGATCAACACCCCTGGTAGACAAAACTATATTCCTAAAGGTAAGCGACGATGTTTACAATTCTATGTTCGTTAACCTCAGTTCTTCGATGCCTCGGCTATCCTGTTACCCTTTCGATCATGCACTTCTATATCCAGGTTTAACAAAGTTTATCACAGGATTCTTAAGGGAGAATTGCACAAATAACAGTTCTACTCGAAATCACCGCACGTTTCTATTAGTATACCTCGCTTATTTGACTTTCTACCACTGAGTTTGGGAGCTGAATCTCCTATGCTTCCTTTAATAATTCTCTATGTGAATCTGCTTCGACACAGCTACGGAGGGTTACAATCGCAGTGGCAAGTCGGATATAACGGTGTGGTCTGGACTGATTCGCATGCTGCAGGAGCATGAGCTCATGCCCGTCATCGTTTTCTGCTTCTCTCGCGCCAAAATCAACAACCTCGTGCAATGTCTCAATTCTATTGACCTCCTCAACAAAAGTAGATTCTCATTCTTTATTTTTCCTGTTTTCCTCTTATAACGAAAACATTTACACTGGTAAAAGACAAAGTAATCATGGTCAGAGGTCGGATATACGAAAACAGTAAGGTTTATTCTCTTCTCCCTTTTTATCAGTAAACCCAAAATATAGTATGTGGGTCGGTAGTGTCGCTCGAAAATCGCTCCACGTGAGCGTTTTTAGGTCCTCTGTTTCTGCTAAAGCTTTCTTGCATGTGTCCGTAGACCTGTTGGTGGGGGCTATTTATTTGTGATAAATGGCAATTGAAATTGGTATTTTAGCTACGGGTCTTTGTTCTGCCGCCGTCTAGAGGAAGGGAACATCGCCCCAGTCTAAGGCATTTTTGCTCTAAAATTCATGCGACTGGCAAGGTATACCATGCTGGACTTCGATGCAATTGTCTTATTCTTGATTTAGCGGAGAAGAACGAGGTAGTAACGTTCCTACGCGCGGCCATAGGGCCTCGACTGAAGGGCTCGGATAAGTTGCTCTCTCAAGTCCTTCTTGTCCGCAATCTCACGGTCCGCGGCATTGCTATCCACCACGCCGGTATGCTGCCTCTCCTCAAGGAGGTATGCTACACTTGCCTCTGTGGTATTTACTCCAATCGCTCTCGGTATTGCATAGTTTGAAAATCCATTTTTTGGCTTCTTGTAAAAGTAAAATGAACTTGTGGTTCAGAATCGGGCAGTTTATGTGCGCTAAGGTGGTAAGGCATAATTCCTTCTCCCCAGTTTATCGAAAAGTGTTTATCTCGATTGCCATTTTATCCTCGAGTTAGCATCAACTCCTCACATTAAGGAGATCTTCCTAGGAGTACCCCCTAGTAATTTTACGTTGTTACAATGAATAGTTATTCAAAAGTTTTTAATCTTTGTCCTTGCAACTACATGGCAATTAACAAATATGGTCGGTTAAAAAGCCTTTCAACCCAAATGTGGAACCATAGAACTTGTGAAAAGATTGAACTCTGTTGCTTTTCTTCATTATAAAATGGAGTAATGTACTAAATTAATGTATTTTTAAAGGCCCTCACACTTCTATTTAATATATTGTGTTTGTTGGTCTACACTAGTGTGCTTTTCCGTTTTTCTGTCTTTTCAACATACAGTCAAGGAAAGTGGTATTTTCGTTTGCCCCACCTTCCCATTTACCGTATGCTCGTTTTAGTCGGATATTTCAACAAGAATTTACTGATTAGAAGTCAACGCTTCTCTTGGCTAGGTTGTGGAGATGCTCTTTCAACGGGGTTTGGTGCGAATTCTCTTTGCTACTGAGACCTTCGCCATGGGTGTCAATATGCCTGCTCGGAGTGTCATCTTCACGGCTATTCAAAAGCACGACGGCGATCAGCGCAGACCACTCACTGCAGGTACTTCCTTTTGTTAACTGCTCCTACCCATACTCCTTTTCATAATCGGAAAAATGGTATCAGGTGCCTTTTTTATGTAATAGGTCAACCCCATGAGTGATTATTTTGTAGTAACAGTTTATTTCACTCGAAAGGCGAGTACACTCAGATGGCAGGCCGAGCGGGTAGACGCGGCTTGGACTCTACGGGAACGGTGATCATAGTGGCGAACAACTGTGACAGCCCTATGCCTACTGACCTCCAGCTGCAGCAGATGCTCCTTGGCCAAGCCACTAAACTGACATCGCGCTTCAAAGTCACTTACTCAATGATTCTCTACCTCCACCGTGGCAATCTCCAGACACCTCAGGTTAGCCCACTGTCTCCTCCTCCCTTAGGTAGATCACTCTCTCACTAACCCTGAGATTACTGATGGTGTTTGCTCGACTTAGGAGCTGATTCACCAGAGCTTTATGCATGCGAATGACCTGCGCTACGAACTGGTGCGGAAGTGTCAGCTTGATTGGCTGCGGCAGTTGGTAAACGCATCGACAGTGCACAAAGCGACGCCCCGGACCCTCATCGGTAAGGCGGCCCCCGTCACTGTCTCCATTCAGGCCGATGACGACGCGCTCCTCACTCATGCTGAGGTACGCTGTCCTGCCTACCCTCTCGACTCTCCGGACTCCACTGCGACGCCCTGTGTCGAGGCGATTGCCGGCTATTACCTTGTGCGTGGGTGCTTTCCTCTTCACACTCATCTAAGCCTTCTACTCATATTTATCCCCATGTGTTCATTAGGCGTGCTGTCGTTGGCGCGAGCTCTCGTACACGTGTTCGAGTGCTGCGGGGAATCAGCCTTTGTCGACACTTAGCAAGGTCTTCTCTCCCGGCCGCCTGGTACAGCTTCAACTTTCTACTGAGTCGATGCGTTCGGCAGTGCAGAACATGTCCGGCGGGCGTTTCGCCGCCTATGTTGGTTCTAAATGCGTACCCAATTGGATCACTGTGGGCGTTGTCCTTGAGATTACAAGGGTTACCAACGTAGTGACGGTATGTGAGAGTGATTTGGAGGGTCGGTTCGATGAAATGTTGGTTTATTCTATTTTCTTGATGTTGATCTCCTGTTACATGCATGCACTTATTGAAGTTGTGTGGAGGGGTAAGTTGAACCTTAAGCATTGTGCATAATCAGAACCGATCAGTTATCCTTAAACTGCTTTGACCAACCACTGTTCATAATATATTCTTTTCCAGCTCACAGTCGTGACCTGGGAGCTGCCGTCTTCACCAATGGGTGATTGTGCAACAATAATTGGAGGGACTCCAGAGGAGGAAGATATTCTTGTCGATGGAGAACAGCTACAGTATGGGTGCACACCCTTTCCACCTCATCTGATGCCAAAGTACTGTCCCAAAGTATGTAATGTTCCCTTGTATAGTTCCACAATGATCTGGGAAAATGTAGCTTGGTTCTAAAGTTAAATAACTTACCGTATTCTTTTCTAGTTGAGTCTACCAGCTGAATGCTGATATCTTTTTTTCGTCCAGTCGCAGGAGGAGAGTAAATTACGTCTTGCTGTGGTGACGGAGGTGCCGCTAACCACGCTTCTAGGCGTCAGTTGCAGCACTGTAGAAGGCGCCAGTGACAAAGCCTTTGTGGAGACGGTGTTGCGCGACCTTACTTGGTTCCGCCAGCAGCAGATGGCCTCTGCTGAGGGTCTCCATGTCGTGGTGCAGAAGAAACGCGACGACGATGCAGGTGGTTCTGCCGCGAGACGCCGACAGGTCTGTCCTCTCTCTGCCACCAATGAGGCTCTCTTCACTGCCGCTACCGCTATTGCCACCTCCGCAGATGAAAGCGGAGGGTTCGAGAGCATCCCCTTCTGGCAGCACCTTGGTCTGGATGGCCCCGAGGTGGAAGAGTGGATGGCGCTGACGGAGGAGCTAAGCGCTCCTCTCGTCGAGCACCGCCTCTCGTCCGAAATGTCCGCCTGTGCGAATCTCATTGCCCATCTGAGTCTCATGCACCGGGTCACGCGGCGTCGGTGGGCCATCAAACGCCTCAATGCAAAGCTGAGCAGGAATCAAGATACCCTGCTTGACGATTACGAGGCTCGGGTCCGTGTTCTCGAAGAACTTGGCTTCCTTGACAAGGATACCCGATCTGGCTGCCTCACGCGCAAGGGTACACTTTTCTTATAACTGCCTGCATAGACAGCCCGCAGTGTTCACGTTACTTCTGTAGATACATAGGATGGTCTATCATTTTTTTATTAAAATGCCGTAGTTGCACACGGGAGAGTAAAAAAATTCCTGACTAATCCTGAATCCGTAGTGTAGTAGACCGAATATTCTATACAATAAAACCCAATAAACTCACTCATTTTTATCCCAAATGCATTAACCCAGCAATTTGACGGACCCGCTCCCCCTTCTTTATTTGTTTATTATTTTATTTAAGTGTTACTCAATGTGCTCTCCAATATTTTTAAAATTATACTTTTGTACTTACTGTATTGTGAGGTCTGATTTACATATGTGTTGCCGGCGCCACCACTCACTACTAGTGGTCGTAAGCAATATTCATTCAGTTGCGCATTGGTGTCAATTCGGAACTCCAAAGAACTTGAAATGCCCAGTAATGCACTCGCCTTTGTGAAATTGATTGCTCAAAAGTTGGACTTTTAAGCAAAGATCCGTGTGTGTTTACTGCTCCAAATTATGTGCTGGAGCTTGTTAATTCTTTCAAATAAAGTGCTTTTAAGAAGCATCGTTTCACAGAACTGCGATGCATTTATTTCACTCCGCAACAATTTTTATAGACATATTCTTGAAATGATTCCTGTTACTGTTAATAGAAAAGCATGAGGCAAATTTCAATTTCAGGATATTCCGATAGAGTGCGGGATATTTCGGTTGAATATACATAGTTATTTCATGCCATTTGTGATGTATTTTTAACCTTTTTTTGGACTGAATATGTATGTCCAAAGCTATGGTGTGAGGCCTGTAAGTAAGGTTTCCTCTTTTCCAACAGGTAGAGTGGCCTGCGAATTGCAGCAGATGGAGGTGTTGCTGTCTGAGATCCTTTTTGATGGCTCGATAATCCAGCTTTCGCCTCCAGACATAGCTGCCCTCCTCTCCTGCTTTGTCTGCGAATCAGGGATGGCTGGTATTGGCGGTAGCGGAGGTGGTGGCGGGACAAAAACGTCGAAGAACGACCCCCTTGCACCCCGCGTGGCCCTCGTCTCCCGTGAGGAGATAGAAAATGCAGCTACTGCCTCCACCTGTGACCCAGCTGACCTCTTTCCCTTGCCCGCTACTGTACCTGAACATCTTCAGTCAATTGTTCGCCTCATGCTCACCAAGGCTGAGCAGGTTAGACCCCGTTACATCTCCCCTACTTTTTCACGATCATACGCCGGAATTTCAATCTCCATAATTCAAGCACGGCGTTACATTTATAACGCTCAGAAGTGTGTGCTAAATAAGTGTGTGGGTTCTTTCGTAAGGGTTTAGATTATTTAGAATTTAGCATATGTAGCCACTTAATTAAAATTTGTTAAAATCTAATTTAATTTTGGGCTTAGTTGTTTAAATTCATTTTCAGTGCCACCTGTGATGTAATTGTAGCGAGTTTTGCATTTAATAATGCAACTACACCATCGTTTCTCCCCATCTTAAATATTTTAGTACTAACTTCTCATTGTGAATTAATGGATATTTTCAATATTTGCGGAAGTTAAAGTAGTTTTGTGGAGTTTGTTGCAGACTACCAATTGTTTTTTTTTTGTCAAGGAAACAATAAAACTGGGTGGTCTGATACATCCACAGACGGTCAACGTCCGATTGTCACCACTTCTGATATTTCTGCCAGCCTAATTTTTCATGAGCCCGATGAAACTATAAAATACTAGGAGAATTAGACATTTGAATGAGAATTGCGCCTTACCATCTATCTCGCAATTGGTAATGATCATCGATACGTGGACGACACACTCAACAATAGGCAAACGCATTTCTTAGACTGGTGCTCGGCCCTCGTAATCCTGCTCACTCGATTTCACATTGTCCCAACAAAACTGTTTCAAAGATATTGAAAGGTGGTTAATTTAGTACAGCCGACAAACTTTCCCCAATTTTGACGTTATTTACCGACTTATTAAATAATATGGGATCATGTAGACGCCTGCAGGTACTAAGCGGATATTCAAAAGCCAAAATGGGGGTCATAATTACCCAAGAAATGCGTTTGAATGGAATCTTTATGAGCATTGAGTTAGCAATGAATATCGATCCTAAACTGGTGCCAGTCACCATCACCAGTGGTAGCGAAGTAACCTTTTGTCGGAATGCCTGTACATAAGTTCTAGATGTGAGTGGAAAAGTATGTCTTCAATACCGGCGTGATGTCATGTATGTGCAGTTGCAGCGACTGCAGCTAGATTACGGTGTGCACGATGCGGAGGCGGACACACGGCTGAACCCAGTGCTAGTGGGCGCAACGTACGCGTGGGCCTGCGGGCAGCCTTTCTCGGCTGTGATAGGGCTGACAAACACGAGCGGGATTGAAGTGCCTGAGGGTCACGTGCTGCGCGCGCTGCAGCGCCTTGATGAGCTGCTGCGCCACGTCTGCGTGGCGTGTCGCAACCTCGGCGACCAGACTCTAGCCGCGCGCATCGACGCAGCCCACCTCGCTGTCCATCGTGACATGGTCTGTGCACCTTCTCTCTATGTCGCCGACGAAATCTCTTCCGTTGATCACGATACCTCCCACCACGAGGTGGAACAGCATCAGACGTAATGTGAGGTGCACCTCCGTTCTCCTCTGCCCTCATTTCTTGTTTCAAGTAAATTTACTCAATACCTACTTTCTTCTCTCTGGCTACCTTAATTGGGCTGATTTTTTTCTCAGGGTTTGACATCACTCAAATAATAATAGATTTTTACTTACCTTCGAAGTCACTTTTGCTGCGATAAGTAGGCGGAAGAGGAATTGTTAGGTCTTCATGCAGGAAAGCGTCTGCAGAGTTGTGTAAGTGAACGCGACATCATGACTTACTGCAGGGTGAAAGAGTATAGTTTGCTGATTCTCATTGGCTCTGACCACTGAGCCTTATGTGTTCTAGCACCAGAGTTCCTCCAGACGACGTTATGGGTTGTAAAAGGCTAGGAGTAACTATCATTAGCGTATAGAAGCCTCATATGACTACTGGCATAGGCACCTTGAGCAAATCTTCATATGCCAATGTGGAAACCGAGATGTCGGAGACCAGTGTCCTCTTGGAAGCCAGTTAAAAATAAATACAGTTCAACTGCAACGCTATGGGTCTCTAGGGCTGGGAAGTAACTCTGGAACAACAGCAGCTTGCATGTTTGGGGCGCTAGAAGCTCTGTGGCTGCATCTACATTGTTTCTTCTGTTTTTCAGACGGGTAGTCTGGACAGCACAAACTCGTCTTCGTGCACAGCAATACAGGGTGTAACTACGTTAGCGTTTCCATCAATAGAAAGGAGCATCTCCTACTTATTATCGTTCCAGCACTCTTGAGTTCTGAACCGAGTTTCAACCGTGGTAGACCCATCATTCACCTCCACCTCTATTGTCCATCCGTAGGGTCTTAGGTGGGAGTTAAAAGAAGTCCAGTTTAAAGCTGCTGGTCACAGTATTCATCAAAGCTCAATTCGAATGCCTTTTTCGTTCTCACACCTACCCGAGTCGGTTGTAAGTACGGCGTCATTTGTAGGTCTTTGACAATGACTGGTAGTTTGTTGAATGTGGGTACTGTGGGCATTCTCAAAAGTTGTTTGTGGAGTAAAATTTGGACCCACCGCTCTGCGCTCATAAGCTGTGAAGCCATTTTGAACGGATGGATTCGCTTTGATTGTCGTTTGTAGGCATATAGTAGATAAAAAGCCTTCAAGCGAGTGTCAGTGCTTTATTCCTGGGCATATCATTTGGATGGGTTTTGTAATCGCGTGTAAACGCCGTGGGTGGTAGTGTCGGAGGTTGTTTTTACGACACCATCTGCAAGCTAGTTGTCTTGTGGGAAGAAAAGCAATTGGCTGTCTCGCTCTTTTGTAAACTTTACAGCCCCATCGGGGAGGAGGAAGCCTTTTCTTATAAACAGCCTTGCCTCAAGTAAATTAGCTTAACACCCGTTCTTATAGTCACTTTAACTGAATATTGGGTTATTCTGGATATTAAGAGGAGAAAATTACTAAAATCGCTCATTTATGGTCCCTCCTCACCTCCCAGTTTTCAATCTCGCTTATCGATAATTACTTCTCTCAATGCCTTTATTTTTTTAAATGAAGTGTCGTTGCTGGACTCCTCGTGCAGTTAAGGTGTTTTCATTCTGCAAACATAGATCTTCGGAAAATTCTTCACTCACCTCTAGGTGAAAAGTGCGTCATCAATATTGCTTCTGCAGATCTTTTACAACACATTTACCAACTCATCACTGACTACAATGGGAACGAAAAGTTAAGAATCTGGATGGCACAACAGGGGAGATACGTAGCCTCGGGGTGTTGCACTACAAATGATGGTGCAAATTGCATCAACGCTATGAACTGTGATGTCTTGCGAACCTGGGATGATTTTTTCACGTGGGGTACACATCCGTCTGATGCGCACATAGTGTCCATTCCTAAATGCCTTTGGATTATCTACTATCTCGTTAATAGTAGTGTGTTATCCGTTAGTGGTGAAAATGCTTTTCTCTTGTCGCAACTCCTAACTGCATAACAATTGACACACCTGACACTTCATTCGATGCCAAGGGCATCAGCCGTATTAGCTGATACATTTTTAAATGAAAATGCACGTCTAGATCATTTTGCAGACCACTGCAGTTGTTAAATACACGAATTTTTAGCCATCTTCGAAATTTTCTTGAGAATCCTCCAAATAAAGCCTATCAACTGTTCGTTTTTTTGTAAAAATGCGATATTCGACCGGAATTCATATTAGAGTGGTATTAATAATACTAATCAGGGTTTATAATCAACCAAAAATCCCTATCATTATCTGATTTAACGCCTTTGGGGACTAGAATTTCCATCTGTGAAAAGATGCATGTCTGGCTCTTTACCTTTGAATAATAAATAATTATATCAATGGGATCCCAACGCATTTCACACGCAATGGAAACTAAATACTTTAACATTTCCAGCTAACTTTATGCAAATGCTATTTGCGTCATTGTAAGCCATCCTAAAGTTAAACAAATTCTACATAGGATTTCTTAGCAAGATCTAGTCTGTAGAAAATATGGCACAGATTGTTATCATGTAAATTAGAATGGCAGCTAAGATCGTAAGGCGGATTCGGCAAGTATGAACGTCTTCACCCCCGAAATTACGATCATTGGGATCAGTGCATTGAAGATTTTTGCTACTTTTCCTGTATTGGATGTTATGTAATTGTTCCTTGAGTAGATAGCGAGCTGAGCTAGCGTACTTACCACTCATACTTCCCGGTCTGTTTAACAGCAGATACTGTAATTCTGAGCTCTTATAGTTGAGTGCCTGAATTGAATCCACCGTCCATTCACCGAAAATGCTATTATTCGGAAATTGAACTAAAAATTTGTTTGCTATTCAGCTGCGCGAAGCAATGGCAATCAATGGTGCACCGGAGCCAATGAAATCACTGACCATCCGGCCAATCACATCACCATCTGTGAAAGTGGCTTTTCACACCCCATCATACCCATTTCACAGCACTCCTTTCGTCCACTTGTATCGATGCTAGTTGCCTGTGTTTGTTATGAGACATCATCCGGTTCTACTGTGTCTCCTGGTGATTCTCCTCGCTGGGCATGGACTCCTCGGTCCAGCACCCAAGGGTCACCCCAAAAGTAAGCATTTCCTTTGTGACGCAATCGTTTCCGTAATTGTACTTAACGTGCTAATATTACTTTGGAACTTCTCTAGCAAGAAATTTATCGCATAATCAGCCTGAACAGGGCGTGCATTTGCCGGAAATTATTTTGATTCGAATTGAAAGAGGAAAAAAATTAGCGCGCCAACTCGGATTAGCTTCAAGTATGATTCCTCAAGCGAGCAGCGGGGCTTTGAGTCATAAACATGTTTTCCCATGGGATAGTTCTGTTTGCTCGAGTTATTTGCTTAAAAGAAGCTCCCTAATGACGCCATGTTTAAATAGCTAAAACTGTGCTTAAAGGTGCTTAAAAAGCAAGCAGCAATATTTGCTAGTGGCAGAACCAATTAGCCTTTTGATAAGTCGTTGATTTTTGCAGGAAAACTGAATCGGCAGCCTTTTATTAGGTGCTTATCAATATGCAGTAAAAGGAATTTAGCCTCATCATTGCTACTTGTCAGTTTCAAGATGTCACCTATGTGTTTTCGGGATAAAGTTGATAAAGTATAATTTTTTTCAACTCTTATCACTGAAGTAGGGTCAGTTTTGGAACGTAATCAAGCAATTTTATTACCCCTTTCTCGGAAATGTTAACGTCGCAGATATTTTCATTGGGTCCCTGTGTAAATAACTAGTAGGCGTCTTCAGCTGCATTTGATCTACCTCTCATTGGCGCTGATGTGTCTACTAAAGCACCTACCTGCGCTCTTAGAATTTGGCACATTCTTTTCGCCAGTTTCTGCTCATTCAATTAACAGTAAACAAGACCAAGTCGGTCGAGAAGGCTCTCATTCGTATGTTAATTGAGCGGTATCGCCGTTACGGAGTGATTGGACGGCCTGTGAGTGACAGCAAGACAGTCCTCAAGGTCAGGTATGGGCTGCAGCTCATTCAAATCCTCGATTTGGATGAAAACAAGCAAATTCTGCATACAAACTGCTGGTCTATGTATGTAAGTTTCGTGTGATCCTTTAGTCCATCCGGTCAGATGACGAGGAACCTAGTAAATGGTATGTGAACTTGTCATCTCACCTGGCACTCTGCGTACCGGGTGATAAGATTTTGCAAAATGCGAATCAGCTTGTGACTTTTTCAGTTCGCTTATTTGTTACCAGTAACATTGGTAAATGCGATGGATATATGACTTACTGTGCATGCCTGATAGTGCTTCATACCACTCATTTGCCCTTCATAAGTTCTATCATTTAACATATTTGATTCTTCCACCAGCTAAAAAATAATCCTGATCCATCGCTAAATTATGAAAACTGGGTAACATGGGTGCGGGTTTTTATATGAAGCGATATAAATGGCAGCCTACCAATTTGTAACAGCATCTATAATGCGTGTGTTTTATTTGTTACTGATTTGGTAAAATAATCAGCCCACGATAAAGCATAGATGGTGGCAGCTTTAGTTATTTCTTCAAATTGTTCTACACTTGGATGTAGCAGTGTGTCACGTCACTGGAATACAGGAAGGTAAATGTAACACTGCTTTCCAAAATCGCATGACTGATCGCTGACTGTGGTCTTTTGCTACATTAGAAATGGAACGATTCACTTCTTCAGTGGAACCCGGCTGAACATGGAAATGTCACGGAAGTTCGAATCTTTCCTTCGCAAGTCTGGACTCCGGACATTCAGCTCTTTAACTTGTGAGTTGTAGACTTTCATCGTAAAGACGTACGCTGGCGTCCGAGTTGTTGCTCCGCTTAAGCTGAACTTTAAGTGTCTTCGCTGGAAAGAAGTCATTTTAGCTGTTGAATGTGGCCTATGCGATGGTGCTATGGCCATTCAGGCGTCAAAATTCACCTTTCTATGCTTTGAGTTTTCCTTAAAAAACGCAGGCTAATGAGGCAGGCCTATCTCACAGTTGTAAGGTGTTTCTAACAGCCAGTTCTCCCGCTTAAAAATATGCACCAATGTTTGCACAATTTAAAAGGTAGTATCCCTGTCAATGTACCAAGAAAAGAATTTATGAGAGTCACTTTAAATTAGTCTTTGAATGGCTTTCTCATTTCAAAATTCCAGTGCCGACGAACGTATTCAGGAGCACCGAATTGCCCGAGTCGTCGTTCACAGCGACGGCAGCATTCTCTGGGTTCCACAAGCTCTCTTTAAAAGCACCTGCCAGGTTGAAATCACCTACTTTCCTTTCGACACTCAGGTAATTTGGAGAAGGGTAGCCAATAGTCAAATTGATGCAGAAAATGCATTGATAATTGTATGCAATATCACTCGTTTGTTATTTAGTTCGTTAGTCCTTGTAGTTGATGGCGCACATAAATTAACACCGAATTCGAACCGTTCATTGGTGAAATGCACGCCTTCGCAGAAGAGCATTGGCCAAATGTCCATTTAAGGGGATGTAATGTCTATTTACCGTGTTGAAGTCAAAGTCGACTTGGCTATTAAGTCGGCCATTCATCCGGACGCTCATAATTAGGGGAATCTATGGTGTGTTAATGCAGAGATTGGACCTGAGACGCCTAAAATCAGACAGCAGAGTTTACACGAGATTATGCAAGGGATCTAAAATGAAACATTTATAGGCATTATAGCACCATGTGCCGACCTCCGTGGTTTTGCACCCACTCGTGATCTTTTCGCTAAGATATGCACATTAGAGTTTGGTTCGTGGACATATGATCGGACGCAGTTGGAGTTGGACTGGTGGGTCAGTTCGTCGTCACCCATCCCGATGGCCTACGTGGACTTTGTGGACTACGTGCCCAGTAACGAGTGGAGGACCGACGGCGAGGAGGAGAAAGACATTGTGCACACCAACCGCACCAAACAGGTCAGTCTCAAAGTGGTGGCCGCTTTTACCCTGCCCATACTTGGAGGACTTACGGATTCTGTTTGACTGGCGGGAAAGACGCTATTAGGTCACATTGTGCTATCATTTTAAAGTGTACAACGACGCTTCTCTTATCAGGGTTCTTATTACGTTTTCTTATAGGTCCTATTGGCACTTAATGGCCGTTTTAAAAGACCTTTTGAACTATTTTCATTTCAATGTTAATTCGCATTTTAGAGAAGGGTAGCACTGGATCGAGTTTACTACTTATCACCCGCAACAGTACGATGTATGGTGGTGGTTCACTTACATGATATGGTAGTCAAGGAGAGTTAACTTCGAAGGAATCACTTCATGTTTATTTTTTTTCCCGTTTGCCCTTCCAATTTCTATGCATAAATCGGTTTTCTAAAATGACCAACTTTTGTCACAAATGAAAGTTCAATTTGCCGTTACGATTTAGCTTTACGCAGTGATGGTACGAAGAAATGGACGTCGAAGAGATTGTTTCCATTCGGACTATAGTTTGTTTAATTCAAATGAAGCCTATTGTCCATCATTTTAACCCCACCGATTCACTGTAAACAGACTCAGATGGTTGGTAAAGTAGCTATCAGTATTCCAGTTAATTCACACGCAACTTTATATGTAGCTACTGCTCTCAACACATCCACTCTCGGCTCATCGCTGTGAGTTTTTTTCGGTTTTTTTTCTTCAAAATATATAACAATGTACCGTATGCATATGCCCTAGTTGCACCCTTTATGGCTCTGCTTCTAGCTACTCGTCATTGTACCGGCTCCTCAACGCATCCGTGTCCCGAAACAACATACATCTTTGACCTAGCTGACATTCGTCTAAACGACAATAGGAAAGCGGAGCATGTGTTTAAAAGTATATTGGTGATGCATTTTCACAATAGCTGAAGGTGAGTCAAAATTGGATCTCACAGACCCAATTACCCTTAGACTTCGTGCTAGAGGAGTCGGTAAAGGCCCAAACTCAATTCGAAGTATGTGGATCATTTTTCCGCGTTCACATCACGCACTTTTCACCCATGCAGCACTGCGTCAGTTTTGCGCAACTTGCCATTTTGAAAAAATTGTTTATATTTCCCAAGTGAGGCGGGTGTTGTAAACAAGGCACATTTTTCGCATGGTAGGTGAAAATGATTGCTTCATCTCGAAGAAATATGTTTTTGGTTTTTGTTTAACACATCGGAAGTTAGCTTGTATCTTTCCCTTTCAGTAGGATTTTATCAGATTCCCACACGATGTTATAATAGCCTGTTTGGAAAGTGACGGCAGTGTGAAAGATAGCGAAGCGTTGAAATGCTGCGAACATAGGGATATGTAGTTTAAATCTATTTAATACATCCACATTAAAAAGTGGGACGTAACTACCCCTTAACCTGCTACCATAAAAAAGTCGAGAATATCCCTACTGATGAATCCCTAGAGTTGTTCACGTGAATGCAGCGTTTGCAGTCAAGTTGGTAGTTTTTACCTGAGTAATATTCATTCAGGATTTTTAAGGCCTTTTTTTCTCGTAGACAGTCTCCACGTCTGCATGGGAACAGACTAGCCGTGCTCATGAAATGGCGCGTTAATCAAAAGGTGTGAAAGCCTCACTTCCTCCCTCCTCCCCCCCAATCATAAACAATTGAAATGGGAGCTAAGTAGCAAATCTTAGAGTATAACTACTCATAGAGGACTGCTTCACGAGTTCCTTTTTTGAATAACAAGATCCTAAAGCGCTTTACCCAAAAGGTTTGCTAATGTTCACTGTATCCTCCTGCCTCCAGATGAGTAGCCTCCTCCAAAGCAAAAGAAAACAATCGGCTACAAGTTTCACTGATTGGGATAAATACAATTCATGGAAGTTAGTATTTCATTTATGTTCAAAATAGCACTACCTTTCAAATAACTAAGTATTCTCAATTTAGAATGGAGATTGTCGATTTTGCTCACTAAGCCCGATGACGGAACTCTACCATCTGACTATGAGCATGCTATTTGTTTATTCTTCATGAGCCGAAAATTTTTCAAACGATGTTCTTTAGAAATGAGCTATCTGAGGAGTAGAAATATCTCATCTCCCAATCAGTTTACCACTCCGTTATTGGTAACGCCATGAATTTGCAAATTCACTTAGGAAAATTATTTTAAAAAAATAAAATTTACCCCTTCATTCGCTAAATCCTGTGCTTAGGAATGCAGCTACGCCTGAGCACTTAGCTCTAAACTCGGTTAAACTTGTGCTTGCCAAAGCGGGTAATTATTACTGACGACTAAATTATGCATATGGCGCTATTGGGCTAGGCAGAAACATCGTTTTTACTGAGTTGATAGCGATAGTGAGACAGCAGATGCAGGAGTTTAAGTTTTGATCGCACAAAGATGACGGCTAGATTTTCCGGCGCAACTTCCTAACCCATCCCTAATATTCATTTCTTGAATTTGTCGAAATGCGTCTCATTATTCCTTGGGATCTCAAATCGCATCTCCTGCCGGAAACAAGGAAAGTAATTGTACCTCTGCCTGAGGAATCGTTACCTTATGATTTAAAGAAATGGAGAGCTTTGGCTTGAATGATTTTGCAAACTTTTTCCTTAGTGGATAATTTTGCACCCCATGTCAGGGGTATTCCGCAATAAAGTCATTTAAAGAGGGATTAATGGTATGAAATTTTAAATTTAAACTCACACTACCCAATCTACGGCTAAAAGCGTCATAGTAGCTTTGATTCGCGTCTGCCATTCATGTGCAATAAAACACATGCATGTGGAGGAAAATAATCGGTTGCAATTTGAAATGCAACAGTTGGATTTCCGTTTTGAAGTTATTCAACCCGAAAATCCCGAGGTTTTACCTTGGATTTCACCGCTACTGGAATCGGAACTCCGGTCATTGGAAAGAGTTATACTACCTTATAGATAAAGGCATACAAGAGGTATCAGGAGAGGAACCAGACAGATGGGGATGTAGTCACTACGAAGCAGTACACCGTCCTCTGCTACCGCGTGCGTCTGCACCGCAATCCCAGCTTCTACATCTTCATCCTCGTTGTGCCCTGCATCCTTCTCTCCTCCCTCACAATCGTTGTCTTTTGGCTTCCACCCGAATCTCCGGCCAAAATGATGCTAGGTAAGGCAATACTCTTTGCTTTCCCATCATGTAATTTTTACCCTGTAAATATCTTAAGGAAATTGCCCATTATGACGGTCTTTTTTAAGCGACTCTTTGGATAAAATTCGAATTAATCCATAAAACTATTTCCCATTGAAAGGCGGTAATTCAGGACAGAATAAGACGAATTGTTGGGATTTTTCACGAATGGATGGTTGATATTTCATTAGTATTTTGGTGTTGGGTATTTTCTAATGCCATTTGCTCCCAGGCACGTGAATGTAATATTATTGAGTTTTCGATCCCCTTACAATGCGACTTACTCGCATTAGTCGATTTATCTTACTTTTCTTTTGTTTTACCACCTTGTGCATAAAAACCTTTCACACATTCGAGGAACGCAATTCTGCCACTGAGCAAGGTGAAGCATTCAACTCTACGTACCGCCATTGTTGTTGTTGTCTTGCGAATTTGATTAGAAGCTGCCACTGACTTAACCGTCTTCCAAAGCTGCTTGCCTTGTTTTGCGTAAGCAATGAGGATTTTCCGAATCGCAGTAGTTCTTTTACGGAATTGTTTGCCATTTGCTAATCAATCTGATAGCTGTTAGGAGATTTACCTCAAGTGCATAAACAACTCTAAGGTTATCAAAAGTGTTTCCTCAGAAAATGCAAGTTTTCGTCTATATTTCAAAAAAATTCTTTATATTCTTAATTTTGACGAACATTCAAACCTATAGGTGAATATATATGCATATATGTAGTGCCCCGAGTCTTCCCTGTGGACTTCGTGCGTGGTCAGGGTAGCATGGGAGAAACTACTTCACGGATGTGCAGAAGGCGGCCCAAGAGGCTGTTGCCGTGGCCCGAAGACCATGCCGTCAAGTGGAAGTACGGCCTTCCCATGTAATCAAGCACAGAGTTAAGCAGTCAAAGTAGTGTACATTTATGCTCGGCATGATCTTCGGAACTTCCATATATCAAATTAAATATTAAAATTTGCTGGATAGGAATTTAGGCAAGTATTTTTAGAACTCTTTAGCATAAAACAGAGCTGGAATATTCGTAGTATCAGTAGTTTGGAGAAATTTGAGCTTTAAATTCTTAGAAATTTATAACACAATAGTTCACAGCAAGACTTTCCGAATCGCTGATATGAATAGGTAGTCCTCAAACCCTCAGTTAAATCAGTTTTAAATTAGACGATGGTTAAGCGAAGCCGTGTTTATGCAATTGGATAATTTAAAAAAAAAAAACTTAGGATCGGGTAAAATGTGGTCCTTTCTTATTGCAAACCATAAAAGAGTATAGAAATAAAGTAAAATTAGCTTTAGAACGAGACAAAGGTGTGAACTTTAGAGATGGGAATTGGTTGCAAAGTGGAGTTGGGGTGCCAGTGAAGATGAGTGAATAAAAGGCATGCACGTAATCATCCGTTTAGTAAATACGGAAATGGACCTGCGTTATGCGCATATAACATCACGTTGATTGATTTAATACGTAAAAAGCCATTTTTGTCTTAAAAATATGTCCATTTTCCAAATTCTCAGCTCATCAGAAGTTGTAAAATTGTTTGGGCTGCCAAATAGACCGTGACTAGCTCTTCAGTCTTTGCTTTTGAGCCAATAACAATGACTCACAGAAACAAAAGTCTGATACATAGAGCTCTTACATGCGAAAAAAATAAAGAAGGAACAAGCAACCAGCAACTATCCAAGACTCAGAACTATTAAAAGGCTATTGATGGTAATTTCTTTTGTTTAATAATTTTCTTTGAGCTAAACTATTTGGCATGGTACGTAAATGGCGTACCTTCCTACTTATGGTGAAATTCATATCGGATGATGCCTTTGCCCCAAAGTAACCCTCATTAGCGTATGATAGAGACCTATCATCTCCATTGCAAAAGGACTTCTTTAGCAATAACCTCGACGATCTAAATACACAGTAGTAATTAGTAATGACAGCAAACCCATTTCTCCATTACTCCTCGGATTTTCATGACGCGAAAAGCGTTTCATCATGCATGGCCTAAATTCACTAAAAGTGATTAAACGCTGAAGCAGTTGTGCCTCCAATTCATCAAAAGTGCCAGCGTTATTGCAATAGACCATAGAAGGAGAGCAATTAAGCATAAGCGAAGCAATTAGACCTCAATTGACTGGTGAGACCTGCAGTAGAAAAACACTTGTCAAACTAAAGGCCAAATACTGTTTAATGGTTGCAGTTGTATTTTTCTAGAGTGTGGTTGACATTAGCGCATAAATTAGAATTCGAAGGCAATGAATGATTTCTAATGGCCACTACTGACACTGTCAGAGACAGCCTTTAGAGAGGGGATGAGTTATGTGAGCGGTGAGTTCTTTGTTTGATGCTCTAAAAAAACTCTAAAGGCTTTTTCTCTCTGTGCGCAGTGATTGCTGTCTGTGCACAGTTTAGGTTTTACGCTTTTTTGCAAATACATTTTAATCACATGCTTGTATGTTAGGTCAAGAGAACACCGAGCTGTTAAAATCATACAGTTTACCCATGGCCTAAAATGCAATCGTCCGATTTCAGTATCATCGTTGCTTACGTATCCATCTCCTGTCCTCCTTCAATGAGTCCAAGTTCCGCCAAATTCGTTATTATGTAATTTTAGGAATGAACATATTCGTCACATTTTTCCTACTTCTCCTTGTGTTGGCCGGTCAGACGCCGAATGCTGTCAAGGAATTCCCGCTGATAGGTGAATAACGGTCTGCATTAACCAACTAGGTGTCAAGGCTGCTTATTTGGTGGAACTTTTTTGACGTAATAGGTGCCTACTTCTGTCTCAACATGATTATGATTACACTATCGACGTTTCTTGCCACACTCGTCATTCACTTTCACTACCGAGGTGCTCGCAATGGTCCACTTCCAGCCATTCTTCATCGCGTAAGTCAGTTCCTATAATTTAGCCAGCCTACCATCACGCCATTTTGGACGAGCGCACTTTTGCGTGCGGCAGCATTTGTGTACAAACTGATGACGGCTTCATGACTTTATTTTACTCATGAAATTCGGGATATTTTATCCTCATATCTACATGAATAATTGCTTATTCCAGCGAAAATGTGCAGGTTTGAATTATGGCAGTACTAAACTTGTTAAGATCTCTTTAGTCTTTAAACTCTCACTGTTAACAAAACCTGCTGTGTCCTAGGGCGAAGATTGTCATTTTGAAAAAGATTACTAGATTTGCAACGACCTACTCAGCTGATGATGTTTTGAAGCACATGATTTGGTTGAAAATAACTCCACATGTTCTGGATTGCTTATCCACATTTCTGTGGTCCTATTTCATATTTCATCTAAAGTAGTGTGTTAGTACTCCATGGCCGATTATCTAAAACGGAATTTTATTTTTCCGTTATATTTATGTGAGATATGACATTTACTCCTCATAAGCCCATTTCCCTTTTAGCTCATTCTGTGTTTTACCAAGGTAGGCAATGCGTACCAAACTATTACGGATGTGGGTCAATAAGTCATCCCTGTTTTCGTTCAACCATGACCGATTTTACTATGAAATCGGTGAAACACAAAGACTCATTTAGCCTGGTTCAACTTTAAAAATTGGAGTGGCTCTAACCACTACAAAGGAGTATCACCAACGTAAAATGCATGCACCAGTGATCCATTATGCCTATGTAGCGTCCTGTGACTTCCGTGAAGACGAAAGAAGACGTAATATCGGGGTGGAATGTATGTATATTCAACATACAGTAGGACTCGGGGCTAAGGACATGGCCTGGAGGCTAGTCCACCTGGCGAAGGCACAATGGCCGAGCACACAAGTGGCCCCTTTACCAAAACCAAAGGTTCTACAGCCAGCCACTGTATTGTACCTGCATCAGTCGATGAGACTAGAACGCTGTATTCTGATACTTGCGTGTATATTTCAGATAGTAATCGAGGGAATGGGTCGCCTTATGATGGTGCGGCAGAGCATTCCGCTGCCGGAAGAGAAAAAGACACTAAGTCACGTAGTGACACGCACGGGGGCGGGTGGCTTGAGCGGACGCAGCTCTCGACGCCGCAAGGTCCGCGTGCCTGAGCTACCCTCTAACAAGTTCCTCGAGGACGATGACGATGATGACGACCACATTATCAACACCAACACCACAACTAACAACGAGTCGCCACGGTGTCCGCCCTTCGGTAGGTACCCCAATCGGTTTTACAGAGGCCAAGACCTTGCCAAACTGTAGCTTTTGACGCAATCCTGGAGGTCGCTGTAAATTTTTTGGCTAGCCCTCTGAATGGTATGGTTAAATTCACATAAGTGCGGCTAGATGACTCTCATTCGCGTACTATATCGAATTAAAATACATTAGTTATGGCTTCTGTCCTTGTTTTGGGCATAGCCCAAGGTGCTCCCAGTTTTGCACTTAGGGGCTAGCTATTACTGTGTTAGTTTAATGCACTAAAATGACTTCTAAGGTAATTTGATGCACTTCCAGATTCAAAAAATAGCGACGTATCTCATGATTACTTCATATGTCCTCTATTCGGGTGACTGCATCGGATAATTACGGTATGATATGCAAAGATTGGAGCCCAAAGGATGGACAGTAGGGTTGTAACGAAATGATAGCTAGCTAAAACAATAATAAGTACACTGCAGCAGAACTTAACAGATACGTTGTGGTTTGTTATGCAAGGGCCAACAACAAACTGCATAGATGGAGGAGGAGGTTGGAAAAACCAAATGTCCGGAGCTGGTAATCGGGCCGCTTACAGTGTCTCAGGGGCGCATGCAACCTGTCCAGGCTGCATGGGGCTGGGCGATTCAGTGGAAGACCTCTCACGGCGCAGCGGAGGCACATCCGGCCCGCTTGATTGGCAAGCCTCGGCGACAGAGCCACTGCGAGGGGAGCCAGCGGCAAACTTGGACTCCGAGGACTCACCAATAATGCTGAGCTCGAGCACCAGTCTAGAGCGCGACGTGCGCGAGTTGAAGCACTACGTTCGAATGTTCGTTACTCGACAGAAGGAGGGCGCGCGCAAGAACGCCATCGCGATGGAATGGCGCACCATGGCACTGGTGCTTGACCGTCTCTTCTTCTTTGTCTACATCGCCACTATCGGTATCACTGTGGTCACCTCCCTGCCCCGCTCCAAACGCCTCGAAGGCTCCAACTAATTTTTCTTCTCCCTCTCTTAACGCGGATTCTAGCAACTTCCCTAACAGATTCTTCTCCCAACTTCAATTCACATTTCCACTTCTTCCCCAACCGACCAAACCACTTTCTCCAAATAAACCAATTTTGATCAAACATGAGTTTTTTAATAATGCTAACCTTCATTTGCGCTCCCCATTATGCTAAAATGATACTTTCTTAACAATATTTTGAAAACAGCAGAAACGCATTCATTTGACAAAAAACTTGAATAGCCGATTTTTATAACCGGTTTTTCGATATTAGGGAGGTATTTTTTAGTGGAACATATTTGGAGCCATTTCTAATATGCTCAAAGCAATAGTTGTTTCAACTTCTCACTCATTTTGATTTAAGTTTACCAAATTTGGTCTGTTTTTTTGCACTAAATGACATAACTATTGGACGCATAGACGTGAGTTACCGAGGTAATCGAATTCCAGATGGTCATCATGTTTTCTGAGCGTCTTCTACTTCTCCCTTTATGGATTTGACCCCGTGGACCACCGCAACTTATTTGCCTCTGTCAAGTAGCGATGTTAAAAATGAATATCTAAGGAAGTGTTTGCGGCATAGGTAGCTGATGTAATAAAGCTAATTGGTGCCGCTAAATCGGATCGCAGTATTGACGGGTTCGGCTCATATTTGGGCAGCCAAATGGTGTAAGACGGACACATTTGTGCTTATTTACACCACTGACGTTGTGACCTCGGTATTTAAGTTTAAATATTAAAATCAACTCATCGAGAAGTTTCTTGACCACTAGCGATGCGTAAACTTTAGTTCAATTGCCACTTTTAATAACTATTATGACTCCCGATACGTCTTTCTGATCGGATTCGTTCTTAATAACCCCTGGCACATTTCAACAAGCGGTGTTCGCGAACGCTCCGTATTCTCGTCAGGGATCGGGAGCGCGGATAATCCCACCCGGTGCGTATCAATATATTTAAGTTAAATTAAAGGCATTTTTTAAAGAGATGGTATATTATAGGCAGTAGCTGTTTCTAAAGCTGTGTACCACTTTTTAGTAACTTCCTGTGACACTAAAACATGGAAAACCTAGTAATAAACAGGATGTAAATTGTATGAATTATATGATTTTTTGAGCTTTAGAATTGGAGTCCGTGTGTTTCTAGAGCGTCAGAAGAGGTTTAGTATTCAGTATTTACGAAAAGAGAGAAGCACTTTTCTCAGATTTTACAAGCAATGCCACATTTCGTGCACCAGGAAGTATTGTTTCAGTTCCATAATGTAGATTTTGGGTGTAAGTGATTATGCCTGCAAACCGCTGAACGCGCAATAGGAGTGCCATTTGACATTTGTACCTAACTAGAAGTGCGAATTAACTTAATGATTGATAAGTTAGTCTCTATGATTATAAGATCATTGTAATAGTAAATGCTGATGTAACCAGCGACCTCAATCATCAAAAATACATCTTGTTTACCAATCCAAATACCGTGGACATCCATGGCGCAGCGTCAGGTCGTCCATTCAGTCGTGCTGACCACGTCTATAAGTTTGCGCCTCAGCGATGGTTGCTGGCATCATTCGCCGTACATGTGCATACTTGACAGCTGAAGGTGGTGACGACGATGACTCACTGAACATGTCATGGTTGACTTGATGGCTTGTGAGAGGAGCGGTGGCATTAGCCGTGAAGATCACCGGAGTGAAAAAACCCACTGACTTTGTGACTGAGATAAAATGAAATGAAGCCAAGTGGTAACTGTTATCGGGACTCCCAAAGACGACAGTAACTGGCAGGAGATGCTATCACGACTGGGAGGAGGAATTAACCGAGTTCACTATTATGTGCCATCAAAAATCAAAATATCGCACCATCCCTTTGCCCAATAGAAAATCTAACAGTTGTTTTACTACTTCACTAGATTCTTTATTTATAAGGTATCAAAGACATCCGTAGAAGTATTAATATACCAGGGCATGCACGAAATTCCCGATGTGATTTGCGTGAATCAGCTATATTATGCATCCTTGCCCCTTCTAGATTATCAAGGCTGGAAACCAGGCAAAAAGATGTTTGTTTTCAGCAAGAAAAAAAATAATTTTACATCCTATCAGTTCGGATCAAAATTGGCCTGATAATTAAAGACTGATTTTGGAGTAAAAAGGTGGAATCTCGGTCTAAATAGCGTTTGAAAAAGGAATTACGAGTCTGAAACGCCACCGGAGCTCGTCACCAGAGTTAATGGTGCCTTAATCATCCGAGGCGCGTAATGGCCGATAAATTGTAATAATTAAAAAACGGTTGTGATCTTTAGCCCTTCCGAGATGACCGAATTGATTGGCAGTTAACGGATACCATTTTAAAGGCACTCATGCACTGGCTGTTGTGACGCAAAGAGAAGAGGAATGAGAAACGGTCCTGGATCCATCAAGTACATGCAAGTACAAGTACAGAAGAAATAAAGACCACACTTTTTTTCTACTAATAGCTTCGAGCTGTCATTGTAATTACTGACTTCATTCTGCTAATCGGTGAAGAAGAAATCAGACTCATGCGTTTTATTCACACTAGGTACTTGTGGACGCAGCATGGTGTAAAATTGTGTGTATGCACTGTTTAAGTAGTGCTTGGATCGGCCGATTGTAGTGATTTTTCGACGATGGCGGCGCTCCGACCACTTGTAGGAATAACAACTGCGGTTGAGGACAGAAGTTAATGGGACCTAAAATGGCCAACTCATCGAAGTTTTAGTCTACGAGATGAGACCTTTAGCTACCCCAATCAAACCTCAGCTCGAAATATCTGTTGTTCTCCTTATTTCCAATACAATTTATTTCGATCGGGCATAATACATTCAGTTTTATCTATACCCTACATTCAACTTGCATAGCCTTTAGCACTGAAAAAAAAACAATGATACACCAAGAGCTGAACCATTGGAACCAGAATCATCACTGAAATCCTTTCAACACAGGGATTGCTTCAAGACGCCTGTTATCGTTCAACAAGGTACATTCTCCTGGTTCCAACCAATAGCAATACTGTCTAAAATCAGTTCGCTTGATTCTAGTCAAAAGTGAACAACAGCGCGCCTTTGATCCATGGTTCTTGTGGAGGCAATGGCGTGGCCATAAAACCGAAACCCATAACACTTTCAAAAAGACGTGTTTTATGACAAATTTGGTAATGTGGCTCGATGTGGCAATAACGACGAGAGTTCAAAAGCCACACAGAATTGACGAGCCCTATCCGAGGATAATTGATACTAATGGGCGCTCCACTACACCATGGTGTTCCGGCCACACGGCACGCCAACCAATAGAAAGCGCACCTGTCCCACTACAGCCACTGCCTTTCCCGTGCCTCGCACTATTCCGACCGTCTCGGTTGCTGGCCTGTCTGTGCCACACACGCGTGCGCGCACCCTGTGCTCGCGTTGTCCGTCCGCGTGTCCACCTATCGGTGCTCGCTCACACGTGCGCTGTGTGGACGAGACCGAGACTAAAAGCGCTCGCGTCAAGTGTCGCGCTATCCACACAGCATTTCCCTCGTCTGGCAATCCCTACACGCGCATGCGCACCCACGCACATGACTCGATAATGCAAGGAGAATGATTTCTTGAGGCGAAAAGGGGGGACAGGTTGGGGGAACATGGCTTGCCTGGTTGTAAAGCGCTTGCCACAAACGGGTTCGTTTCTCATTGTCGCCCGATCGCCTTCACAGCAAGATTGCGTGGCACGCATTCAGCAATTAATGGTCGATTCGTGTAGCGCATTTACTACAACTAGGAATCTATTTTTTAGCAAAAACTTGTGCAGATTGACTGTGCTATAGACCTTGATGACCCTATGAAAACGCATTAAAATGGTGCTGCTTGTTTTGTTGACTTAACACTGGCCTATAAGGAATGATAACGCGGGTGAAGTGGATAGTTGAGAAAAATGAACCGCCTACAACATTGTCATTAACTTTGCGGGAATAACTATTCTGTGAGACCGGGATAGTGACCTCACCCATTCCGATAAAAAAAACTCATGAACGTTTGAAGTGAAGTTCAGCTTTCCTCAAGGTTTGAAGAGTAGAACAAGCCTCGCCGTCTGACAAGGTGACGCTGGGGACCACGAAGTCCCATAAACTTACCTGATTTGATCGCCCAGGAATGAAACAGTGTACATCACGTGTAATTCCAAATGTAGTACCACAAGCTCGCACAAACTCACGAGTTATACTGTGCAGCGATCTGAAAACTGGTTATGAAAATAGTTGCGCAACAGCTCGCCGAGCCCCGTAAAATTCGCCAAGCGTACCGTCCACCTTATGGGACGAAGTCGACAAACCAGTTTCATTTAATGTGAATGACCAGTAATGGCGCAATAATCGCCTCACTAAAGAATAACTTTTGCACTGAAATCGTATTTACCTTCCACTTGACTGAAAAGGCTGTGAATAGAGCGTAACACCGTGAGGTGGGAGAAAATAGATGGAATTTCTGCATGAATTTCCATGAGGTTAGCACAATTTGAGGCAAGTTGTGCCAGAGTGTTAGGTGAATAATTCAGAACGAGAGATCACAGCGAGATCGAAACTAAAGCTGAGGCGGTTGTCTCCATTCCCCAGCCACATTTTGTGGGCTAGTGGGTGAGTCATAGGCACCTACCGGCAAATTGGTAAAGATGGTTGTCACACTGACACCTTAAAAACCGCTACTCATGTGTTGCAGGCTTTTGACCAAGGGTAAACAGCCAGCCATACTTCTGGGACAAATAATGAGCAACCAAAAACAAGGTCTAGCATTCGGGAGCTGAGATCTCCCTCAACTGCGCATACTAAAAAAAACTTGCACAGTTTGACAAAGAAATTATTGAGTATTTACCAGACAATTGTGTCACCTTTTGCTCAGCGGCAAACACTGTAAGTGATGAAAAGTGGACAACTATGCAAGACAATTTGGGGCTTCCTAAACACTACTTCCATTCCTTACAGAAAACACCACTTACACTTACAAAAATCATAAATGACAGTGAAATGTCTCACCATCAGCGACAAAAGTATGATACCGATCAGTTGGCTTAACAGCCTGAACAACCGAGGTGAGACGTGGGCACAACTCCTCGATGACAAACTTGTCGCGATCCAACGAGACGGTTCGGTTCGGTAGTCATAGCTACAACAAGACCATCCTGCAAACGCCTAAAATATGTGGGTTTAATGTACAATAAAATTAAATTTTGAGCAATGCGCACAGATGTCAAGAAAAATGAAACGATCCAGACCATGAATCACAAAACCTAAAAAGGTAGGATTCACGAAATAAACTGCTGAGTCCGAAGCAGTTTAGGATAATGGCTGCTCAGCATAAACGGAGAAACAACATGTAAAGTATGCACGTGTATTTATTTGATGATGCCAGTATAGGTGCAATGAGAATAAAATATACATGAGGAGTGAATTAACATTACCGCCACAGAAAAAGGAACAAGTTGGCCTAGGCCCAAATAAAACATCCATCAAGTTGTCATCAGCACGTGTCAAGTGGCAGTAACGGTAAATGTATAAAATTCCACAGGGGTAGTCGGTACACATCGAGCACTGTACAAACATGAAAGGGTGACATCATCGTGGTCGTATCATTTGTCGTTATTGTGCACGTAGATAAAAAAGGCAACTAGTCACTGTACACAGTGGACGGGGGAGGGGATTAAAGAAGAATGTACAGAAGTGGTGAAGAGGATGGGCTACCTGAGGTTATGTGGTGGAAGGGAAAGGTCTTTCTCCGCCTCACCGTCCTCACTTGACGGCGAAGTGGAGAGGAGAGCGAGGCATTTGATCAGCGTGCTCGACGCTTCTGTCCCCGAGAGAGCCATCTCGCACAACAATGTCTCGTAGGCCCTCAGCTGCCTACCAGCGAGAAAGACAACATGGACGCGTTTTGAAAGATTCACACAAAGGACCGGCTATAAACTTACCTTCGAGCGGCAGACGAGTAAGTGGCCAAATTGTGAAGGATTAGAGCAGCCGTGAGACGAACGTGTTTGGTAACAGGGCCCTCTCGCATAGCATCGGACGTGGTTGGCATGAAGTCAGCCTGCAGAGCCTGTCGGAACTCACAGTCGGCTACTGCGGCCCTCGTCGCACTGAGAGAGGGTTTCATTGTGGTCAGAGGGGTCAGAAGAGATCCCTCCGACTCCACTGTGACACTGTTTGTCGAAGCAGTGGAGAGAAGCTTGTTGGGTGCACCAGGAGGATGTGTGGCGCAGTGCTGCTCGTGCAGGTGGTCCAGCAGTGACAGTGAGCTTCTCCGAGTGCCGGACTCTTTACATCCCAACCACTTGCAAGTCTACAAGCCCAGTCAAATGGAGTACCACGTCTTTGGAGTTTACAAAGGGAAAGCTACGGTCAGGTGATTATTCACAGTAGTGACTAGTTTGCAATAAAAGCCTGTAGGTATAGCAATGGAAGTAGAGGGGTGAAACCTTAGTGGATTTGGAAAACGAATCCAGAGGAATTACGGATTTGGGTTTCACGAAACTAACAGGAAATGATAGAGCTCAAAACAGGTGTGAGTGTAGTCTGGGTTCAAAAGATGGACTTCTTAAGCGCATGAACTTGGCAATGGCATACACTTTTGTAAAGGACATGCTATTAGTTATTTAGAAACGTTGGGCCAAGCTCAAATTACAAGGGAAAATCAAGTCGATTGAACTTTTAACTTTCATGGTAACACGTGGAACAGAGTGGAAGAACTTACGATTTCCTGTTGACCTCTAATGGGAGTGAAGTGAGCAGAGTAGACGTGGGAGAAGAGACGGTCGACAGAAGGGAAGGACTTTTGGCATTCCGCCCAACGACAAGCGAAGACTGTAGGAGGGACTGTGAGGCGTGTCTGCTGTGGTACTGCAGCAGCAGTGGCAGTAGTAAGGAGGGGCTGATGATGTGGCTGAGGAGAAGTTCCGGGCCCAGGTCCAGTTGTGAGTGCGGATGCCACGGCGGGCAGAATGGTCGCGGCAGTAGGCGCGATAGAGAGTTGTGCATTGGGTGCGAGAGAGTATACAAATACCTGCTGGGCTCCTCCAGTCACTCCACTCACGGTGGAAGTAGTCATGAAGGTACCAAGGCAGGTTAAAGTGGGTGTAGCGGCAATCTCGGCGCCAGCACCACTGCCACCAGTCCCAGTGACAACGCCGGGAGTTGTGGCATTGGGAGCAGTGGACTGCATGACAAGGGAGGCCCGACACTGAGAAGAAACCTTATTAGAAGTAGTGGGCAAGAGGGTGCGAAATTGCAGAACGCCCTGTGAGCTATCAATCAGGGTAGCACCCGTTGCACTCATGCCCATGCTTCCGCCTGCCGGGCCACCGCCGCTCCCGCCACCAGTACTGCCGAAGCCGTTCAATACGTGCTTCCCGTCCATGCTTGGAAGGACTATTGCAGAAGCTGCGATCACTGGCTGTTGAAGGTGTATCCCACTGAAATTGATGAAATACAAATTAATATAATTTAGGAAAGCTAAAATCAAAGCATGAGTTGCAACATCTGAATTTACTACAGGTTCAGCATAATTCACCACCAATGTCTAAGACGTAGTGACCTGAAATAGAGTGACAGTGGAGATGAAGTATGTAATCCAAAAGGCTTACGGAACGAGTTAAAAAGATTGAAAGTGGTTCAAAGTACATAATTCAGCTCTCATGGAAGGACGCAAGCGAAAGGGATGATACTGCTGCTTACTTGGGGGTGAATTCGATGGGACCATTGGAGGAGACGGGGATGAGACTGTCGACAAATGTGGTGGTATTGGTGGCGAGAAGTTTGATGGGATGCGCGTTGGCGCCATTGACGAACGTGGTGTTAGTCAGCGCTCCGCCACCACCTCCATTTGCCTTGACTGCATCCTCCACCAGACGCACGTGCTTCACACCCGCGGTTGCCTCCGCAGCTGGACCCTCGATCAAATTGACCGCACTACGTTTCCGATTCGACTGGAGAAGAAGAGGAAATACGGTGTCTTTGTTTCAACTGCATACAGGACTGCGGTCGCTTTTCGGCATCCCGTGACCCGGTCTTTATAGCTACGGCATGGAATTATGCACTCGCCTTGTACATGTTTACGACAAAGCCATTTCTAGACCCTTAGGGTTTATAAATTCCCTGGGGAGAATACAGACGCCACAATATTGAATAGACTGAGGTAAAGCTGCCAGTTGACTGTTAATAAGAGGGCTCTCAATACTCCTCAATTCATAAATTAAGAATGCTTTCGTAAGCAGCGCTGAAAATAATCAACGAATGCGTCTATTTTGCTTGCAAAAACGTCCGAAATGAAAGTATGAACCCCTACAAGCATGAGTAGTTCAAAACACAGATAGAAAATGCGATTCAAAAAGGTCATTCACTTCCGGCTTTTTGATTAGGGCCCAAATGAAGCTAACTAAGGTCATACCTACTTATTAAAATTACCCAACAAATGAATTACCGTTCAAAATACCCCGACAATGGGGGCCAACACATGGTGCTATCAAAAATGATATGCAACAAGTCAATCCACGGTAAGAAAGGGAGATATGAGAACTGTAAAGCATGCCGTACTGTTCCGGTGGTAGGAAGCCCAGCGCTGGTTACGCGAAAGAAGTTTGGGGAATTTTCACGGGTAAAAAAGGTGCCCTACCGCAGCCCCCCAAAATAGTGCATTTTCACATGTCGCACAATTCAACCTTGGGAAGAAAACTGGACCAGAATGAAGGTGTCGGTGGGAGAGATATCCCCTTCATGAAAGGCAACTCTCACCAGAGATCGAGGGAGAGAGCGCACAAGCTGGCGGGTGCGCACAGCGCAAAGGAGGCTGTGCGTGCGTGTGCACGCGTGACGTGATAACGACAATAAACGGAGAAGCGGTGTGGCATCGGTAAGAGAGCGCCAACCACTGCTACATATGCGGCTTCAAGGTCCTGACACACGCATATATACATACTCACGTGGCCTACACACATATGGACACGCAACACGTGCCTGTGCATGCGCGCTAAGTCAACGCACGACCTTGGCATGCCCCAATCAGGTCACTAAGATGTCGTGCGCATGTACGTTTATGTGTTTGTGTTCGTACGAAACATGTAAACCACGTGGAGGCGGGGAAGCCAGGCATCGCTACGCTTTGGATGGCATCACTCACCTTCGAGGAAGCCGGTGCGGTCGTCCGGTGGGTGAGACCCTTCCCTTCAGAATTCTGACTCGCCAGACACGTTCCCAGCATGTGCTGAACGCCTGATGAAAAAAGCAAGGGTAGACTCGGGCGAATCAATGAGCTGGAGGAGGGAGAGGAGACTCAAAACTCACCAAGGGTTTGCTCAACCGGTTCAGGTGCATCTACATGTTTGAGCTTGTTGTAGTGGATTTCGACATTTCCATTGGGAACGAGAACCTTTACCTGGTCGACCGGGGGAAACACCATCCTAGAAGGCAAGTGAGAGCAATTTTTAGGCGAGAAAGTCGTTTTAATGAGCAAAGTGCCACGTGTGCGTACTGCTATTACTACCACAACAGTGACTAAGCACAGTGTTGTTGACTCACACTAGAGCACGGAAACAATCGCAAGCGGTGCACGCCCTGGTTAGGCACTATTGGCGATCGCCTGCCGCGAGGAAGATTAATTATTCGAAATACTATTATTCATTTAACTGGTGAGCTGAAACATCCTCTGCGCCGCTATCGAGCCATCTACATATAGTGCGAAATGTGTTTATAAAACCAATTTCCCCTGACAAATAATTGATGGGAAACTGTCGAGCATCAGCGGTAACAAACAGTAAAGTTAAAATACGGATTACTGTAAAAAAGGACTAAGAATGAACAGAAAACGGGATACATTCTACCGTGGATCAGTGCTTTGTTCAGTTAGATAAGGTAATTAATAAATCGCCGTCTTTAGCGAAGTACAGACTGACCGATTTGTGTAATCGAAACCCGACAAAGCTGGGTTGGATACAAATCGATAAAAGTATATGCAGCGGATCCCCCATTACCAAATTAAAACAACGATGCATGCTTTGAACTATGCGCAAGAGGGCGATTTACAAGCAATATATATGGATGGAACTAAAAACCTGTGGATTTTATTTGGAAATACCAAGGGCTAGAAAGTGGCAGTGACTAGTTAAGTCACCAGGTCTAGACAGACCAGCATAAACGACAGTGCATTGGAGTAACGAAAGAAGTAGAAATAAACATAGAACTGAGCTATTTTCCAAAACAGAGAATAAACAGCTGCTTTAGGTGCACTCAAAACTGGGCCTCACTTGATCATGGCATGGAAGTCGCCCGCGGAGAGAGCCCCACCGGACGAAGACCCAAACTGAGCCTGGTGGGCCTTCTGATAGTCAGCGTAGATCTGAACCCGTGGAAAGCTCGACTGCGGATGAACCTCGTAGTTCTTATTGAGCCAAAATACTGCGAACTCGCGTTTGTCTGTGGGTGCTTCGGGATACGGCTTAGGCAGGGTGTTTATGAGGGAGGGGGGTAAGGAGGGGGTGGAGGAAGATGACAGGAGAGGTCCTCGCGGTTGCTGCTGCTGCTGCGAAGGCGGGGAGGAGCTAGTCTTCCGTTCCACCGCTTGCTGCTGCAGTTGCTGCTTCCCGTTGGTCACAGAAGAGGGGATAACAGAGGGCTTGGGCGCCGTGACCACCACAGGCAGGACCTGAGTCTGGGGAACAGTAGCGTGCTGTTGAGGCGGCACCTGAGTGAGCACCACCGTCGTTGACTGTGGCTTGGAATCAACAGCCTCGACTGCAGTCATCAGTGGGGTGACAGAAATAGTGGTCTACGAGAAACATACGAAACCAACTAATAGTAACTCAAAGAAATGTCAATCCCGCTGATTTTAGTAATCAGCGAAGTACTAACCCAACTGATAAACTTGTTTAAGAGTGCCTGGACATCTTAAAAAAAGGGTGAAAATTCCCACAAGATGATGGCAGCAAAAGGCTGGGATTAAAATTTTGACAAGAAATAGAAATCTGATGCTTCGCTTAAGCATGAAAACTTGTTGGAACAGCAAGATAACGGATAACATGACACTTTGCACGGATATGAGCCCAAGGCAATCGTATGAACATCGGTGTTATAAAAAGGGAGGTGGGTTTCAACGCAGATAAAAACTAGAAATTGAAGCATAAAAACATCACTTAAAAGTAAAAAAAGGAATTGGATAGCTCGGTGGAATTGCAGATACCGAGCACCAGACTGTTAGGCTACCGGACTCAATGGTTGAGTTCATTAGCTCACATTCACAAGCAGTTGGACCAATCATGAGAAGTCTAAGTTTAGTGAGGAGACAAATGTTAAATCAAAGTGAGGATAACGCACGATATACTGACGCGCACCTCGCAAGCTACAATAAGGGGACGGAAGATGTAAAACAGACTTTATTACCATCTATAGTGCGCTGGTAGTAGTTTAGAAAAAGAATTGCTGAATCAAACAGATCAATGCTATCAAACACCACTGCCCCTCATAAAATTGGTTTCAAGAATTTCGTGAAGTGCAAGTAAACAGTGTTAATAGAGCGAAAGCTAAAGCAGAAGTTCGTCAACAGCTAATCATTCTTTCCCAGTAAAACGCAATTCAAAGAATGTAAACCCTTTCGGAGCTGTCAAGGAGAAAAAGGAAGGGAACCTACCTTGGCTACGGAATTGGGTAGCGGGACGGAGGACTCCTGCGCTGTTGCGGTCGCTGGCGTCGGTGGCAGCGGAAGGGGAAGCGGCTTCGCCACAGAGGTGGCGACACCTGTAGTTGGCACTGGGACGGCATAGCAACCGGCATGGGGCCGCGGCGCAGGGCTCAGAAGGAGGCATGAAGTGATTGTGGGGTTTGGAGCCTTTTTCACAGGCTCCGGTGGAGCCATCGTAGGTGCGACCGGTTTTTCCATGATACGCCTTGTCGAACTCGACTGGGACATACTAGCCGTCGCAGTATTAGTGGGGGCAGCAGTGGCTATTGAAGTAGGACCCGGTACCTGCAAAAATAGAGAGATAAAAGATCAATACTGCCTATCTTTTTGGAGTAATCCAATACCAGATTGGCAAAATTTACACAAAAGACTCCGACAGTGCAAGCAGTGCTAGTTTGGGGGTGATGGGGTGTCAATTCGCATTAAGAGATTAAGCATGTGAATCCCATACGCATCGTGTCGTCCTGCACACATAAAATCATACAACTTGTGAGTTATTACTCGTGGAGCACACAAATACATACACAAAGGGAGATGGATCCAGCTATCCTTTCACGTCTATTGCGTTCACTGCAGCAAAGAAGGAATACATCAGCGAACATCGAATTGCCTTTATTCGATTAACAGATAGACAAACTAGGTGGACCCATTATTCTATGAAATTATTTCTTATAAACTCTCCATCACAGGAATTCACGCCCTCAAATTGGGCAGTTGTTGCAAAAAGAATTCAGATCGAATTAGTGCTGGTGCAGTGCAGGATATATTAAATTGCTATCAACTCATTTTTCCCTCAACAAAATACAACTCAAAGCCAAACTCGCAGACAGGTAATTAAGGGTGGCGAATGTACTAATACGCTAGGTCACATATTGCAGGATTTCAGTCATGGAAATAATTCTCTTACGTTAAGGATGATATTGAAAGGATTCTATAATGTTCCTTGATATCCCACTATAGGAAGGACGTACACTAACATTACTCCCAAAAAGAATTGAAGAACTCCAATGAGAATAATTCCTGGAAAAATGGATGCAAATAAGTATGTTGTAACACTTCGAAACGACTAAAAGATACGAAGACCAAGCAAACACGAATGAGTGATCCAAAAGAGCTTACTGAATAAAAGTACCAGGCACATTCCTAGGATGCTAAGGCAAATTAGGGGATAAGAAACTGAGGTCAAAAAATAACACACCCATTAATACATGTGTAATCTCGAAACACAGAACACAGGACAAATAAAACATTTATACAGCAGCTTTGAGCTGAGAATGTTAGGAAGTGAAAATAAGGCTCTACTTGAAGGAGAAACGGTGAGTCAAGAAAAAACGGGCGTGCACAAACCTGCATAACTCGAATCCGGATGAGACCATCAGAACCGAGGGACTGCGCCTCGAAGGTAAGGAAGCCAACGAGGGTGGAGACGAATCGATGCCTCTCGGTGAGAAGAGCATCACAGAGCGCTGGGCCCTGTGCCGAGAGAGCGAAGAGTGCGTCGAGAACCAGCACGAGCATGTGAAGGTCACGGAGGCAGGCCAATTGGAGGATTAGACCAATCACATGCCGTGGCAGTGACTGGGTGAGGAAATCAATATTTCTGGTGGAGGCCTCGATCAGGTAATTGTGCATGCTCCCTGGGTTACCCTGATGCGACTGCACTGGAGACTCGCACAGGTGGCGCATTATCATAAGTCCTACAGGCAAATTCAAGCGACAGTGATTTTCTTCGATGGTAAGTTGAAAGTACGCATTTATAGATATTTGTTTCAGTCCTGTGGACTGATTTCTTGTATTCCGATTTGGGACTCACTTGCTCAGATGCCTGTTAATGCGAGCGTTAATTTTGACACACATAAACAATAAAATCACTGGTTAAATTGGCCAGTGTGGAAGGAAGCCGGCGAGTTCTGACTCATACCTGCCCGTGTGCGCAGCTAGGCCAAAAGGTTGCCTGGATTCCTGTTTCGCCCGACTTTGGGCACGACAATATGATGGTGGGAAATCGTCCTGGTGTCGATGAAACAAAACACTTCAAAGTAAGCACTCAACCGGTTTTCAGGTAAGTTAAGAAGCGAGGCAATGGATCGATGCCACCTTTTTATGAAATAGAAAGCAAGGCTGCCGTGAAGACGACATATTTACCAAGAGATCCAAACGTACCCCTGATGGTGTCAACCCGATCTTGGGAGGATAGGAGATCAGGAAGGAGGTGGGATAAGACGTCGGAAAGTGGACCGATGACCGGGAAGTGGAGGTAGGCCAAAGTGTCTAATCCGAGTTGCCGCAGGGCAGTATGAGAGGAGTAAATGCATAGACAGACGAAGCGGAGCACGTCGGGCTCCTGGCTGAGGATCACCGAGTTGCCAGACGGTGTTACCACGAGGTTGCGCAGCACCATGGCCACCAACTGCACGCGAAAACCCTCCACATCGTGATAGGTCATGGTGTCACGGAAGGTCAAGGGACAGGAGTAAAAGGACTTGTCAGGGCGCTTTGACAGGTGCTCATCTGAAAGAAAACACCACCCTCGCTCAGAGGGCGACGAACGAATAAGCAGCATTGATTTCACCAGTAATAGCACCACTGAGATTGCCGCAGTCTACGTTGACATCAAAGTCAAATAAATAGGACAATGCGACTAATAATACATTAGGGTATCGGCGGTCACCAAAGTTCGAGCAGGGGAACCGAGGTCAAAATCATGCCCCTATCTTCTGCATATAAGAATATTGTTACCATGATAACGACAGGACCATAATAACACGTGGGAAGAGGAGCGGAAACAAATCACTTACGATAAAACACATCAGGGTTGAGAAATTGGCAACCATACTTGCTGAGGACCACGCTTCGCCAGAACTATAAAATTAGTGAATAAGAGAATTGCGGGGTTACTCACCGTGTGGAAATCTCGATTACACTGCGACCGCCACGCATCTTTTAAGAGGTAATAAGAACAAGGACCTGAAAACGTCGAATCGGATGAAAGCAACAAACCAGAACATACCGGTGGAATAAATTCCCACCGCAGAAAGCATAAGAGGAAGGATTTGAGGACAACGAGCCAAATCAAAACCATTTCGCTGAGAGGATATGAGGAGGATGGTATTGATTGCGTAATCCAGTTCGTTCGGTAAACCCGACTCCAAAGCTAGCAGGAGAGCTCGATACTCCACGGATTCGATGAGATCGGTGCTTAAATTCCAGCGGTGACGAAGGTGATTTTCAACTACTTGAAGATTGGCGGAGTCGTTGGCGAGATCAATTTCCAAGACCTGTGACACTTCCGCACCCGACTGCCCATCCAGACTGCGATGAACACGTTCAAAGGGCTCCAGATAGTTTTGAAAGACATTTTTTACGGCCTGACCAATGTTGACACAGTCCCGCTCCAGGGAAATGGCACCAGCAATCTCGTCCCAGAGGGACGAAGATGTTACCTTTTTTGAGCCACCACGAAGAGTGACTTCATTGTACAGCCTCACAAGGCTAACTGGATGCCCGTTCAGCCTCGGTTGTGAATTAAACAAATATCTAGGAATTGCGAATTGATTTAACTAAGAAAGCCTACCTAGGGACACCCCGGAGTTTGGCCAATTCGGTGGCAAATTGCTCCTCAGATATATCCAATACCAATGAACTCGAACTGCCCACTGGAACGTGAACACGACTTTTGTGTCTTGAGAGCATTTACGGTGTGTAACTAAGAGAGAAAGTGGGATGCATGGCTGGTGATACTGGAGGAGTAAAGGGGATCCAGTGCGGTGTTTCAGAGCTCAGGTCGCGTACCCTTGTGGGGGAAGGAGGTGGAGGCACGCAACCCACACTCAGCTGATGGTGACGCGTGAACGAAGGACAGTCAGGATACGCGCGCTATTTGCAAGAATGCCGTGTTGCACTTCAAATGGGACGTATGACGAGATGCGTGTGCGATGCTGTGTGGGTACGTGGATTTACGCGCAGCTACGCGTAACACACACACACCCAGGAGTTTTAGGCAATGCGGCGCTCGAGGCAGGGCGCAGACAACAGAGCGTAGGACGCTGGTATCTGGTCGCGCAAACTTTAGCCAGTAGCAAACGAAAATCTATGTGCAACAGCGTACGTCCTTCTGGTCTGGGTTATCGCCCCTAAACTGAGGCATACCGAACAGGACGCAAAGCAGTGGGACGGACAGGCACTCCCTGCGGGGTCGCGCTGCCAAACCTATTGATTAACAAGCCCGCTTCGACGAAAGCCAGTCAGCCACTACCACCGAGAAATCAGCCAATCAGATCACAAAGAATTTCCAAACAAATACTCATTTAATAAACAGTAAAATTTTGCATAATAAATAAATGCAACATGGATGAATAAACAATTTTAATGATATTATATAGGCATAACATTAGAAAAGTAGAAGGTTTTGCATTCGACCTCAGCTGTTGTTTAAGTTGACCGCAGAATTTCAATCTTACCTGCGTTTACATGGTTGTCGCATCGGAGCTAGGCTTTGGGGCGGAAAGACGGGACTTTAATATCCCGGGTACAGCAAAGTGCCTCTTTACAATCGTTTCGTAGACAAAGTCGGCAAAGCTCTAGTTTCGTTCTACATCCCATGCTTAAGCTGTTAAGAAGGCATGCGGAACGCAATTCGAGTGCTTTCACCAGGCATTTTGTTTTCAGGAATATAAGTCGGTTTCTGCCTTATTATAAAGGGCAATATGCTTAACACATAAAGGTGTACTTGTGCCAATTAAATATTTCCAGTGCAAATATTGTAACCGGGTCTGAGTTCACTTCTCAATTTCCGATGAAAGGTGGTCAAAAGAAATCACTGGAGTTCTCTGGGGTCAGCATGACTCCTTATTGGTATCTACAACTGCTATGACCTCCAGGTGCATAGCCGCTTCGTTGTTTCTCACCACTTAGAGTCCAAAGGCTTTAATACGCGTGGTCCGTCGCGGTTTCGCTTGTGTTCATTTTGCCTTACCCCGGATTTGCTGTTGCTTGACATTCTTCTCACTTTATTTCAGTGCTGTACATCATAAAGTGCGCTCAAAATCACCATGGTCTTCGTCACGGTGACTATCAGCGCTACCGGCAGTACGTTACGCGCAAAATCAGGCGCATGCGCAAGTCACTGCGATTTCAGCAAGGTACTCGTTCTCGTGTAGTTCCCAAGAAGCTGACTCCCGAAATAGTCACAGACGCTCGCTATCTCATCCTATCCGTCTTTGAAATCGAACGCTGTTGGGCGTATGCCATGCAGCTCAGAGCTGAGGCAAATTCGGAGCCTCGCAAAAGATTCCACATGATTTCACGTCTTAGCAAAGCAGCGAAATGTGCGCAAGGGCTCAATGAAATCATGGCGAGTGTGCCAATGTGTGGCGCACAGACCAAGCTGGAGTTGACTGCTTACATTCAGTGGATTAATGGTATTCTTCACTTCGAACAGCAGGTTGGTTTCATTGGTCGTGAATTGAGGCTGGGCTATGATTTCGTTAAAAGCAACAAGTGCAGTATGGCAACAAACAGCATAATGGTAGCAGCTGCTCCATTGTCTATTGATTCATTTAATGGTCAGCCTTTTTCCTGCGCTCCTCAAAGTCATTAAAAACTATTGCATTTGTGAGTTTCTGAAATCCTGTTTACTTGTATTCATCCATACATCAGGATTGGGTGAAGGCGAAAGATTTGCTGGAGTCGGCGCAGCAGATCTACACGGGCTTGGCGAGCTCTGTGGACGAGGACCTGCGAGCGGTGTACGCGGCGCGGACCGGCGAGATTCTGCCGCAGATTCGCTATTGTGCCTACAGTGTCGGCGATACTTCAGCAGCCAAGGAGCTGCGGGAGATGCGTGCCGGTGTGGAGGGTACCCTGGTTGAGGAGCAATTGGACGACCTTCTTAAGCAGATGCAGACCCTCCAGGCCGGGTCCGTGACCGAGGTCACCTGGCTTGGTACTACCATACCTGTCAAACTGGAAAAAGCCCGGCTGGCTGTTCTGGCTCTTCAGGCAGGTTTTACGCACTCCGTTCTCATACTCTAGCAATCACGATGGAATTCTACTGCCGTAACCCAGCCACTAGCTCACGTTTCGCAGTCTAGCTTCTATTTCTGTCCTTCCTCTTGTGTCAATTCTTAAATCTTAGCGGTACCAATGTGTTCCGACATTTCATGCTCATGTGTTAACATCTATGCATGTTATGCTTTGGAGTTGACCGCAAAAAGGACTTGCGTAATCTTTTGGCTACTTTTGTAACTTTAAAACTTAATTTTGAGTTGTCTCTAGGAAGCAGATGAGCAGTTGGCTAAGCTTCCGTCCAGCTACACGAAAGCGGCGATTTGCGATTCGACTCTGAAGGTCATTGTCGATGCATTGGTCGCTATTCGGGAAGAGATGCGCTGGTTGTCTAACTCTGAGGGGGTTGCTTCTGCGGGTCTACTGCCTGTGCAGGTCTCTCAGAAGGCTAATGCTACTGGCATTGAAAAGGTAACGGAGCTTTCTTTTCTCCTTAAAACATTTTTTTTTAATTTGTAAGAATGAGAAAATGGGTCAATTCATTTAGGGTCCAATAAATTTTTGTGACAACTTATGGGCATCCACCTCTATGGTGTATAAGCTACTTTTGTCTATTTTTGCAATAATCAGTGATGAGATTTTCCCGTTCCACACCTAGCTTCCTCGGCTGCAGCGTCTGAATATATACATGCAGTACTCGAAATTGAGTAAAACAATTTGGAGGACCCTTTACCAATTGGAGACGCTTATGTCAAACGTCGCACCGGAGCACCACCACGCCTCGTGGAATCTCATCACTTCAGGCTACCACAAGCCGCACGAATTCGCTCGCCTCTACGATACTGTCGTGCAGAACCTCCAGGAGGTGCTCACTCTACCCGGTGGCATCCAAGACAACGCCGAAATCAGGGCTCTCATCAAGGCCAAAATTGCTGCTTATAAAGCTTTAAGGTGGGTTTCCTAAGTCCTCATTCGCCTGCGTACGGCTGCAATCGGTGCTGATTTCTGCTTTGACTGCTTCAGGTGTTACTACCTAGCTTTGGCGTACCTTCGAAACAATCGTTTTTTGGAAAGTTCTTCGCTTCTTCAGCGTTGCCAGACGGAGGTGAAGGAGGCGGAAGCAAGTCTTTCAAAGGCTAATCTGCCGGAGTGTACTGAGGCAGAGGCGGTGCCAGGCCACTCACGCCCCTCCCTGCTGCAGCTTTTGCGGGATCTGCAGGACCAGATGGACACCGAAATGCTTGCCTGCAAGGCCGGCTACATGCTAGAACTCGCTGCTGGTGGAACCTCGAATGAATTCGTCGATGACGCCACCGTCTCTGCCTCCATTCCCAGAGCTGTGCTTAAGGAGGTGGGTTTTTACCTCATTTCGCATCTCTAATGCACACCACATACTCGACGGAACAACTTTTTTAAAGTGAATGTGCAGGCTTTGACTTATTTCTTACATCAAACTAGGTTTTGTCTCAAAATTGGCATAGCTAAAACATTGATTAATGGGCTACATAGCTCAATCTCATGCCTCATCCTTGGCTATCTCGGTTGTTGCACTCCGCGGTGACAGTCTCTTGATCCTGATAGTTTCAATGAATCCTGTGTATTTGGATATGATTCCTCGGACCTAGTGCGTTATTAGGCAGGACTCAAGGAGGATATGATTTGGGAACTAGAACTAAAGATGGTACAATAGACGAGTTCAAAAATTCATGTAATTGGAAATAGGGGCTTTTAAGCATTTTCATAATGACCATGCTTCGTCTTACCACACATCTGTTGTTGTGCTACTCCTGAGCTCTTTCCAAATGGGAGGCGCTAGATTTCAAGGCTTCACTAATCACTGTTTTGACTAAAGTATCGTAGAATTTGTTCATATAGCTGGGATTGGCGTCTCCTTTTATGTCCTGGTGGAACCCCCTTTGAAGGATAATTACTACGCTACCGAGAGAACTATCAATTGAGCTCTTAAGATGTTTGTTTTATTCATGAGGGAGAGTGATACTCAAATTGCCTCTGGAAATGTCTGACATGACTTTTATCCCTATGGAGCAACTTAACGTCTCCATTAGAATATCAGCAAATCGCTACCTTACTCTCATTTGAACCAGGCGTTTGATGTTCAAGTCGCGCGTGCATGTAGTCAGCGGTCACTGGCTATATATGCTTAAGTGTTTTTTTTACTGATACGTACTACCCCTGACAGAATAGTTATCAACAATCATTGCCGATACGCCAGGTTCTATGTATATCTGCATGTCCTTTTATTGCAGCCGCTGATCAGATCTCCGGGTGAATTCGTCCCCGAAAAGGTGATCTTGCGAAAGCTGACTACGCAGCCAGCGCCACTGGTGCCCTTCCCACCTGAGTTTGAAGCGATTCCGGTGAAACCAACCTTCTTTGATCTAGCCCTCAACCATATTAACTTCCCCACACAGCCCACGAAGGAGTCAGCCTCTGCTGGTATCACCGGCTTCATGAAGGGCCTCATCTGGGGACAATCGAAGAAATAGGGTGTCCGCCCCAATTTCGTCCTCAAAGCCTCTAACTCCTCTTTTCCTATTTTCTACTCAATTGCGTCAATCTTGGTTATGGGTAGAGGTGCATTACTTTAATACATCCTACATGTCGTGATTATTGGTATTGTGGATATTTGGACCTGGATGAATCATGGGTCATTTTGGGTCATTCTGATGCATTGGTGACAAAAGGTTAACCTAGATGATTGTGGTAGGGATTGAAACCGATGCGTCTCCCTCGCACAGTGGGTAAGGCTGGTAGGGCGAGAGGCGTCTGTGCCGTTGGGTGACATTTCCGATGGGTTCAGTTTAAGTTGCTCGGCCAAGGGTGTATTGATATCGATGTGGGGACGTGGAACACCAGGCCTGCCGCAGTTATTGAGAGCTGCTAAGGCATCTATCGGGGCAACCGCTGCTGCCATGCCATAGTTTTACACATTACCAGTAGAGTATCAAATACAAATAGGCGGAAAAAATGACCTAATGGGTATGGTAGATTCAGTGCATTTCACCAGAATGGGTAGGATTAAAGGGCCCAACGGGTATCAAAGTAGCGAACCCGACTGTTTTGAGATAATTTCAGCCAGAAAGGAATCATTGAATTAGAGCAATAATAGTTTCACACCGAATGAGAACTTTACGAGGTTTTAATTAAGTACAAGAAAGATATCCACATCAGTTTAAAAAAGCGACTGCTGTAACGTGAAAAATCACAGTGTCAGCGAATATGGATCACCAACGTACTGTGCTGGATATGTATATTCTGCCCGAGTACTATGTCCTCTTTCGTCTTCAAGGAAGCCTCTGGACGCTACATTGCCGTTATACCAGTTATTGCGGCACCCTTTTCCTAGTAAACTAGAGCTGGGACTCAAGAAATAGGTATACGCTAACAAATAACAAATAATTTTTCTCTTTCTTGTTGACAGCAAAAAGTGGTTTCGCTATTTGCAACTTTAAGGCCTATAATTAAAAGCAATGTTATAACGTTGAGCGAACGCGTATTCTGCTGAACTACTAGTCCTAGCAATAACTATGTTTTCATCGCCTATGCAAATAATTAAGTCAATCCATGTAATTACTTGCCGAATTTAGTCCTATGACATTGTTTTAGTAAGCCATAATGACCTAGAATTTGTCGATGCATTCAAGAGTGTACGGGCTTTGTCCCTTTAGGCGTTTGTATGCTGGCTTTCGGGGTCAGGTGGGTTTTCACCCACTTGCATCATGAAATTGATTTCAATTTTGCCTCAGTTTTGACGTTATTAGTCACTTTTTACCAAAATGGCTGTCAGACTTTTGTTCTTCTTCCTACTGTGACTCCCATCAATGCTTAATTTCTACAGTTTGCCATCCATTCATTAAATGATAACTTCGGACCTCCATAATTACTATTAAGCTGTTTATATCGGTGACCTGATTTGTCGTCATGTCTGTGTTGCATGCGTTTCTGTTAAAACAAGTGTTTACGAAAGTGGCCAAAGTATTATCTTTTAAAGCGTTTTTAGGGTTGGCATTGCACATTTTTTCTACTTCCCCCTCCCCCTATGTCACGCATTCTGCAATTCCTTCTTTAATGTACACAGCTTTCAATTTAAGTAATAGCTTATTTTGTTACAAAATTCCACAAAGTTTAGACCTGGCAAACCGTCGATAGTCCTTCAATTTTTTAAGACAGTCACGTGAAATAGAAAGAAAAATTATTTAGCAAGGCAGTAGCCACCTTAGCATTATGTTGAGATAATTTGTAATACGTCATATTAAGGCGATATGTTTTGCTGGCATTCCAAGTGGTATCTCATATACTGCTTATTTCTCTTCTGTATTGGGGTGTTTTCTTGTGTACTGTTATTAGCATTTTTAGTACGAATGGAGAACAAGGTTTTGTCTTCAAAACCCACTGCCGATATTCCAGTTAAGGACGATGCTGAGGATGCCAGTTTTATTTTGTACGTCTCCATTCCTTTTACGTGTTTTCAGATTTTTAACGCGTGATGTTTTTGTTCTTTCCTGTATTTAAACACGGCAGTAGATATCTTGTTATATGCTCTAAAGTGTAGCCGTTGCAGTGCCAAGTGGGTATGCACAGCAAATATGGATACATTTGATGTTGTTCATGACCATAATTTCAATAAACTGTGCTTGAATGCTTTTCGAAGGGACGAATAAAATGGGGATGTTAGTGATGTATGTTCAATGTCTGGTTGTGCAACTGTGGGGTTTTTGTTTATGGCGACGACGTAAATGGGCCTTATTTTTGAATTCATCGGGCAGTCATATTTATTCGTTGACATTTTTGGTGCATTGTTCTTGAATATGGTAGTGACCTGTTATTTACAGACAATTACAAATGGCGGCGTTACTCATATCTTCAAAAGTTCAACCGCTCAACTTATCCTTATTTCCCGGTTTCTCTCCGGGAAATCATCTTCATGTCACACTTTGGAGCCTTTTTTTCTAAGATAAATTGCGTTACCACTTTATTGTAATCTCTGGTTTAGGATTGCACTCTTTTATGTCTATTAATAGGACATTTGAATTATTTCTGGCATGATGGAATGCGAGTAGTCAATAAAAAGTAGATATTTGGTTCACTTTTAACCAACATGACTGTTGGTTAACGGAAAAAACGTGTGCTTTTCACTGGCTAATGGGCCTTGAAAATATTTCAGACTTAACTTACAAATGTGATTGGGTTATAGTGGACGATCCTACGTATATCGTAAGCATTTTTGGGGGCCTTGCACAGAATTTGAACTCTGTTGTATTTCTGTCACTGTTTACAGCTTCTGGAATGTGAATGCTCGATACTCAGATTGTTGTAGATCTAGAGTAGGTAAAAAATGCACTATCACAATCATTACTATGTATGAGAGGTCGTAATTGATTCACGAAATAGTCAGTGGCTTTTATTTGCGCACATGAGCGTTCAAATGGAAATCTACCAGTGTGAACATGCACTTACGAAAATGCGTCGAGAATATGGACCGGTGTTGAGGTGGAGTTAACCATCTTACGATTGAAGGTAGTCATAAATCGCCAATTCAAGCGGTACTAGAAAGAAAGTTGGGAACAATATGCATGGATAGATTACTCGAATCATGCATTATTTTCGCTCTAGAAGGGAACGTTTCTTTTGTGCAGGTTAATCCAGAGGTTAAAAAGGATAACCTTTTTAAAAAGTAAATGGAGTTTTACAAACTTATTTTAGATTGTGGAGCATGAAACGGTGTTGTGTGAGGGGTTTTGTGTGCCCATTTGTTTAATGAATTGGAATAAGTATTTCATTTTTTTTCATAAAAAACGGGTACTTTGTGAAGTTGATGGACTTTAACTTCTCTCTACGGTAATCGGACTTAGCAACAATGTTTCTTTCGAGTTCTGGGCTCGTCTCTATTGTAGGCGTAGAAGCTAGACACACTTTGCCTTGGCTTTATGCTATGTCCTCTGGATAAACAGATGATAGGCTGTTTTTTAAAGTGGTTGCTGTTACTTGAACCGTTTATGTACCATTGGGTAGCATAGTTTGCACCTCCCGTTGTTTTTGCACACAAAGGCGCCCAAGCGATGTGAGCTTGCATTGTCTTATGGCATATTTCGGATACCTCATTCGCTTTAGCTCTCGTAAACACCCAGCGCCGTGCAACGAAATGCCAAACAACCATGCCCACGCACATGCATATGCGCATATCGGTCCGTTTGTGTTGGGAAGGTTTGCAACTTCGTAGCAGTCGTGGCCATATATGTGGGCTTTTTTGTGCTGTAATTGCTAGCGGTCAGTTGTTGCATGACTTTCCCATCTTTCTGACATGAGGAGTCTCAGAGATGAAATCATAGTGGTGGGCGTGGTCATCCCGGCCGTTGATATCCGTTACACTTAGAAATAGAGTATGCATGGATCCATCATTTTGGTGAGCTTCCGCACTATTGCTTGATCTTTTTTGCCATTTCACATCGTTGAATCCTTGACTATGTTCGCATTAACATGTTTTAGTTCGATTGGATAAATAATTGAACTAAGACGCTTACAATTCTTCCTTTCAATGGGGACATTATAAGTTTTTCTTATTTTTTAAACAATTACGTTAAGTAACCAGTCTAAATCCCAGTCTATACTCGTGCTTTTACAAATACTAATTTTACGTATTTTTATTTCTTCATTCGCTACATTTTAGATTTCCCTTTCGATAAGTGCTCACCGTAGATTCAGATACCTAGATTTTCATCTTTCGGCAACTGATACCTTGAGTGTGCTTTTGTCAGGGCTTTTGAATGACTGACTCTAATCTAAGGGGAGAAAGGTTAATGAAGTACTGGACCAATACGTCTCTATCAATCAACAAATCCAAGCATCACTTTCCATCACGTTCTCTATTTTCTTTACTTGGGAAGTTTACTCTGTTTAAATGCTTGTTTGTGGCTGCTCCTCCAGAATACTTAGGCATAATATTTTATTGTATCCAAATCCATTTCTTGAACAGGCATATTCAGTGCTGTCGAATTTGAAATGGGGCAATCTATGATACATTATTATCTATTGAATGTCACTTCCTTTGATCTATATGCCAAATACCCACAGTATAGTTAGTGTTTATGTGTAGACCTCTTTGGAAGAAATTCGCGAATCTCTTTCAACCTGACAGTCCTCTTTACAAGCAAATCGCATCAATACACTTGTATTGTGTGTATCGTGACTATTGCTACGTGGTCAAATAGTACTTCTATTATGAACTGATTAGTTGGCTTCTAACAATGGGAATTTTGTTTGTCTACCCAATTCGTCGGATCACATCAAAGGATGCGTAGACGTTGGACAAGTTTACACTACCAACGGTAGTCAGCTGTTTCATGAAATGGTCTCTTGTAAAGATATCCGAATACATGGTATAAATTATTAAAAGACACACTCTAAACAAACAGTATCCGAGGCTTCTTGTTCAACGTTAATTTACCTCAATGCTGTGAAGGCATTCAGCTGCGAGTCAAGTGAATTCCGCTTTTTCTAGTATGAACATACGTTTGGTGTGCAGTTGTCCACGTACTGTGACCGTATAAATGTTAGCATTCCTTTGAGCATAAAGAAACTATACATTTGCGTTAGTAATTACTCTACAAAACTGAATATTTCTATCTTTGATTTGGAGGTGGTTAGTGTAACTCCATTTTTTCCCTAATTTCCTAGAATTAGCATCTTCAGAAGTTGGCTATAAGCATTTTTAGTAAAAATGGTCAATTTTAAAGCATAATGTGTGTACTGTCAGTTACGTCCTCAAGTGCAACTAAGGGAACTCTCTATTTACTCCGAGTGATGGATTTTTTGATAATTTAAAAAAACGAGTTTATTAAATCATGCCCCCATCAGTCCTCGCAGGTTGCAACGTGCCCACGTTTTGCCCATTACCCTTAGGTTAAAACCAATCGTGCATTTGTTGCGGTCAGCCATAAGATACAAGCTAAAAGTGTAGTAAGAGTACCGGAATCGGTCCGACCCAAATCTAGATGTAAATGACCGTAACCTTACCAAAGCTATGTCAGCGTTCTCTAACGAACTTTAAAATACTCTCTTCCGTATTCAAGGCGCATTTTCTACAAATGTGATTGAATTTTCTCCTGTCTGATTCATCTAAACTTGCTTGTAACCCTCTTTATTAAAGCTTGGTTTTGCAAACTGTATTATTTACTGAAAATGGCAGCATGCAGCTTCTTGCTTTCTCAACCTTAAACTATTTACCATAGTCGTCCCCCAATAACATAGGTAAACATTTACCGCGAATGCACTAAAACCACTTTAACACTTTTAAAAGATTGGTGAAGTGCATTCTTCTAGAAGGAGATAGGAGTTTTGTATTGCTGCTAGTAGCTGCTTCCTTACGTGGGTTCGTTTGATCAACTTTTTAAAAACTGTTTGATCGCTTCTAGGCTTGGAGGCATCGCTAGGGGAAATTAGCATGCGATTGATAATAGAAAAGACTAGAATGATCGAAATTTCCTGTTTGGCTTTTCGTTCACTAACGTGTTCGGAAGTGCGGCCTCACTTGAGCGTACACTCATCCTCAGACTCTACACTAGGAGGATCGGTAGATATTTGGCATGTAGGACAGTGTTAGATTATGGATAGATGTGATGGGTTCCTGTTTTTGACTGCCAGCTCCTCGACAGGAGGTAAGGCGTCCCCGACACCACGAGGGACGACGTCACCGTGCCAGGCCTCACCGACGCTTTCGAAAAGCGTTAAGCCGGCAGAAGTGACAACAGGAATCGGAAGTGGTGATAGACGAAGATACCTCAGCGAGATTGAGCTCTGCGACCCTGACCTTGGATACCCGCGGGTGGCGAACCCTACCAATCGTAGTAATCCGCGCGGTGTCTGCCTCCTCATCAACCAGCGCGATTTTGATTCAGCCAAGACCGGGCAGGAGCGCCGTGACGGCACCGATGTCGATGCGGACAATATCGAACGCACTTTCATTCGCTGTGGCTACGCTGTTAACCGCGCTACCAATCTCACGCTCCGGAAAATGGAGTTTCTTCTTGATGACGGTTAGTCATTCTCCCACATCATCTTCTACCATTCTCTTTTTCTAGCACCCTAAACTGAATTCGAATTGGGAGAAATTTTGTGGATTTGTGCTATTTTGATTCATTCTCTGTTTTTAATGTTGGTTATAAATGTCGTTGGGACGTGATCGCACTTCGCTAAATGAGAATCGCTGTGCAGTATCCCATAAACCCGAATCGTAATTCATCAAACATTCCAACATGCTTAATTTTCAGTAGAAGATTAGCCTCGGACATATTTCATTCTTGCAAAAGGATTTTAGGCGCACGTATGTACCACCCGTTTAGCGAACCGTGTCTTGGTAAAAAAATATCAGTGAGCTTTTTTATGGGATTTAGACTGCCATATTTTATGACTACGTAATGACCTGTGTGTCTGTGGCAGGTGCTCCATGTGTGGCAGACCCGGTCCTCCCTACCCTTAATCCGATTTCATTTCTTATACTACCTTTCTCAAGCTTGGTGAATAACCTAAAAAGAGGTCCCTAAATTATTTATTTCGGATACTCACAATCATTTAGCACCTTCTCACAAATTATGGTGAAGCAAATGGAAATGTGCCTGCTTTTGCTAATCAATTTCCTTGTAGATTAGTAGTCCAGTATTTGCTTTGTGATAAAATACCCCTAATTCTCAATTTCATGAATATACGCTTTGAATCATTTTCTGGGTTTAATCCAACGGTAAATTGCTCTTAAAGAGAGTGCGCCTGAAACTACTAAAAACAATTACCGCGTCATAAACAGTGCAAAGCATTGGAAATAAGCGATTGAGACTGATTTTTTGTGGAAAGGAAATCTGTTTAAGGCAGTCTTATTGAGTTGAGAGTTGTCTACAACCTACATGCGTTTGTGGTCGAATGCGAATTAGATAATTGGTTGATAATTTACAACCAAAAGCGAAAGTTTATTACATTCAATATGGTTGATCAGAGGCGTGCATAGTGGACTCAATTGTTCGATCACTGCAAATTCACGAAAGATGATGTCAACAGGAACAAGATGTGTGTATGAATGATTGGTTCCACTAGCTTCTTTTTTGCAGTGCGATCGCAGAACCACAGTAAGTACGACAGCTTTGCTTGCGTCATCCTTAGCCATGGCGCTGAGGGGATTGTCTACGCCTCCGACGGGACCATCAACGTTGATCGTCTCATCGGATACTTCCGCTCCGATAGGTGCCCTACCCTCGCTGGCAAACCGAAAATGTTCTTTATTCAGGTGCGTCTTGGGTGGCACTGAGACCGTTGTTGGATGTATTTTACATAATGGGAATCTCCATGAAGAAGTGTAGCTCCAACTAATCTCACTGTAAAGTCAGAGGATTTACTCAGAACTGTTTAGTTCCCTCCATAGGGCTAGAAGTTATCAATTATTACGACTTACAATTTTTGTATCTCTCCATGTGCCGATGGTGACTGAGAAATTTGGTCTCGAATTTAATGGCGACGTTTCGACTGGTGTAGTTTTGCTTTTGTCAATTCACCACGTAGTTTAGCCGGCTGCATGTGTTTGTGGCACTTTTTGCGCATTAAAAGGCCGTACGCAACTTATCTCAGGTCATTGTTTGGAAGTGGTTTAATGGCAGTCTTACTGTTTACTGGTATTCATTGTTACCAGGACTCCGAATAATAAAACCATTTAATTTGATTCAAGTGAACGTTCAGGTAAGCCATTAGTCACTCTCAAGTGCTCACATTAATCAACAAATGCAGGATACTTTGTCTGGTTCAGTTAAAGCTGACTATTTGACCGTTCAATGTATTCCTAAATGTTTATTATGTTGCATTTACATCTATTTAATTCTATTTCCTGTGGAGCTCTACAATCTATTTACCAAGGTACATTTCTGCCCTCTCGAAGGTAGTGTTAGAAATAACTTTCTTTCCCATCCCTCGCTAGTTCTCCGGTTCTGTCAAATCAGAATTTGCAGTGCTCGATGTCACCTGTTAGCGTCACGCTCAGCTTCCCTTGTGGTTAGACAGGCCCGTATTCTGTGACATTCGGTGTCTTAAAATATTATCTTAATCATTGCACCACTTTGTGGGGCTCACTTCGGCCTTAAATCTATTATCATATGATTCAATTCTCGGTCTTAATTGGCGTAAGTTCCGTACAATGTAGCGGGGTGTGATGGGTCACCGGGATCTGTGCAGCAGTAGCGCCACTTTAAAATCCGGAACTATCAGAAGTGAATCAACTTAGAAACAAGTACTGTGCACACCGAGAACCTCTCTCTTCATCCGGTTATAGGTGTTTTAGTAAACAGGATGCACTGTACCATCATTGCTGTGTTCGTTGTTTGTTTCAACGCTGATTAACGATGTTTATTTTGAACTCTTAAACAACACCAAGCGTGCCTTTTTTTTCTCATTCATATCTTTAAGGCCTGCCGAGGCTGCAAGTTCGATAAAGGTGTCACTCTCTCTACGGATGCTAGCTCGGACTCTGTGCTTGTCACAAAGCTCCCCATCGAGGCCGACATCTTCGTCGCTAACTCAACCTTTCCCGGTAGGCCGTGCCCCACGTTTGCATTCCCCATTCCTCCACTTGGCTTTTTCCAGTCACATCCTCATGTCGTAGCAGTAGATTTGTCGTCGATCTTCCCAAACCCATAAAAAGGTGACGCAATTCGTGCTGTTTCTCCTTCTAAGCATGCTTATAAGCTGTTTTTTTTCTTTGGACAGGGTTAGGTCTTGCCCCTGAGGTAGTAGTGAAACTGTCCTTGGTTCGTGAAACACATATATGGAATCAATCACCGCCAACCAAGGAGACTCACCCGTTTTTTATGGCCGAGAGAGACTAAAATAGACTCGAGATGTTGCTTTCAGTGTAACAATTTAACACCACTTACAAGTGCCCGTGTGTATTCGTGATGCATTATGCAGGTTACTACGCTTGGCGCAACTCGCACGCAGGCAGTTGGTTCATCCAGGAATTGTGCAAGGTGATAAAGGCGGCGCAGGAGTCAGGCCGGCATCACGACGTGGCCTCACTATTGACAGTGGTGGCACGCAAAGTGGCACTGCTCTACGAGTCGAACACAGGCCAGAGCGACTCCCACGGCAGTAAGCAGATGGTGAGCGTAAACTCCACACTTACCCGCAAGGCCTTCATCGTCTGACAATCTCTCCTGTCCATGCTACCAGTGCCTCTGTCCCCCCTTCTTTATTCTTCGGATCATTTCATGCATCTATATCCGGTTATCGTGTTGTTAGCCTAATGCATTTCATGTGTTTCCATACGCATCACTTGCTCGGTCCTGGGGCTGACAGACTTTTATAACTAACCTCTTACTTTCCAATACTCAGTACCGAGGTGGCAGCCTGTGGTAATGATTTACCGAAAGGGTCGTGAGGTGCTGGTCTAGGAACGGTATGGCGTTTCTAGAAACATTTAAAAAACTCTGAAGGCATGCTCTAAACTATATATTATGTCACCGAGTTAAACCGGTGGGATGGAGACTACGATCCACGAGCGTCGTGGCGCCGAGCACAGTGATCTTTGTAAAAGTCCACTATATTCGTTTTTCTGAGTGGAGTACCTCGGAGAGTTTGGGAAGTGCAGGAATCAATCTAGAACCCAAGTGCATTTAATAGAAAAAGGACTTGAAGTAATTGAGGCCCCACTCTCGAGTGCTGGATCTCGTCGATCTACATAGAGCATTGAGTCCTAACTTGCCTTTAAGGCGACGTAGTCACCTATGTGGATTTCAGATGAATCTGGAAGGTGTTTTGGGAAAATGACTTTAACTCCTCCATCCACGCGTCCGGCCAATTCAGCATTCGATCTTTTGCTAATCTGAAAAGGAAGAAAGAAACGACGGATCGCATGCGTGCAGAGGAGGGGAGAGAGCAACCAACTGTTACCGATTCGACAAGCACAAGTTCTGTGGAACCAATGAGGGAGTTATTGAATCGAAGAGCTGCCGACCGGAGAGCTGATTTCAACTCGTTATGTCTGCGTGCTTTGATTTCCGCCGGCACGTCATCCTCCAATCGGTAGAAAGCACGCGTTTTCTAAAATCGCGGAGAAAAATTGACCCACTTCGCAAAAAGAATCCAGATGCAAAAGGAGGGTAGAACTTACACCTCTGAGACTAAAAGGAAAGCAAAAGCCGTATGCGTACGAAACGCGATCTATGAGAGAAAGTGTTTGATTGTGATCGTCCTCTGTTTCGCCGCAGAAACCAGCGATAAAGTCCGAGGAGATTGCAACGTCTAAAGGAATCGGGTCTGAATAAGGTAACAACGTGCTTGGAATGATCGATTTCGCACGATTGACCAGTTCCAGATAAGCTTCTCTGGTGTATCCACGTTGCATGCGTTCAAGGACCGGGGAACTGCCCGATTGCGCCGGTAAATGCAGTTGTGAACACACGTTAGGGCGCTCAGCAATCAGCTGAAGCACCTATAAAATCATATAAATGAGCGGTGGGGGTAGACTCACTTCGAGATTAAAATCTTTGGGATGGGGGGATGTGAAACGTATGCGCATATTGGAATCAACAGAGCTTGCTGCGTCCAACAGACTGATGAACCGGTATCCACCGACTTTTTGCTTATACACAGTCTTGAAGCCAGGAGCAAGCGTATCGGTAGTGCAGCCAGTGGAATCGATGCCCTCCGAGAGATCACGATAACTGTTTACATTTTGACCCAAAAGAATAACTTCTTTAACACCCTTAAACAAAAGAGGTGATTCGGCTTAATCATTGCGTCACAAAATCGAGGAAAGTAGCAATACCTCGAAGGAGAGTTGGTATAGTTCTTCAATGATAGATTTCAAGGGCCGACTACGCTCTCTTCCACGAACAAAAGGAACAATGCAGTAAGAACACATATTGTCACAGCCTCGCATCACTGAAATGAAGGCCGATGGGCCGAATTGACGAACGGGTTTGACATCGGCATAGGTCTCCTCTAGAGAAAGAGCAAGAGACGCCCCCTTCAACCCTTTCGCTTGAATGTCCTCAATTAACTTTGGAAGGTCACGATAGGCATCTGGACCACATACAAAATCTGCAGTAACTTCGTATCCCTCAAGTAGATTTTCTTTCAGACGTTCGGCCATGCAACCGAGAATGCCTATGCACAGAGGTGAACGATGTTTGCTTCTTAAAGAAGAACGAAAATGTCTCATGCGACGCCATATCTTTTCTTCGGCACCTTCACGAATAGCACAAGTAAGAAGAAGTGCAGTATCCGCCTTCAAGTAAAAATGTATTATTATTAAATCAAACCTCGCTGAGGTCATTGACTTTTTTGAACCCCGCACTTTTTAGAATTGAATGAACTATTTCTGAATCACTGAAATTCATTTGACATCCGTAGGTTTCCATGTAAAAGGTTCTTTTACACGCGTCACTGTTGACACGAGTGAAATTGCGGAAGGAACAAAATGTCTTTGTGATTACACATCGTGAAAGTGGTTTCAGCATTGGTAATATAAGGTGTAGGGCCGCCATTAGGTTTGCTGGAGCAAAAAATGATATGAAATGGCTTATAAGATGATATGCGGCTTAATTCAAGCAACGAATAAACATAGCTCAACAATATAGTTTAGCATGACTGGTTTGAGATCCCAAGTTGGAAATACAAAGAGAAACAAACACTTTATTACCGTGAAACTAAGAGGGGAGTGTGGTACCAGCTTTAAAGATGATATAAAGCCTACGTAGAATTGATTGTGATGCAAATAGGACAATAGCCTTTATTTATACTTAGCGATGTAATAGGCATTAATCGAAAGACAAAACCAGAGGCAAGATAGGAGGTAGAAGGTTGCAAAGATTTCGGCAACATTCCAAAAATACTTTTAACGCAAATTACAAACTTATTTGCCGAAGATGCTTTTTTTGGATGAGACGTTAAAAATACCAAAAGGGTAAACTTTGCGACAGATAACCATGAACCTAGTTGTAATCACGCGTGTACAATTAAACCAAAATAAAATGTTCGAAATATGGGGTTTTGGAGCACTTGCTTAAAGCATGTAATTGGGCCTAGCTCACGCGATTACGGCAACAAGTTCATATTAATAAAACCGCACAAATATTTGGGGAACCCAAGGTCTACTCAATTCTTTTCACACAAAAAACAAAATCACGTCATATTCTAAAAAGGGCAGTCAAGTTTTTCTATAGTCACAAAAACGCTTACAACTACTCTGAAAATATTACTACCAGTGTTGTGTAGCAGCGGGGTAGGAGGATACAAGCACAGCCGGGCTATCATGGCTTCCCACAAAATGGCCAACTACGAGGACCAATGTGTTCCCTTGGTTCAGCATAAAAGTAAATACTATATTGTAATACGATAGTGGTTTGTCCCTCGGTTCTGGTGAGGCGCCACTTTTGTACTTTGAGCTAGCCCCCTTGTACCTCGCTGGATGGGTTGGCCTTTTGGGCCATGCCAACAGCCCAGACACCTTCTCCGTGCTGAATACATATATTCTGCACGAGTGTTGTGTCTTCTTTCGTCTTCAGGGAGTCTCGGGACGCTACAATATACAATAACCGCATTGGTAAATTCAATGGCTTGTTAGTGGGCAACATGGGCAGGCGATAATTATAACAAGTAAAAATAGGTAAGTTGTAGACAGATAATGCCCTAAAAGTGGTATCCGCAGTAAATTTAAGAGCCATTATTTTGAGTTTAAGTGGTGAATACTTCGTTTAACTTTTTGGTTTGCATTTATAATTGTCTTGGTTATCAAAATGCGCAAAATTTTAGTGGCACTCACGCTCTTTCCCCAAAAAGTTGGGATAATAAAAACTCTTCAAAAGCAAGTTAATTGTGCTTTAATTCTATTTGGAATTTTGTTAGGCTGTGTTTAAAGTTCACTCATTGAACGTTTGGATCTACAATGCGAGTGCGCGGCTGTTTCAACTCTTGTCGAATCGCCGGTGGACACTGGTGCTCTGGTGGTTTGGGGTGTTGCTGTCCGACATAGTTGATCTGCTTTTTTATGATTTACAGTAGCTTAGGAGAATTCGTCTGCTTTGACACTGTTTTTACATAAGCTTTTATGTTTTTTAGTTGCTCGAGGCATCTGCGAAAGTGCTGCGCGGCTTCATTATGATGCTCAATGGAATTTCTATGCGATGTCTTACATACCGCGTTAGAGCATCAATAGTTTCATTCATGAAATGCCTGTATTTTGTTGTTTTCTATAGGCATTGGTTATAGGTGTCTTTTGTAATTTACTACGTTAGTGTTCTCTGTGGTCGAGTTAAAATATGAGGACATTTACTTGTTCTAGTGCATCTTTCTTGTTTCTTGGCTTGTTTGAATACTGGCTGTAACTTAGCATTTGACTGAGGTCTCCTATGGTTGATCCAATATCTTATGCTTAGAAATACTTTGATTAGAATGTGTTATATTTTAGGACGGTGGGTTCTGATGTTCAGTGTAGCACAAACTTTGTTGTGGAGACTGTCATCTTCTGTCTTTACAGACATATTTTATGTGCTCAACTTGCCAAGATGCTATGCTTCAACCGTGGACAAATATCAAATCCAGCATGAGCATATGACTAAGGATGAATGCCTTGTTGTGGACAATTTTGATCGTGTTCTATTCACAGCTTCAAAAAAGGTTTTCCGGTTTCTCACTTTCCAAGTTCCTAGAATTGTCACTACAAAGGTGGCTTATTACATCGGGCATTTAGTTTGTTCATATTTCGCGCATCACCTTCAACTGCTGGTTCATTGGAGCTTTTGGTACAACAACGTTCTACGTCGAAGCTCACGTTTCCATTATTATGGACTAATAGCTGTTGTAGTCACCCCTGCGTTAATTATGATGGTGAAACTGAGGAGGCGAACGCTCTCGGTGTTAAACGTGCGGCCCGACGTAAGGTTAGCTTCTTACAGGTACTTTGTGCGTTTGAATGCTCCCATCTCCTTTGTTAAAATGTATTTGTTCCCCTTATTTTAGGCAAATCATGAACTTGGGATTGATATTACTAGATGTTTATCCATTGAGGATATTCATTTTTTGACGCGCATTATTTACTCGGCTTCCAATGAGCCCGAGGACAATATGTGGTGCGAGAGGGAAGTGGATTACCTTCTGGCCAGCATTCTTCCTCCAAATCTGTCAGTCGATTGTTCCTACATGGCCCCCGATGTCGATGAGGTTGCTGCGACCGCTTGGTTGGACCTCGTTTCTCTCGAATCCTTGGTTGAAAAAGAGCCCTGCTGCTATACGCCATGGTTCCGGAAAATCGTGCGCCTCGGATACCTTAGAAAGATGTGGCAGTGGGCAGAAGCTAAAGTATCCTTATCACCACCTCATTCACTCCAGGCCGTTGGCGAACTGTGGGACCGAACTGACATTTTTGAACTGAAATAATCAATGTGATTATCTTAATCTACGCATACATATTTTACTTCCTCATTACCTTGTTTATTATTGGGAATATATTGTCCCAACTTATAGTTACTTTTTGACTTCACCAACAACGTGAGAGGATCATTTACTTTGGTTTTTGTTCTAGAGAATGACACTGGGCGGGTCTGGAGCACCAGTGCGTCGTGGCGCCTCTTTAATTGGCAGTTCGTCATCCGTAGACGATGCAACCAACCAGAATAGCAATGAGCCTGATCTTTTGAATGAGCTGTATACTCGCTTAGAACATATCCAACCCACGGTACGTTAATGTGTTTGCTAGTAATTTTCTTCCCTATATTGATAGATACCCGATCGTGTGTCTATACTCCTGTTGGAGTCCGCTGGGGTGCGTCTAGAGGCGGGCGAAGGAGACGCCCGATTAGCCCGTTTGGTTAGTCTAGCCGCCGAAAAGTTCCTTTCCGACATTCTTTCCGACACCATGGTACACTGGAAGCTCTCAAATGCCCAAAACACCGGTCTTCTCACCAAAGCCGGCACTCCTTCTGCTTCGAAAGAGGCGGGCAATGCTCTTGCGCCTCCAGAGGATAATAAACCACAAGGTACATCTGCAGCGTCCATGTTACACTCGTTGCTTACGTTAGCTATGGTGGTCAGAATACTTTCTTGTATAATTTTTTTCATTCGCTTTTGAGATTTACATATATAGAGCAGAGTATTGATACTAAACAGGGTCAGCACATGTTTGCTGTTGTAAAAACTGTTGGGTTTGGTATAATTCTCTTGCTATCGATCGATATACGGCATCTATTACACAATTGTTTGATGCGTGCGCACCTATTTGTCTTTTGTCCAGCCCAGTCTAAGCCCTCAGCGTCGGGAAAGGTGGAGAAGCGTGTCACGCTAACTGTGGAGGATCTTGTGGCGGCCCTGCGCGATCGAGGCATTCATGTGGCGCGTCCGCCCTACTATATATGAGTAAATGCCCGATTGCGTCCTTAAATCGGTTTTTTGTTTTGTTTTTTTTTTTTTTGTGGTCACCAGAAACGACATTCAATGTATCTATACATCGTAGAGGCTATGTGGTGTGGAGGATCGCTTTGCAATACCGATGTGTTGTCGACGCAACTTTTTACCTCTCCTGGGGGCCCATAATGGTGGGTGTGCGGGCGTAGATGTGAAGCCACTTACGACTGGTGGTTCAGCCTAGAGTCCATACTTGAAGCCTTAAATGAGATGGGGGGGGGGGTTTAGCTGTTCTTTGGCAGTGAGGGGTGCGGGTTCTCGCTGCGGAGGTAGGCATCACCCAGCCCACCTGTTAAGACCTCTTTGATGGCACTGGGAAGCTGCGACGGTTTATTAAAATCGGCGTTTATTTTGCAAACACCGATTATATTTCTACTAAGTAGTATACCTTACAGAGCATGCATTTAGACTACCGCCCTCTCTGTGCGCCAGTAATGTACTTTTTGCCATGCCGATGAGACTCCTCATGACTTCAAGGGAGACCAGGGGGCCTACAGTACAGTCGGCAAATGTCGCATCTCCTAACAGAGGCTACATTCTATGACAAGCGATTAGTCAGTTGCTATTTTCACTAAAAAGCTCAAATTAAAATACGTAGAAATAAATTTGCCTTGTTTATGTACATCCAATGGCTGAAGCAATTATTAGAGGTCGGCATGCTGTTGGATCTATAAAAGATGAGAAAAGACTATCGACAGGCGTAAATGAGGAATCTTACTTATTATTTCAGTAATTTCAGACAAGCAAGGCAAAATTTTGGGGCAAACATTCATAATTTTGCTTTAATTGATTACATAGGTGAATTATCACTTGATACTTTTGTTTCTCAACTAGTTAGTAAAACTGTGCTAAATGGACCAAAAAACACGCTGACGTCCTCAATAAAAAACGGCTAATCTTTAACTTGAGGTGTGGTTTATTTGTGTGTCTCTTGATCCAGATAGCAAATTGTGGGAATTGAATTGACTTAATACGATTAGAAATAATTTTTTCGTAAGTGATTGGGTGTTTCAAGTTTCCGTATTTTATCTTCTTGCTAGAACTGCATGTCATTTGCGTCCCGAGTAACATTTGCTGTCTCCTGCGTCGCGACCGTAGGAATTATTGCTTACGTACATATTGAACAAGCCTTAGAGCGAGAAGTATGTTGTTCCTTTAATTAACTGCTTTCTAAAAAGCGAATAAGTGCCACTGTGCGAGAAGAAATCGAGGCTACGAAGGCTCTCATAAGAGACCGAATAGAGTTAGAGTAAATACTGTATTTATTAATTTTGTCAGGCCTTCTGAACTTTCAGAAAGCCCTTCAAAATAACAATGCAGCAAGCATTAAAGGTTCGAGTTCCGTTTCCAACCAAATCTGCCGCTGAAATTGCATTTCGTTCTCTGAGAGTTGATGCAGAACCCCAACGTTCAACTGTTTCTGTACAGCTATCTGTTGAAGAAAACTTCCTCTGTGCAAAATTCACTGCTGATACTTTATTCGAGTCTAACTTGGACTCTATTTCGCAGTTGAAGAAGCTTCGCATAACAATTAATCATTGGCTTGATTCAATATTCTTGATTTGTGAAACTATGGCCGAGTTTGGCGATCCTCCTGCAGATATGCCTGAACCAATGTGCGCGATCACGGGGAATGGGGATGCTTGACCTTTTTTAGAAATAAAACTAAATAATTTGCAAGCTGGGTTTTGTTGATGCGCAAACTAGTCGCGTCTACTGTGACAGAATTTGCTCATTTTGTAGATATGAGTGATCAATTGGACGCCTTGTTTTTGAACATTGCACAGAACTGTCCTGATGGTATCAGAGGGATGCTGGATGCCTTTTTCGGCTTCCTTTCCCGCAGAACGGACTTCTACTACGGTGCTGCAATAACTGATGCAAAGCAACTCGTCCTAGAGCAATTCGAGAAGCACAAGGTAAGCATCCTCACACTTTCTTAAAGCTATTTTCGTAGACTGCTGCTCTAAACCGCCACAAACGAGAGAAGGAGGAAATGAAAGCCAAAGAGGAACGCGAGAAGCGTCGTCGTGCCGAACGCGCGGAAGAGGCTCTCCGAAAATCCGCTGATAATGGTAATGGTAGTCTCTAGTCTCGATAAGTACATTTTAGCTGGTAGCAAGGAGTTAACTCGCTCCACCGACTAAATTGCTCACTAGTTTCCTGGTCGTTAATGTTAATCTGGGTACTGTTCTGCAGGTGTACGGTAGTTATCTCCTAGATGTCTAGCAATCATCCAGGTAGTTAAAACGAAATCAGAGTAAACAGTCATTTCAATGGTTTATCACCCCGTTTTCTGTTCGGAGACGTAACCCTATCCATATAATCTACTGGACTTCAAAAAGCACTGTCAGTGTCCTTGTCTTGTAGGATACAGTTGAATTTGCTGGTTCAACTTTTGTTTACAAATCAGATACCAGTTTTTACATAGCTAAGCTCATAGGATCCCAACCAAGTTCGCACACGTTCATATTTCAGACATTCATAGCGGTGTGGTGATAGAGGAGGTAAAGGACGACGAAGAGGCGGAAGAGATGATGAAGTCGGAGGGAGAGGAGAAAGAGGAGTCGGCGAAGTTAAGCCCGAAGGGAGACGAGGAGAGTAAGGAGAGTGCGCCGATTAAGCCCGTTAAAGTGGGGCCTCTTGCCGAAGGGGAGGAGGAGGATGAGGAGGACAAAGGCAAGCTAAAGCCCAACGATGGAAATGGTGCTGATCTTGATCGCTATCGATGGACTCAGACTCTTCAAGACTTGGAAGTTAGAATTCCAATTAGGGTAGGTCTTATCAAAATATTGTTTTCTTATTTTTCCAGTTTATCGATTCTCAACCCAAACGGTATTCCTGACCGCTATCAAAAGCTACTTTAAAATAAACTTTTTTTCGATTTGCTTGAGGCTAGTTATGTCATGATGTGGGGACTTGTTACACCTCAGTTATTGACAAGTCTTACCGTACACTTATTTAGTGTTTGTTCTCATTTTCGTGCATTACTTATATCGAGGGCACTCTATAATACCTACAATTACTGAGCTAGATGAAATCCGAAGAGTGCTTGCGATTTGCTTTATTTAGGTTTTTTTCATTCTTAGTTGGGTAGGCGGATTAAAAGCCGCGACGTTGTGGTAGAATTCAAACGAAGGCATTTAAAGGTCGAACTCAGGGGTCAGGAGCCAATTCTTCAGGGCGAACTTTACAATGAAATTAAGGTATAACCGCTTTCTGTATCAATATTCGACTTTGAGCGCTTGCCGAATTGCAACATCTAATGGTATTTCAGGAAAGTAGTATTACTTTTTCATTTGTGGTAAATTCTAAGGCTTTCGCATTACTTGTTTTCTTAATTGTGAACGGTAGAAATTTGTCCTTGTGTTGCCCGTCTCTTAGCCTATTTTAGTGTGCTTATATTATATGATGCATATAATTTAGCTTCCCATAATACGCATAAAAACTGCACTGTTGACACTATTGTATGCTAGAGGGTATTCAAGCTTTAGGAAAATTTGGTCATAGGAATGCACGATTTTTTTCTGTTTTTGTTCGTTTGTATTTTTCAGATAATGCGGTGTTACAACAGCGAGGCCATTATTTTTTTTTTCAACTTAAAAACTTTGCTTAAGATTTTGGTAATAGGTTTATAAACTCAAAGTGGTGTTAAAGTTTTCTTGCAAGACTGCGCGATGAGTGACTAACGGATTTATAATACGATTACCACCGCACATGAAGTGTGTTTAAGTAGACAGCTGTAGAAGGTTCACCCTGTAAGTATTTATCCACCCGTTCTGCAATCGCTACTTATATCATTTGGAATAGTTATGCGTAGGTTTGTCTTTCAATATTGTATGCTCTTATATGGCCTGATTCCTCTTTGAAGACGATATATGCTATGCAAGTCTGCTTAGGACTTCGGTATAATCGTGGAGGAGGGTTGGTGGGCTGTTAACAGAAATGATCCGGGTGAAACGCCATAATGCCAAAGTACTGGCCAAAGTCTGTAGGGACTGAAGAGCCTGGGCGGTCAATTGCGACCACAATTGGGCGCTGAAGTTCCTAGTGTCACAAGATACATGCTCGTTCTAAAACTTGCTTCCTGCTCTTCTCTCACATGCCAGACAGAGGAGTCCTCTTGGACCCTGGATGACGGATTGGAGATAGTGCTGAGTCTAGAGAAGGTCGACAAGATGTCCTGGTGGTCGTGTGTGGTGAAGGGTGAGCCGGAGATCAACACAAGGCGTGTGCAGCCGGAGAACTCTAAGCTCGGTGACCTAGACGGAGAGACACGGGGCATGGTGGAGAAGATGATGTACGACCAACGACAAAAGCAGCTTGGGAAACCCACCTCCGATGAGCAGAAGAAGCAGGAGTTATTGAAAAAATTCATGGATGCGCATCCTGAGATGGATTTCTCTAAGTGCAGGTTTGATTGACTCTTTCATTCCTCAAAGAGCAGGACACCATTATCAAATGCTTGTTATGTCGTTAAAGTGGAAACATTTTAATACTTTTCCTCAGTTGAGTAATTTTGCACCGAGTGGGCCAGTGCTTGCTTCTTGAGTTGTCAAAGCTAATTTCTCTTAACAGGTTTAACGGCAGGTTTAGTCTGGGTCATTTTTATAATCATGCTATTTATTTAGATAGAGTAGTCGGTTTCGGAGTTGCTAATAAGCCAGGATACAAGCTTTATGCATTTCCTTTATCAATCTAACGAATCATAAGCTACAGTTATCTCTATTTGGGACTGAATCGCTAAGTCCGTATGTTTTCAACATTGATGTGATTCATTCGACTTGGAAAAGTCTCACTTATTAAAAATGGCCAGAACTGTCGGCGACGTTACTTTTATGGCAAATGGTGGGAGGGTTTAAGTCAAGGATGCTGGAACCCGTTACACTCCATGTTACGTGAGCAAGGGGTCTGTGGAACTGTGTTTTTAAAAGAAGTTTCACAAATTCTTGGCAAATTGTCAAAACTATTCACACACAACTGTGATGTGTTTTGGGGAGTTCGGTTACTCAAGATGGGGTTGGGTTGCCTGCTGTCGCGACAACAGGAATAAATGGTTTGTGTAGCAGAAGCTTATTAGTATTTAGTGGCCAGAAGATGTTTTTGTATGTGAAGTGGGGAAGACTAAGAAGAATACAGCTCGGCAAAGTCGATAATGAGTTCAGTGAGGCAGGTGTTGCTGCTTCATTCAAGGTAATGCAATGATTTGACGGTTTTTTAACCACCCAGGCAGTTGGAGCTTCTCAGGAAGCGCTATTACCTAGCCGCATGGTCCTTCGGTCATGCCTATGACCTTCCAGCCCTTGTCTACGTTAGCAATAAATCATCCACATTAGGATCCCTTATTACGACTGCAACGAATACACAGGCTGCTACAATTTATCGCTTTTCAGTGTATGTTCTGGCGATGTAAAACTTCGAGAGAGTTGAAGGGATTAGAGGGGGTGATTTTTATTGTGGTAAATACTATACGGTTTGATGGCGCACCCATGAAAGGAAATGTTTTTTTTTAATGGATTTTGCAAAAGATTGCCCTTGGGGCGATTTGGCTTTGACGAAAAAAAGCTTCTCTGGTATCCTTTTGTAGCGGTAGCCAAATGGCAAGGAGATCATGTTTAGGGGCGGAGTATTTGTTTCCAAAAAGAATGGAAATCTCAAATAGATTCAAAACAATAAGAAAATTGTTTTGTATCTGAGATGCCGTGCACCTCATTCGTAGGATGCCCTTATATGCTTTCAAGTATTTTCTTGTAAGGTGAAGTGATGCTTACCCAGAGTACGATTTAGATCTCATTTAGATATGTGATTTAACATATCAAAACAACCGAAGGCAGAGAATCATTACGGCAAAGGAGAAGAATCATTGCGAAATCCCACTGACTTCCAAAGTAGCATTATCCAGAAAAGTTTACTCTGTCTCGAGAAATGTGTTGTATTTAGCCTTAGGCAAATACGGCATCACCTCTGTGATCTCTAAGTTTTGATTGCTCGATTTTTTTAAGCTATTGTACGGATTCTGTGTTTACTTTACTAGTAAGCTAGCTTTTCATTTACAGTGTGAGCAGGCCTGGAAACACGGAGTCTGTAAGTTGCAATCACTGTAACATTATGTGATCTTGACACTGAAAGGCAAAAGTGGACTTGACACAAGCAAGCAGGCAAGAGGGTGGTCTTTATTGTCTTTTATACGTATAACAAATCTGTATGAACTTTACAAATCACTGCGCCATTTGTAAACCTTCCTGATTATTTAATAAAATAGCTCAAGTTTCGGACGACATTGCGCATCATGGATTCTGGTGTCTGAAAGCAGCTAGTGAAACCGAATTTCCTAATTTTGTTGCTGCGGATATTTCTAATTTTTCATCTGGGAGAGCACTTCTTTTTCGATTTTGCAGTGAACGTTCTTCATCACCTGTAAAAGGATGGAGAAAACTTGATACTAGTGTAGATTTCGGCTGGTCTCATCCTATTAGTCAGTTAAACTGACACTGGAGCAGCGCAGGCGGCTTAGTATATTGAAATAACTGAAAATTATGTGACATTTTAAGTGATCGGACGGCTTTAATATCCTAAATCCCTCCATGAGTACTTAAAACAGTGTTAGAATGCCGATTTACTTCTGCTCATGCTTCCAATGCGCATAATTTAGCCGAGCTGAAAATATGTACAACAGAATTCATTGTTAAGCTGACGGAAATGCAGAAGTGAAGAGTGGGCTAGGACTATAGGTGATGCACAGAAAACAGATATGACGATTACATTTGGATGAGTTCAAAGACGCTTACCCGGAACACCTCGTGGGGGTACCACGTGCCGTAGTGAGGCTTGGGCGCGCAACCGAGAGCGACACAATTGGAACAGGTCTGACCGTGGAGGGAGAACCAGAGGTTCCACCTAGGCTGACCTCCCTCCAGCTCCACACAGAGGGCAAAAGAGGCCAGGGCGGATATCGAGGTCCACACCTTCCTGCAATCCTTTAGACGTGCCAATAATCAGTTGCGTGAGTGAATTGAATCACTGTATTCTGATACATCATGATGATTACAAAAAATAATTAAGTGTTGCTTTAGTTACCGGACTGTAGTTGCGCCATCTTATGCGCTTATATCTCCTCCAGGGCATACGATTGTTGCTGAAACAATTCATTCCTGAGAAATTTATAAAATGCCAGGCATGGCGAAACTACAATAAGAACACAGAAATCTGGAATTTTTGGGCTTGACAATGTCAATCTAAACAAACGTCTGTTAATTAATGATTTTAGAAACAGTAGAGGAGTTTGTCTTGATAACGCAATAAAAATGCGGGAATTTGCTGAAGGGCACGAAGGTATAGGTTTCAGGACTAGGAGGAAACGTAAAAAGGAAAAGTGGTGTTCACAGGGTTTAACAGAGCTTTAGTGAAATGGCATGTAATGATAAATGGAGGTAGGAAGTTTATTTAACTAATGACAACTTTCTGTCGTTACCACGTAGAACATAGAGTTATACTTACAGAGATGAATTTAAACGCCGATTTGTCCGTATTAAAACGGAAAAAAATGCAAATAGGATGGGCAGACTCTCAGAAACAGCTAAGATCGTGTGGGCGGCTTGGCTTGACTAGGAGCTTTCAGCATGAGCCGTTACCAAGGCAGTGTCTATGACCACCTAATAGAATGTAGTTCTCCAAAAGTACCGGAAGTGATCACTGAATGTGGAGTATCTTGTATCATTTAACAACCCTAAATTTAAGTGGAGGGATGGGTAAGCCAAAGTGGCTAAGTCGTTTGTTTCAAAGACCTTTTAAATAAATTTTTAAAAGTGCAATTTGTTCACCTTAATCCACTTACAGTGCAGGTGAAGCGAACTTTCGCCGACTCAGTGACGCCCCAAATACAGTTGTTGGAAGGCACCTCGGAGGGCGAATCGAAGGGTTGGAGGCGCCAGGCCAGATTGGTGGGATAGACGAAGAGGCGGTAAAACGTCCCGATCCACACTATGTGAATACTTAAATTTGCGAGATGTGAAACAATAGAACCCTCCTTACTTCTGCTGCAGCCAGAAGTAGAAGTCTTCACCCACCTCCTTGCTCACCTCGGCCGAGGAGACGGGCAACGAGAGCAGACCGGCCACATTCCTCTTCTCGTACACGTACAGGTAGTCGTTGATGCAGCTTTCGCATGTGCAAATGGAGGATATGGCACTAATGGGCGAATCGTAGCGCGCCTGCATCACCGTCGTTCTAACCATTGGTTCGACTCCCGTGGGGTGCTGCGTGTATTTATGCAGTAGAATAGGGCGTGTTCCCAGCTTGGTGACCAGTAGGAAACGCCATTGAGAGAATTTATTACGTAACCAAGGGAATTAGTGGTCGCATTAGTCAGGCTTTGAATGACTACAACAAAAGCAATACGCCTGATTTTGCTGACGCATGGTCAAGAGTTGGTTACTCATGTTTATGTTGCCATGATTATTTAAGGAATTTGGGGTAAACAATTGACGATTTTATTGCACAAATCACGATACCAATAGCAAGTAAAGGCTTTTGAATTGCAGAATTGTAAACTACGACATCCGAAACTCGAAATGCAGACTGTAGCCCATCGAATTTTAACGCTAGTAGAGTTGCGAAAACCATCAATAGCCTGTTGACTTCGATAATTCTGTAAAGTAACATTGCAATTTAGGCTTCTACTTTTGAAATCGTGAAAATATTTTGAGATTAATTGGGCAGTTTAAAGAATGGGTTAGATTTGGGGGGTAAATGAGCACATTATTTTGATAAAAGGGCAAAACTCGAAAGCCCATTAACCATCTTATAGGACGTGAAGAGAATTGCAAAAAAAACCTAAATTGCGCAAAATTGCTCGAGCACTAAAACAGCTAGCTACAAAGCATTGTAACTACTGTATACGGAAAAGCGAACGCATCTTCAGATTATTTTTTAACGTAATGTCTTTCCCTATGTAAACATTCAAACAACTAAATTGTGCTACGTCTTCTTAAGGCTAGAATTAAAATATGGTGAAAAACTGTCCACCAAATTGCACGTTTTTATGACGAAGGGTAACTGAAGGAAACTGAAAGAGTACTTTCGTCAAGTCTCAGCATAGTGGGCGCACAGATCATACTTCTGTAGCGCTTCGTAACTTCCCTAAGGACGGAAGAAGACATAATACTCGAGCAGAATAGGAATGTTTTACACATAGAAGGGGTTGGGACTACCGCCGTGGCCCAAAGGCCAGCCCGCCCGGCTAAAGTACATTGGCGGGGAACCCAGGTAGTCCCTTTACCGAAACCGCGAGTTAAACATTCAGTAGAATATACCACCATTTACCGAGGATAAAGTGCCAAATATGTAACAGAAGAAAGTTGTGAGAATAACTTTCTTAATTAATGTGAAAAAACAAATCTAAAATACAAAGGATTATCATGATATCGCGAATACAGAGCGAGTAATGGACTAAAAATCGGTCGCTTTTCTTAGAAAGTCCCATAAGGGCTAAGGAGAGAGGGATTTAGAGGAATAGAACCATTACTGAACACAATTGTAGCGAAAGCATGGAACAGGAAGGCCAGGCGTGAATAACAGACGTTGTTTTGTGGATAATTATAGGCATGTTACTGCGGTTTCCCACGCAATTTGGCAAGTGAAAGGTGGTTACTAAGTACGGCAACATAGAGTCACGCTCTCGGACAAACAAGAAAGTAGACCATTGGTGTACGTGAGAAAAAAAATACTGCTTCATCAAGCGCAATACTCCAGTAATTCACTTTTCAGGGGCTAAAAAATTCGTTAAAATATTCACCCTCCAAGGCTGCCTGTATTAGCACAAGCGAATCTTCGGAGCATCCTTCCTTAATTAGACTCAAAAAAGTAAAATGAAAGGGGCTGAATTTTTCCCCCAATTAATGTTAAGACGGATGAATTTTGTCTGCGAACACTTTTCAGTAGAGGAAAGTATGCCGAAATAAAATGCCAATTTTCCTTACGAATGGGCATGATTCGTGCAGCTTTACAGAAAAGCTTTTTCCTTGAGAGCATGTATATGTTTGTATGTGATTCCAGCGGGCGACAAAATATTAAGTTGGAAATGAAAAAGCCTTTAAATTTAATCTTATCACAAATGAAAGGACAATGATCTTATGTGAAACCTGAATGCTTTTGATAAACGAGTGCTTGTCGCGAAACGGGATTTTGATGGGTGTGACCACCACCTCATGGTGATGAAGATGTGACACCTTTAGTTTAGGTAAAACAAGTTGCAATTCAAATGGACATGGCAAGAATAATAGCCTATGCAAATGTCAGACCAAATTGTTGTGAAGTATACACACAGCTTTAATTTCATTTGTGCTGGGTTGGCAAAACAATGCATAATTCAATGAATTTAAGACAAATACTGACTCTGCCAGAGTTTTGGCATATATTTCTGCCACCATGGCAGTCCAAATACAGAGGAGGTTACCCTAGTAGTACCAGTTATGAAAAAGCAGTCCTTCCTTTATGTTTTATTTTTATTGGGAGGTTTTATTTTTCCTACTGATTTGAAAATACTTGTCAGCTTCCACTAATACTATTTTGACAATATTGGAAGCATGTCTAAAAAACGAAATAGAATAGACTTATCCAAGCCTAATAATCTGAAATTAAACGATATTTACAAACCTTGGTCGAAGCTTACTTTTAACTTTGACCATCGAAACGATGGACAATTTCTGGTGGGCTATCTAATGGAATTTGAGAATTTATGTGAGGAGGAGAGAGATTTTTACATCTTCTATGTTGTAATAGCAGGTGACAGCGTTAAAGCTGAATAGATCGTTGAAACAAAAATGTAAGAATTTGACAAATAAACAACATGAAAAAACTTCTCAAGAATACAAAAAATCTTCAAAAGGGTGTGCTAACTTAAGCTTCTCAGGTTAACTTCGTTGTGCAATTAATGATTCTGGGGTTGTGAAAGGCAGATCGAGACAAGAAATTGCGTGTTTTGTGTTAAAGTTTTAAAATTCAGCCAGAAATGCCCCCCAAAACTTAATTCCAAGGCTTATTCAAGTATAGTAAAAATGTTTCCAGATCGTACATGACGGCATGGATACAAATTGGTGTAGCGAATTCCATATTTCCTGCTTTACTTTATTATTTTAAGTAAAAACAACTTTTTGTTGCAATGCAGCGAAATCAAAATTACAGGTGAACATTAACCGCTGTGCCACTAAGATTGAAGCAGTCCTTTAAGAAACTTACGCATACACTCTCAAAAATACGTCTCGTAATGTTGCAATTGGCAGGTTCCAAATCACAGATGTAAGCATCAATTCTCTTTACGCTAGGGCGCGATTCGTCTGCGTCTCATCTTAAAACGCATCTTTGGATAAGCGTCAAGTGTTTGTAAGACCATACTGAAGTGCTTGCTTAATACATATACCCTTCAGCAAAGCACAAAAGTATCCCCAAAGGCCAAGGAACGATTTCAAGCTCTTATCGAAAGGTGCTTCAACCAAATGCAGCAGTCGTAGAAAGCGCACCATCTTGTGTACTTGTAAGTGGAGAGAATAATTTGCATTACATTTATACACAGTAGCGTGAATAAGTGAGCCAAGTTCTCTCATGCAGCAATTAAGTTATGGAACTATGCTGAGCTCATGGCATTTAAGTACTTCTTTAGCCATGCCAGTGGATGTGTGTGTGTGTATGTCTGTCTGTGTGTGTATGTCTGTGTGTGTGTGTGTGTGTATGTGTGTATGTATGTATGAGGGAATACGACGCTCAGTCAGTGGTGAAGATCTCGTTGTGTTGACCAACTCGGGGAGATTTCGTTAATGACCTTTGTAGATCATGAAAACTGGCAGTCAGCAAAGAAGAATTAAGAACAATCCTTACAAATCACGCACACAGCCCAAGGAGTGCATCGTGTTTCCGTCAATCTGAAATATCTGGTGTAAAAAAGCACCTAACTTTACTTCACTTTTGCCCATATCCATTCATGTGAGCACTTCACTGTTGTGTAGATTTCAGTTTGGATCTGCAAGAAACTCGTTGAAAGAAAAGCTATTTAACACTATCTTAAGTGGCTCTGAAAATCCTCACTTTACGTCTTCTCATCATGCATAATAAAGTAAAATAACAAAATAAGATGTGGTGATAGATTAAATACATTTATAAAATATGAATACCATGAAATTTCCATAATTAGCAGAATCACAATATTGCGGTTGAAACGCAATGTCAGTGGACACGGTTTGGTACCACGGGACCGTAAGCGGCAGTTTTTCAAGCTGGGCGGTGTGATGATGAAACCAAAATTTAGACATAACCATAGTATTTTTAAAATTAATGACAAGTGAAAAGTTTTATTTTTAAAAATGTATTCAAGCAGGGCATTCCATGCATAATTTGAATTCCTTGCGAGAAACACTTATTCGCATGGCGATTTCACTATTCTGCTGTCAGTAAACCACACTTTAAGAGTATTTACAGCTGTATTGCCAATTATCCAAGCGGCTAAAAGATATCGGTGGTGGATTTGTCTATGGCTTTTGTTTTAAATCACTGCTTTTAGATAAGGAAGAACGCAACATGCAAATAATTTGATCCCTAGTGTGTATATATCTATATGTTAATAAGACAATTTCCATTACTACTTAGAAGGTGTAATCCTGTAAAGCAGGAAAAAGGGGTGAAACCTGATCGCAACAAAATTGAGGCCCATCATGACTGAATTTTCGATAGTAGCAGGACAAATAAGCACCACTTATTTGACCAAGGCATGCCAGCGTCTGACTCCTGGCCTGCAAAAATATGCAGTTCGAACAAAATAGGGAGCGTTTGGTGAAACACATAGAAAGGCAGGTATATTCTTCGTAACTAATATCATTTATATTACGCGTGAGCAGGAACTATTGTTTCCACGACAGTGTTATTGTAGTTAAGTGGGGGTATCTTTTTCAAAGATGCTTTTCTGTTATTAATCTTAGCAGCTGCAGCTGTGCATAGGGTCAAAGAGGATGAGGTGCCTTCGGGTAGATCAAGCCTCAAAGCGACTGTGGCATACGCGTGTGCTGATTGGTCGACGGAGTCTGTTAAATCGGAGCAGCATTGAGCGTGCGGAATGGTAACAATCCCAGAGAATGTGGTTTCACAATGATTAAGGCCTACATAAAATAAGCGCATTGCCAGAAAAACCACTGACAGTGGCCACATTTTAAGTAGAATGATGGTCGAACAGCTCATGACTATGATGTCAACACTACAGTTGGCTTTCATTCTATCTTAACTAAATATGGGAGTTACTCTATGTCATTTGTTAAAAAAAAGAAATTTTCAGGAACATGTTCACTATTGAAGCGGTGTATTAGTAAGAATAAATAATCTTCAATGAAGCGTGAAATCAGCCACCGCATCATGTTTGTACGGTTTTGATAATTTGGAGTAGGATTGGCCGAAATTCTCAACTCATTTTCAAATCTTAGCCTAAGTCCGTGCAAAAGTAAGCCAGCACCGAGGTAATTGAAGTTCGCTGAATTCGTTCGGAACCCTGGCTTAATTTAATAGCTTGCGATCAAGTATTCAAAACTTGGTATCACTAAAAGCATATTTACTTCAGAATTCAAGATAAGGAATGCACTTTCAGAGAAAGGTGAGAGGTGGACGCTTTCCTTAGGTATTACATTAAAAGTATGGGTGTAGGTGTAGCGAAAGAAGGCGAAAGAAGACGCAATACTCGGGCAGAATGTATATATTAAACACAGGGAAGGTGTCTAAGGGCTACTGGCATGGCCCGAAGGCTAGCTCATTCAGCGAGGTACAAGAAAGCTAATTCAAAGTACAAAAGTGGCGTCTCACCAATCCCGAGGGATAAACCACCATCGTATAATAGTAGGCATATGAAATCATCGAAATCAGATTTCACTTGCATGAAAACGAACGTTCAGCAGAAAGTGGTGGCCGAAATTTCCACAATCCATGTTAGTGGTAAAGGCAACAGGAGCACTTGAAGGCTTTCAAAACAGTAAAAAACTTGCCAACTGGAGAACATTTCGATGGGGCTTGTTTTAAAGCACCTTGCATAAGGCTGAAAGTAATGCGGACACTTCAGATGTTTATTCAATTTCAGTGGCTCCACTCACAGCACATTGCAATGTTAATGCGTTTTTTGCAGAACGAAGCCCATAAAACCTATTTTAATAAGAACCCTTTAGGAAAAAAAATTTGTTTGAAATAATGACTGGCACTTTTTCACACGACGTTATTGGTGTATATCAGTACTGCCACACCTGTATTGACACTGCGCTGTGGAGAACGAAGTTTTCTACTTTAAAAAGCCTACCTTTTTGCGCATAATTCGCATCGTTTGTAAGATAATTTTGGCAAGACTCTGACTGCGTAGCAAACAAATTTAGCAAGTGTTACCTGAGTTAAGGAAAATTTGGTGGGCAAATTTTAGTTTCTCCAATTTATTACAAACGAAGCAATGCCGTTCGCAGTACTTCCTTGCATGCCCGTTGGAAGTTTTAAACCATCGATGGCAGTACCGGAGAAACGAAATTTTTGCATAAAACTTATGGAAAACCATTTCATCAAAGATTCAATTTCAAATCGTTTGCCCGAGCCATCAAAGTTTGGCTGTCATTACAAATATTAACGTATTTTTACTACAAATAAACCTTTCAAACGGTTTGAAATAGTACAGTAAGGATGGTGTAATAGATACAAAGGCCGACAACAAGTTTTACACCTTGTATGTTTAAGGCCTGAAATTCTTGTTAAACTGACCTTCAGGTGAAACTGACTCAATTGCATAATAACATAAATAATAAGATATTTATACATGCTTCCTTGATTTTTTGTGCAGCTCTTTATATGTATTCGAGGCTTATGAGTCTGAATCTACCCACTTAAGGAACAAAGTGTTGTTAAGGTATTAGCATTTCGTGTTTCTGCAGTCCTGCCAACATATGTGGACATCTATGATGGTCACGGCCTCACTTTCTGTCTGACCAAATGTTTTTGTGGTGAGCGCACTGAAGGTCTGCTTTACGCTTCTGCGTCAGCAATGTAGTGACTACGACTCCAGGGCCTTCCAGTCTGTCTGATGATGTCCTAAGAAGGTGGTGCCGGTGATTAGGTGTCCATTACCTTCTAGCTTTCCTCTTGAAAGAACTCCCACAGCTCAGTAACAGGAGGCATTCCTTTACATTTGCATGTGCATCGCCCCTTTAGGTATGCCTTTTAAGAGTGACAACGTTTGAATGAAGACCAGGTGCAGCAGAAGACTTACGATGATGTCTCTATCCTCAGAAATGCCTAATGGGACGCAATCCTAGTACTGAATGCCCTTCCGAATCGCATTTGTTGTAGCAGGTGTTAATCAGGAATATATGAGAACTAATTAGAAAAAAATACTTTTAGCTCATAAAAAGGTTAATTGTAGAAATGAACGTTTATTTTCACTTGAATTATCGAAGCACAAAAAGAGGACTATTATACTTAGAAGCTTTAAAGCACAAAGTTTGAGGATTGGGAAGTGAATGGTTATTTCCCATCTTTCATTTAAATTGGATTTTGACAAAGGAAGAAGTACTTGAATACGCGTCTATGTGTATGCTATAACAATAGAAAAAGACATTGACTTAAGTCCAGTGGGCTTGCAACTCATGAACGAACAGTCAATTAGCACGGAAAATTCCTTCATTTCCACTGACTTGCGAGAACACGCATGTTCGCAAAGGACTCCAGGACCATGGCTCACTTAGCAGACTAGAGGTGGAGCTTACGGAGATAAATAGCCTGGCCTGTTGGCTACCCCAACGAATATATGACATTGCAAATGCTGACTGCTCAAAGTTATCCCTCATCAAGCGAGGGGACATCGAAACAACAGCAGGATTCATTTGCAGTAAAAAGTGATGATCAAACAGCCTGAATAGAAAGATGGTGATCCATTAAAACAACTAGGCTCAATAGTTTGATTTTTCCGTATAAATAATCACTAAAAAGCAGTTAGCACTACATGACCGCAATTAATTACAAGATTTACAAGCAGCTTTGATCTAAATATCTTCAAACGCCTGCTCTTCAAAGAATGTATGAAACTGGCATTCTGTCAGAAGGGAATTTTTTAGAAAATATGGCGCTGTTTTCCAAACAGAAACTATGAGAGCACTTGCATTGGTTGTTTTAATAAATTATTCGAATCCATGAGATGACTCTTACCATCACAGTGCCCAATCACTATGCACTCAGAGCATTCAAGATGAACAAAACCTACTGTCGATGCTGTTTACCTGGCCCGGGCCTTGAACTACGTCTACTGGCAAATTTTCGATGATCTGTTTTTCCTTAAAAATACACCTTAAGTCGCAGTACTTATTAAAGTGCATCTAGATAAATTGCTAAAAGGAACTTCTTCTGTTCTCTAAAGAGTCTACCTAAATAGGTAGAGTACACTATTGCTTGAAGAGAAACGGAAACTTAGGGGTAATGTGTAGTGTTGCCACTGATGTGACTATTAAAACGATGTAGAAGTTGGAGGGTAATATTCTCACGTCATGAATAATCAGCTTTTACAATAATTTGGGCATATTTTCAGCAGCAAAAAATAATGCTAGCACTTAATCTGGTGAGGCCAAGGGCGAGACCTCCACCCCTGGGGTCTGTTGACGAACTAGCATGCTTTAAATTCTACTACCTTTCTTTTGGGCTCACTAATCGGAAATATTTAGGGTAAAATGAGACAAAACTAGTTTACTGGGATTATGTGGTTCCGAAAGCCAGTAACACAAGAAAAAGGACCATTTAACCTCCCAAAGTACTTGTGATGCTAAAATGTGCAGGAATGCTTAAAAAAGATTTTCTGCAGCACAAGTAAAAAATGATTACTAGTTCTTTTATTAACTCCAATCTATACATTGGAATAGAAACCAAAAGCATGAGTAATGGTGTGGGTTTAATGGCAAATCCGAGTGAGAGGAATCTATTTTATGACTTTTTGGTTGGTATAACCCACCATCTGCTTAACAACATATGGTTTTTGCAAGGACGTCTGCCTTAAGTCTGCTGTTTTTGAATACTTATGCTGTCACATTGATAGATGTGGCTTTGAATTATATTGCCACGCGCAATTTGCTCTCTTTTGCAGTTAGAATTTTCTTTTGCATTTGAAACCCGAGGATGAGTAATTAGTAAATAGGTAGTTGATTTGGAGCACTGCGATCATAAATCATTTGAAAATCTTTAAGTGGTTTCCCTACAAAAGGCAGATCTTACTTGTGGTCTGCATTCGTTCCCGCTTAGTGAATTACCAAATTAGGGAAAATCATCCCATGATACTCAGTAATATTCCTCTCTGAGACGAATGAAATGGCTAATGAGGATTGTATACAGCACGAGTGACAAATAAATGCAAACTGCATTTTTCTACTGTCACAGGAGGTATTTATGGTTGGCGTGGCTCTGGAGCGACTATTAGCAACAGTTGTCATCCGATCGTGAGACGGCTTAAGGAGATGGACAATTCTTCTCTCTTCGACACAGGCGATTGCGTCAATCATCATTGGAGCTCACTTATCTACAAATGCAGGTTAACAAATGAAATTACTATAAAAAGTATTTCTGCATCGACTGAAAAAGGAATGTGATGAAGCTGTTGGAATGCGATCTTCATGCCTTTTGATGGTCATGGTTCAAAATTACCAATTTCTCCTTCCACTGCTTTAGTTGTTTTAGTAAAATCGAATAGCTAATATCTAATTAACCCATTAAGAAAAATTCCAGTAAAGTTATTTAGGAAAGAACATACATTAGCACATATCAGATCACCACCAGCTGCTTCAACTCAGAAGCAAGGCTATCCTATCCATCAGGCTGCATAGATGAAGCGAGTGGTAAAAATGCCAAAAAGTAAACATAGCGACCCTGAACGTGAGTTAGAGTGATTAAGCCGATGCTTACAGCTATAATAGTGTTATGACATATTTCATATTTATCAAAATCGGGTTTTTGATTTCAATTTGCTCCAATAGGTACAAAACGAAGCTGGAATATCCTGGTACTAAACATACTACGGAAACACCTACGCGCCGGAGAAAAATCGTAAATTCTCTTGGTCAAGTGAAATGTCAAATAAAAGGTAATGAGGAGCTGTAGAATCGAGGTTTACGAGCACGCAACTTTGATTCCAGACAGTTGTAGCAGACGTGAATATGCAGTCAGCCAAAAAAAACGCGAACTTGCTGACAAGAGGTAGCCACCACTAGCAAAGTTCCCCTCTTTATTTTTACTCATTTTCAGTATAGTTCTATTTATAAAAGTATGTCTTTAACGTATGTTGGTTACTAAACTTTCGGTTTTGATAAAGGGGTTACTTTATGTCTCTGTCATCGTACCTTCGCCGGGTGGGCTGGCCTTCGGACCATGCCAGTAGCCCCAATCCCTTTCACACGTTGAACACATATATATTTATTCTGCCCAAGTATTGTTTTCTTTCGTTTTTAGGAAAGTTCCGAGGAGCTACTTTGGTAGCAGCTAAAAACAAACCCGATTTTATCAGACATCCATCCTGATTTTGACCTTTAGTTCATATATTTTAACTGGGTGGAAGAAGTACATACTGCTGCGAATAGGCGAATTTGTGACGACCCATAAGAGGTGGGTTGCAAATGACGCCCACCTTCAGCCACTACTCCATTTCTGTGTTCGACAAAAAAAGCTATTAACAACGAAAGAGACTCTTATCGTAAAATATTTGGAAAAGTTTCGCTACGTAGCTGCTTACTGTTCCTGTATGGAGAAATCGAATGTGTGAACTCGTGACACCTCCTCCACTTCTTGACTAGCAGGATAGAAATCAGACAGATATGACTAGACATCTCTGAAGTGAGAACAATGGGTTAAGGCGAAAATAGAAGCAAAAGTCCATTCTCATGAAACTATGTTAGTCCCTGTCATTCGTTATATGACTCCGCTCTTAAATTAGTGTTTCACTACTAGCCATGGACTCGAGTAAAGTGCACGATTCCAGTTTTCAGACGGGAGGTAACTCCCGATCCGGTAGAATTGCCTTGAGGAATCAGTGAAGTTACGACTAAATGCCACCTCATTTGTATGGGAATTCGATGACTGTCAGGGTCTGTTGGTGAGTATTCCCTTACAGCACCGACTACGTTACGAAAACTGCCACCGAAGTTTGACTAAGGGGAGCGACGGGGACTACGCTCGAAAGATGAGAGGGTCTATTTAATACATTGGTTGCTTAACTCTCGGTTTTGGTAAAGGGCCAATTGGGGTCTCCGCCACTGTGTCTTCTACAGGTGAGCTGGCCTATGCACCATGCCAGTGACCCCACTTCCTTCTGTATGTCTAACATATATTCTGCCTGAGTACTATGCCTTCTTTCGTCTTCAGGGAAGTCCCGGAGCTCCACACCTAAACACAAGTGTTTGTTCAAAAAGCAGGAGTTCCCCTCTTTTTCGGGATTTTGAGTTGTTTATTCCTATTTTTTGATTTATTAAGTAGAAATAAACACTCTGAGCAATTGTCTATTTCAGACACTATCAAAGAAAGAAATGAGGAGCCAAGTCACTAATAAACCACCGTACAGTGTACACGTAATATTATAGTTCTTTATCTAGTTATGTAAAAAATGGTAATAGTAAGTCCCATAGAATAAAGGAAAATCATTAAATTTATAATGACCATGGTCCCAATGCAGAAGAGTTTGCGAATTTGCTTGATTAGGGCTAAGTTTGGAGTAAAGTCTGACTTAGATCTTTTGTCAAATTCATGCACAATAAATGCAAGACATCACGCCTTTAGAGGAGTGCCCATTTCCATTTATTTAAAAACTATTTCAGAAACAGTGAAAGCTACGGGTAAAACAGAGGAATTTAAAGATGAATTTTTAGACAATATTGAATTTGTTCACTAAAATCGTCCCTTAATGGATGGTCACAAAACAATCAAGATGAAATAAAGGGTAGCAAATTGAAAACTCTTAAGCTTCCTTGGTCTTTCTTGTTGTAAAACAAGCAAAATACTAGGACAGAAAATGTGCTGCCGACGTACAGAGGGGCTAGGGTGCTACTACCGCAGCCCTGAGGTTGTGGCGTCCAGCAGAAGTGGCCGCAAAAGGAGAATGAAGAGACAAAAAATTAACCAAAGTATCATGAACAGCGAAAATATTAAGTTTTTCAATATTACAATTGGGGATTGAGAAGTATGTGGCCATCTATAAGTTTGAGCGAGATCAAGATTTAAACCTTAAGTATTTGGTTTTAGTTTATAGCTAAGCACGGTGAAGCTTCTCCAACTGATGTCTATTTGAGTAACTGGGTTCACCTTCAAATAAAAACTTAAAGATTTGTTATTGTCTACAGGATATCCAGTCTCCTGCCTTGTAAAACTGCCAACCATCGAATGCTCGATAATCCACCAATTAGGGATTTGCTCAGGAGCCAATTAAATCATACTTTGCTGGTCCAGGAGCCCGCTTTAAAAAGTCGACATCTGATATAGGTAGACAATAGGTACAGCCTACTTAGCTCACATTGTTTCACCATCACCCAAAGTAACAATGACACAGGAAATGCCAAAAGAAGCCCTCGTGAAAACGCTGGAAAAATTACTTGAACCCGTCAGCGGGAAGTCTGTCTACCTTACGGCCAACGACCTTCTTGCAGTTTGGGACTTCTTTGACATTGACCGTATGTCACCGACCGTATGCGTTAATTTAACATTTTTCCATCAAAAACATTTTCAGAGCTTATACCCCTTTGATTCGTACTTTTCACATCCACCGGATCTCCCATTAGCAATTTACCAAGCCGTTTCTTTAGAGATTCCATAAAGATTTTGAAATTTCTTAATGAATAACAGAATAATTTTTAACATGTAAATGCTCTTACAACAGAGCAAATAACTAAAGTGCTTTGAAAGTCAAATGATTTATTGGAATATTACAGGTTTGATTTGCACATAAATAGTGATTTAAGAAATCGAGGAATTTGGAATAATTTTGTGCCTGCACAAGTCCTACCCTGCTCATAGAATTTACTAATTGAGAAGTGGTTAGTCATCTCAGTTAGATTTAGCGGTTTGCTCATTTTTCAACTTTTGTCTGATTAAAGATGACGGCGTTCTCCTTGCGGAAGAATATGAACTTTTCGTACGCATTCTCGGGGAAATTCTCAAAACTGTGTTTCCAGTAAGCATTCCCACTTCCCCCGAGTTTGTTGATGCTTATCACATGGTAGCAGGACTCCACCTGACAAGTGTTATTGGTAGTCGTGTGCATCACCAAGATGCGTAGTAAAATTTTTACTTACAAAATCATTTTCAAAACGGTTAGCTGTTGTTAAACTGTCACACTTTAACCTCCTTTGCGGTAGGGGTAATTGCTCCAAGGCGCTGAATAGAAAGAATGGGATAAAAAATCTTTGACCCGTACACACTTTTATTTAGGCACGAAAAGTGAGTTTTTTTGTGTAATGCAACCGGCTCCTGCATCCCTCTGCCGAAGTGAGTTGCCGTCCGATTTTCGCTGAAATAGTGAAATAGAGGCTTACATGTTTTCCAATAAATACTAAACTTCCAGTTCTGCACATTGAAAATAAACCTTGTAATAATGTTTTGTTTTTCTAATATTGCAGGGGGAAAGGAAGTACAGGTTTATGCTTCTAAAATAATATTTTTAAGAAAAACGAAAGCACCAGAAATACATATACACTTAAAAATCAGGTAGGGAGGGTAAGATCCACATTTTGCCTTAAAATAGAAGAGCAAACTAGATTATATAAAATGAGCAGTTGAAAAAGACTTGCCGTCCCACTATTGAAAGTTTAATTCATCGTATACTTTCTGTGGAGTTATGGAATTGTTTTGATAGGACTGGTTGCATTCACGACTCTAATTTGCTAATATTAACGAGCTGTACAATCTTTCTGTTTAGAATTATGGCAGAACCTTGCTCCCTGATCTGATTACCGCAGCGATAAACCCGGGTTTGCCCTATCAAATAGGCATTGACGAGGTAAGTTCGGCTACATCCGTAGACTGTCACTTTAAAATACCTTTGAAAGCATTATCAGTTCTTCACGTGATACGGATAATATGAGAAACTGAAGGTTCCACATTTGTAAGCAAATATTTACACTTTAACACTTTTGACTAATGGCTCTGAAATGAGATTTAAACTAGAAGTAAGCAAAGCCAACATTCTTCCTAATGCTGTGTGTTAATAATCGTGGCAAAATACTTGTGACTAGGTCACACACCGTAACAAATAAATTGCTGGTGGCATAATGTGACAGAATGGTTATTTGTAACTTTGTCGCGCAAAATGCGGAGAATTAGGACGCAAGTGAATGACGGGTGTTTTATAATAAAAGAGAAGCTGAAACGATCACGAAAAACAGTATGCCTAGGGGAAAGAGACCCGAAGTGATGAACACGATCACCCTAACGGAGCACAAGACTTTATTTAAGGTAGAAAATGAAAAAAATTATGCATCATTTCTTGATTAAGCAACCAAACCTCTACAGGCCTACTCATGCGGTCATCATTGACATAGTCCATTATTAATAGCATTTAATCACACTGGTTTCAATTGTACACAGTGTTTAAAAACCTGCCTTTGATTTGCTTCCACCTCAATACTTGAATTTTATTCTGTACTGATAAAGTATAGACCCTATCCTTGCGTAATATTGTAACCAATTTTGTGATAAATTATGCTGGACAACTTAACCAGAACTGTCAGCTTATTGAACTAAATACTTGCATCGGTAAGGTGCCTTTCAAATACCCTCCTTAATGGATTGGAGCTCGTTCATGGATACGAGAATAATAACCTGTGGATGCTAAGTCATTCCACGAGATGAATATGTCACAGTAAAATAGTCAAACATACTCTCATCAAGCATTTAGGGATTTGCTTACCACAAAATGCATTTATAAGCCATTACTGCATGACTTAGTGATAAATGGAAGACATATTTATCACACTAAAGGGCAGTGATATAAGATACTACAGCCATAAGTCCTCCTCTGAAAGGCCTACTAGCAAGTAATTTGGACGAGAAGCATATCAAGGAGAATGCAGTGAACCAGAACTGGTGAGCAAGGCTGTACCCTAAATGTTAAAATTGCCATTAAAAATACTTATCAGTTGAAAAATTCTGATGTATTTAGCAGGAGGCAAATGAGAACAATGTATTGAGTGGCAGATGAGTGATTTGATACATCGCCATTTGTCATCTGCTGATACTAGTGTGCCAAGTATTTTGACCTGGGGATCAAAATATTACGAAAGTATAAATAAAAGTCGGTAAATTAAATAAGGAGTAGAAATGAAAGTGGAGGAACTTAGTCCCATGTTTGAACAGAAAAATAATCGGATTATGACTGTCAACTTTTTCTTGAGACTTAAGCGGGAAACGTCTTGAGCGAACCGGTGGAGATGCGTCACTGTTTAGAAGGGAACTACAGTGAAAAATCCCCAAGATTCCGTAGCATACGAATGTCTATTTTAAGAATTACTTTTTTATATCAAAAGTTCAATTCTAATTTTGGGGTCTGTTAAAGTACAATACAGTCCACAACTAGAGATGAAATGATGAATAACCTGACTGTCAATGGGCTTTGAAAAGGATGGGCTCTTGGATTATTCCGTTGACTGGCAACCGGCAGGAAGCAAAGCACTCGGGCCTGGACACGAATCGCGTCACAGCAATTGTTTTATCCTTTTGTACTCGCTCATCCATGTTTGCCTGCAGCAGGAATCTCCAATGTTTTACAAATGCTTTTCACTCTCACGAACAGGAGAATGAACGTAAAATATCACGATTTCTGCAATAAAATTGGATTAAAGTGAAATATGCTAATTTGCGATGAAGAATGTAGGCGTTCAAACATATCCAGCACATTATCTACAATCGGTTTGCAGGAATTGAGATTGTAGGAACTGTAACTGTCAAATGTTATCGGAGCGAGAGCTCAACCTGAATGCAAAACATGCATTTAAGATTTTTCTTCATTTTAGATTTCACATTTACTTAATGAAGAAGAGCGCTTCCTCCTTGTTTTCCGTAAGCTTTCCAACATTCAGTCGAGTTTTGACTTTATGAAGGTAAGCGATACACTGAAAAAAGGATTTTAGGTCTGGCGGGAATTTGACACTGATGGAAACGGTATTTTGGATAGAAAAGAACTGCAGGTAAAAAAGTCGACTTTAAATTAAGTGTCTGTCGTAGACTTTCCTAAGTAAACTTCTTTCCAAGTCAACTGTACCTGTAACCCATGAAAAGATTGAAGAGTTTGCCTCTCTCATTGTGAGTGTGGGGTGTTCTTATGCATCTCTTCTTGCCACTTCTCTCAAAGCGGTTAGACAATGTTTAAACTTGCCTACTTACCAACGTAGCCAAAGGACAAAAGTCTAACTACTTAAGACGAGTGGAATTAGTGACCCATTGTGTTACATGTTAGCATGCCTGGCATATTTCTCAGTCATCTTTAAAACTCCATAGTGTAGCCACCGCCGGAGAGGCAAGCAAGCTAAACACTGATTTGTACGCAGATACTGTAGGCAAATGCGCTGTGCTTGCGTGCGCTCTGCACCGCTGTTTACAGATGAAGGGAAGGAGAGCAATGGACACTAAGGCTACACAAAAATCCTGAACGCTGATTTTTTCATTTCCTGTTAATCTTCATTAGCCTAGTGAAAGTAGCAATTTGAAAACTGTCTTGCCTAATAACTTAATGAACTTAGTTGAAAATCTAAAATTGTCGCGGATCTTAGTGATTTCTCTGAGGAGTCTGTTTTTGGCTATGCAAAAGCAAACGTTTTATCCGAAATGAAAAGGCGGCTGAACTCTTACGCGATCAAATGTGTTGTATTTATAAAGCTGAAATTCTTCGATGTGAATTCCGATGGACAACTGCAGATTTGCGAAATGTCAAAGTGAGTGAAAAAAGCTGGTACATTTAACGAACTGAAACCTTAAGGCTGCTTCCAACAAAGAACAACATTTTGGCTAACACCACGCTAAAGGTAGGCGATCTATTTGGAACTAAATATTGTAACTACAGGAAATTTCGGAAGCTGAACTTGATCGGATATTTGACTTTTACGACCAGGTGAGATATTTAGCTTGCAACAAATTCCTTGGAATAAACTCATCTGCGTGTTGAAAAGTTGACTGGAGTGAATGCCTGCGAGGTTTGGATTAAAACCTGTACTAAGAACCCAACTTTTACGCACAAGAAACGCAACGGCAGTAAAAATATACTGCTGTAGCACAAAAAGTTTGATAGAAAACAACTATCTTGGAATAGTATGAGCATTAACCATCGTACTAATCCATAATTATAACGTCCATCTGCACATCGTTTGGAGCATTAGTCCGGAACCACATTGCACGATTTCCCTCCACGACGTCACCGGTGCAAAATGATGAGACTGGACCCACTCCTCACTCTTATACGTACCCACTAGCTCTTTAGCATACATTCAAAACGTTGATTCATCCAAAGCGCATTCCTATAATAGTTTCTCTTTTAAAGTGTCTCTGACCAAAATTAAAAGTACTTCAAAGTGACTTTTGGGGTTTGATGTTAACTGCAGTTATTAATCTTTTTACAAAATATCGTATATGATCTTCATTAAGATCTTAGTTTTTGAAAAATGAGGGCCAAGTTTACCAACTCAAATTGCTTGGATTGTAAACGATGGATTGAGGCAATTCGGCAGTAAGACACAGTTGACGAGGTTAAGTTCTCAGGACATCAAGGGATCGCAGATCGGAAGTTATTTACGGTTGTTTTAAAGTGTCTGCGAGTGGGATTTGGCAGACAAATGGGTTGAGCATTAAGCATGAACCACGTACCGGTAGACTACATTCTATGGCAAAAGTATGCACGCTTTTACGACCGAAATACGTTACTGCAATTAGCACTAGATGAAGATAAGTATGCATGAGAATTTTCCAAAAGACGCACAATTTTGCTTCACTAAGAACAATGTAAGGTAAAGTGCACTAAAAAACCTCCCGCTTTCGGTCATTACTGAGAACTAGAAGCCGACTGAATTTTGATGGCCTACTATAGTGGAAAGCCGACTGTTAGAGCTCAGTGACTCAGAAAACGAGCAATAGAATCTAATTCTACTCTAGTTAAATGTGTAAATTTTGTTAATTTAAGGGCTTACAATAGATAAAGCGTTTTCTCCTTCAGGATCACAGTGGCGTCATTGAGAATGAGGAATTTGAAGGGCTCGTAAAAGATCTCTTGGATAGTGCCAAAAAGGTGGGTGTGAAATCGCCCAGTTGGCTAAATTAAGCCGAATAATATACTATAACTGAGTTTTTATTAATCGATCTTTATAGAATTATGACACAAAAGAACTTGATGAATTTAAAGATATCCTGCTGAAACAATGGGATGAAAATTCGGATGGGAAAATAAGCAAATCCGAACTCAAACTTCTGCTTCTCCACTCTCGGTCGATGTGAGCCTGTGTACTGACTAACTACATACGTCTGCAAACAGACCTAAATTTTTGCTATTTTTCTTCGTTGTGGACCATGTTGTCACAAAGCTTTAATTCACTTTTGTCTCTTCAGTCCTTACATGGATCAAATTTCCTAATCTATGCCGCCCTGCATTATCATGCTTATCTTCTGGTATAAATTGCAATGCTGCTTTATTATTGAGACGGTAGACGTCTTAAAATGGGCGGCCATCATTCAAATGAATATGTTAACCTATCTGATTAAAGTATTTAGCCATCTATAATCAAATATATCTAAATTTATCAAAGTGGCTTTTGTAATGTCTTACCTTTTCCCATTTTGCGCTAAGGTGTACCAGATAAATTGAAATGAGCTTAACTGCTCATAGGACGGGTGGCTAGTCAAGTAAGACGAAGAGGCGCTTACAGAAATGTGCGCAATTTAAATGGCGTATGCAGCCCAACTTACCCTATGCAAAAATTCCGGCTAAAATAATGAAGTTTGTTAGCGTTTATTAATATATTAGGTTATTGGCAGGAAAGTTTTGCCGAACAGTAATAATGCTTGATGTTTAGAATGGGTTTTAAGGGCGATAGCAGATCGCAGTAAAGCTTTACGGTTAAATAAGACAGTTGAGAAATTACCCTTGTTCTGTCAGATGACAAGATACTATATTAACAAATGGCAAAAAACGAGGGAATGGTAATGTTCTGGGCATACGCCAATTAAAACGCCGAAACATGAATATCAGAGATATAAAGCTGGGCCTTTTCAAGGAAAATCAGGCGTTTGTATGTATCTAATCGGTGTGAAGATATCGCACAGTATCATACATGATTTGTTTACGAGGTGATTTTACTGATAATAATACCCCTGGAACAGATGCAAATTTGAATGAAAATTCTAAGTTATACGGTAATACCTTCACCTCTCGGCAAGGGGATCACGGTAGTGATGTTTGAAATTAAACCACGCATGTTTCATCAAGACATTTTTAGTAACAAAGCTTGATTTTTCAAATGAATAATATGCCATTTTTAAGTTAAATACATAGTTTAAAGATGGTTATATTGGTTAACTTTCTAAAAAAGGGACTAGAATTGTATTTAGTGAGTACTTATACTTTGCATGTATTTAGTACCTAGCCAAATTTAAAATACGTAAGTGAGTTTGAATGTAATCAAACCTTAAAAGCGCTTCACGCCTTTTATATTTCACTTTGGCCGTGAAGCTTATCCTAAATGGTAATGTACTCCAACAGCATGTTATCGTGTGCATCAATTTACGGTAAATTCTGCAACTTTTAGCACAGCGGACTCAAGCTGCCTGACAAAGTGATTTCCTACCAAATTGAATGAGTGGTCACCGAACGCCTGCGGCCCTGTGGATGACAAAAGAAGCTTTACCCAACCCTAAATGTCTGACCTTAACTTGCTTCTTTTGCAGGTTCATCATCGGATGTCACTTAGCAGCTCTGTGAAGTATACGTACCATAGTTTGCAAAAGCCCATACATTTATGGCACCCTACTACATAGGTCACTTTTCCCTCACTGAAGTGTTTATAAAACTCCCAGGCGCATTCCACATAGTCATCGTCGTGGCACCGTTGTGCAAGTATCAACTTTGCGTACACGTGCTATGACGCCAAAGTGCCGGTAATCAGCGGTAGGAATTGCATCAATGATCAGAATCATAGCACTGCCGATGGTTTTATCAGCTCGGTACTACAGTAGTTATAACTGCCTTTTCATTACAATTCACCTTTTAGAGTGCGCCACAAAATGGAGAACCGACATTTATTTCATTCGACTAATCCGAAAAAAGTTTTGCTCCACCGAAAAACTAATAAAGAAAGTTGGGAAAGTGGTTCAGACTTACAATGGCAATTATACTTATTTTACAAGTGGATTAGATAACATTGGAAATAATTTTTTTTCCTCTGGCAAGTAGGGACTGCGTGTTGATGAATGAATAAAATTTAGGTATGCATGACTGCCTGGCAAAGAGCAGGCGGATACAAGTTCACGCCGGTAGGATGAGAACGGTAAATTTTTTCGGGAAATATTTAAGCATGATACAATATACTTTATAAACTGTCAACAGGTGTTTCAAAATACTTATTCAGAGGGAAACCATATAAAGTTTTTCTGCGGAACGGAGTTAAACTTGCTTCGGCAACGCGCCGTTGCGGGCTCAAATAAGGTGTCACCTTAACCAAAGAGGTACTATGCCAGAGTGAAGTAATGGATACATGCTTTTATGAAAGCCGCTAACCTTGGATGTAGATAGAGGAGCCATAAAAAAGCAATAACAGCATTACTTGGTATATACACCAGAACCGACTGGAGCATAAACCGAACTAAACTGAATGGCATCTTACAGGTGCGATTCGAATGAAAGTGGTCAGATGGATAGGTCTCTCAAAGCTGGGCTTTGCGACATGCGTCCACTTCTTTGCATTCACGTTATAATTTTTACAGGCAAAACTCGGAATTTTCCACTTTAAAGAATGTGGTTTTTAAAATAGAGGGCAAAAGCTTTCCTTGATGCTTTAGTGCCTTACTGTGAAGCACTGACGAATATTTTTATTCATGTGATGGCAAAAAAGTTAGTTTTGACTGCCAGGTCCATTAAGCTAACCTCTCTTGTTAATGGCAGGGTGAGTAACAATACGGAAAAAACAAGGCAATCCCTTGTTAGACTATTTCGATGATATAAGATGCAACAGCAGTTAATAAAACAATTTGTTAACTGACAAGCACAGTAAAAGAACCGAAAGTCATTCACCTTCCTACTTTTTCGATTGCCAGGTTAGTGGAGCATAACGCAAATCCCTGTGTGAGAATCATGTTCTTTTTTGCAAAAAGGATTTGAGCTCCAAGACGGGGTGCGCATTCTACCTATAAGCTAGTACCACACCATGAGCTTCACAGAACAGAAACTATATTACCTAAATCCAGAGGTAGTGTTGCCCAAAATATGCCACGTTCTGCTTTGCTTCTAAAATCCATGTTTTAAATCAACGATCCTGCCACATGGGGACTACTGATTTTGCATAGGATCCAACTTCCTCACTTTGCAGGCCAATTAAATAAGACCACCCGTTACAATCATGAGTGAACGGTGACACCGTTTGGCTCCCACGAGGATTTAGACACTTGAATTTGCAAATCTATTTTTTCAATGAATTGCAACTCTACAATTTATTTATTTGAGGGAGCCAAAAATACTTTGGGTTAGATAGGGCAAAAAACTAAAATCACAAGAGTTTTTATGCTAAAAGCAATTTTGCACCAACCTACAGACGCTGACTTCGAAACATCGGCTCACCTGGAAAGGCTTCATCACTGTTTTACCATAACCATATGCACCAAGCGGCACAACTTGAAGAAATGCGTAATCTTGCTTTGAAGGCTATTATGTATCCCAAAATGCGGCGTTTGTAGGGAAGTAAGATGGAAACCTACGTGGATATGGGATTTTAAAAACAAGTAAAAACACTGGGATGATCTCCAGAATTCGCTATGCTCAAAAGATTCAATAGGCCAAAACGACACACTCTATCATACGTTCGACAGGTAAGCAATAACAATGGGACAAGCACCAATTCGTTCCAATCCATTGACCGAAAGAGCTGCGATCTGCTCGCCTCTAACAGGTTCATTTACCTTAGCTTCTATCCTTTAAGTCCTTTGGGACACCATTTACGAGGCAAAACATAGGTGCACATTACTATGATAGGAAATCATAACGTGCTACCATTGGGCCGTTTATGACAAACATAAACGGGAACCACATGACCGCTTCAAAAGTCACAGGGGAGCTGTAGCTAAGGCTGAAGGTGGTTTCATTAAATCATTCTTAAATCTCAATCCTTAGCAAAACGCCACGTACGAAGGTGGTAGGCAGAAGTTTCGAGTGTCACACCTTACTTCTGAATGGCCAAACAGAGTTGTCTGTGCGCCCAGGCCTGGGAGATACATCGGAGTGAACGCTGTGGCCAACTCCTCGGCTGATAACAATTAAAACAGATACTCTGCATTAATTTTGTTTCATTCCTGGCATCTATGAGAAACTTGAAAGACAAAGTGTAATGCACATGTATTTCCGTTGTAACTTTATTCAAAAAATTACAAATTTTTAATTTGTTCTTGTAGTAGCTGTCTCAGGGAATATTTAGAAATGTGTAACAGATTACAAACACTTAATGAACAAGTAATTACATTTTCTCAAATGGTTGGGACAAAAATAAATTGGCTTCTTAGGATGACATGGAACTCGGTTACCAACAAATAACTTGTTTAGATAACTTTCTTAATATTTAAGTACTAAAAAATTACTAGGCGGACTACCTCCAGTTAAAAATCCCAACTATTTCCTCTAGTAACTATTTTATCTGTAAATCGAGTGAGACGGAACATTTCATTCTGAAGATTAGTAGCAGTTATCGACATTGCTTAACGGTCAGAACGGAAGCTCTTTGGAGAGCTAACCTAAACTCTGCTAAATTTTCCCACAACTACCCTAAGTGGTCCAGACATTTTGGTTGAAAACGTTGTTTTGAAGTATAAAAGGCAAAAAGTGTTGTTGATATTTTGTTCACGAAATTGTTGAAAACATTAGCACTTCGACTATTTTGGCTAATTAATAAGCCTCATAAAAAGGTCGCTTTTTCTGTTTCATAATATGACAAATTCTGCATCTATTACCACAATACGTGGTCATTTAAAGATGCAGTTTAGGTGACATGCAGTTAGCCTCCACAAACTCCGTGGATTAATGGACATCACCGACTCCGAGGAAGGAACGCATTCGAATCTTCCCCACGAACTTGGATGATCTGTAAGCCTCCCCCATGCTATTTTAATATAAGATGGCTTCATCCACTTTGCCTTGACGATCAAAAGGGCTGGATCGGGAGGTAGACGAAGAGAACACTGAGCCAGCTAAATGCATACTGATGAAATGGCCCATTCAGTCCAGTGCATTGCTGAAAACACCACGGACGATCACACCTAAAGCCTGGTTAGCTTCTATTCTACCGAAAGCAATCAGAGCATAAAAGCATCCCATTTAAAAAGACCTCTCTTACTCCAGTTTTCCTAAGCAACTACTTTTTGAGATTCTCAGCATCTGTGTAGCGTCTTGAGACTCCCTGAAGACGAAAGAAGACTCAATACTCGGGCAGGATATATACTCAGCGCAGAGAAGGTGTCTGGGCTATTAGCATGGCTCGAAAGGCCAGCCCACCCGGAGAGGTACAGGAGGGCTAATTCAAAGTACAAAAGTGGAGCCTCACCAGAACCGAGGGATAAACCACTATCGTATTACATCTGGAACTGATCAATACAGAGTCCTATTTAAATAAACACCGTAAAATATTCGGATGTTTGAAAATGATGGAACAACGTTGACACTTCTGCAGAAACGTCGCATATGGGTTCATGGTTAAAATGCGAAAATCGGTCATATGCGTGCGCGAAGTAAGTTATGCCATTTCAATGTAGCGCTATTGCAAGTGGTGAGTGGATGGAGCTTAGCCTCAACGAAACTTGGCAAATATATTGTTTATTTAATTTAAGCAAGAAAAGGGATGGCAGAGTTCTGGTAAAGTGGAACAAATTTGCTGTTTTTGGTGATACCACATGGCCATAAATTGGAAAGGTCATGCAGAGGGGAATGGCGGGAACTGGCGGACTCAGTTTTTACAATTTGTCTGGTTTCATCTTTCGGTTTGTAAATTATCAACTTTAGCGATCTGAATGAAATCCTAAGGCAGGAACGAACCACTTTGCCTTATAGTGTGCTGAGGGTTGCCAAGCTTCACGACGGGCATTTGCAGAGGTGGAAGTTTATTACAGCTAACGTTATTGAACTAGAAAATCGCATAGCAAAAAAATCTACATGAATGTGAGTTAATTCCTCGTTTATTGCGAGTTTATAACCAAAAACCATGAAAACACTGGGAAAGGACACCAAACTTAACGAGCCAGGAAGTACACCTTAGTCAGGGTGTAGGCGGAAACTATTACGTGAAGAACTTGAATTTTTATGCAAAGAATTCATTATTACTAAGTCATGTTTCGAACTAATTTACAGTTTTATTTAGATTAATTACATCAAACAGCAAATGTTGCACCACTCACTCTTGCACAAATCATGTGGATAACTAGTCGCCCGGTTCTTCACGAATAGTAGACGAATGTGTTGATGCAAAGGAATACCGTTTTGTTGCATTTTAGGCAAGGAATTGCACTTTTAGCAAAGAAAAACGCCTAAATTGACTATTTAAGCAGTCAGTACCTACATTTAAATCAAAAAATGCCTCTCAATAGCCCCTTTGCTTGACATAGGGAGATGCAATTCCTGACCTGATTTCAGGTGGCAAATGGTAGCTTTTCACTCCCCACAAATGCATTTCTTCCCGGATATGTGCATTTAATTCAGTCCTCATAGAATATGAATATTTATTTATTCTGTGAATACTACACAAATATCCACTCAAGTCGAATGCACTTGAAGGTGTTTATGGGGGTCAGCCCTTTGTGTGGATTCAAGGTCTAAGCAGTGCTTGTATTTGTAACTGTAACCTTGTAGCCGAATATGGAATAAAAACCACTACACAACAATGCATGATGAATTCACCATCAAGTAGAGGAATCAAAACACCAAAGTGTACTTCAAGAAAGCGCTGTGAAACATTACCAACCGTGAAGGCACTCACTTTGGTGCAGAAATACGGGTACTTGAAATATCATACGGCCTATAGTAAAATCTAGCAGTTCCATTAATGTAGCAATCTTCACTTCTGTTTTAATCCTAATCAAAGCTCAGCTTCATTTCTGATTTTAACCAGTCCTTTCATTCTAGCGAGTATTCCTAGGTTTAAAATGTAAAAGATTTATGCTACATGCAGAGCCTAAATAAAATTGCCGTAAGCTAAGGTGAAGCTTTAGAACTAATCTTTAAAAACCACCGGAATCTTAGCATTTCCATCTCTTAAAAAACACACATTACTCCGCCCTTGGAAGAGCCAAGTTTAACCGCTATGCCAAGGATTTATGGAATAATGCACCTTACAAATTAATGCATTAATGTTAACTTTAAGAAAACGTCAAGTAAGGGGCCACCTAGGAGCTCCTCTATTATACCTTCACCGGGATGCTTGAAAGGTTTTCCAGAAAATAAGCCAGTTTATAGCCAACGTTTCAGTACAGTTGTCCGTTCTATGTCAAAACTTGATTTTAAATTTTTGGTAAGAAAAATCCCATGTATTAAGTTTAAACATTTTCATGCCTCTACAAATGCTTATACATTTCTTAACTAATAAAAGTGTGTTCCTTATCCAATTCTAGTATGTACAAAGTAAGATTAATTACTGAAATGCATGACAGTTCTTCTGCCTTTTAGAAGGGAAATTAGGTGAGACTAATGAGAGGGTTGCATGCTCTATGGTTGGCCATGCTCATGCTTTAAATATGAACAAATTTTTAGCTGTCATACGTAACCCCATTGGCAACCTGACATTCTGATTTAACTGAGACGGTCCTTTCCACTTAAGAAAGTGACATGTGGGACGTGTAAGGCGAAACGATGCGCTTTTACTTCATTTCAGTCCACCACATTCCATTAAAAGAGGCTGTCTTTTAGGGGCTTTACTGTCGGGTTCCCTCAAACTGCATATTTAATGCTCCGCTGTATTGTAACAGTCTACAGTATGTAACTGGACAGTTGAGCACATTACACTTAATGAATTGCGTATCCAAGCTCTAACCGAGCTCATGATTGCGAACAAGACATTATTTTTTTCCAGTTTGATAAATGTCATGCTGAGTTTTCGGTACAGTTGATTATGACTTTTGTGGTGGTTGTTTCAATATTCTAAATGATTTGTTTGGTGGAGAATGCTTCTATTACACACGACATAGGTGGGGAACAAAGCCCACTCAGGTAATGGATTACACCTCCGCTTTTCAACTTATTGTTTGCACCTTGGTGTAATGATCTATTTTGGTTACAGTTCGCTCCATTTGAATCTAATTAGCACTCAAATGAATTCAAATCTAAGCATTTGGAATTCCAATGTTTTAGAAAAATTGGTTAAATTTTAGAACAAATTTTTTGGGGGCAGACAAAATGACTCAGGCAGTAGTTTAATTGCCTCTTTCATGGTGAGTGTTTAAGAGCACGGTAAACCCTGTGAAATACCATTTTTCTTCTTAAACCCTACAGTCCATTTTTCTTTAAAAGAATCATTTTGATACCAATGCTCCGCCTAAAAGTTATCCTTTAGCACCTTTTAATAAAAAATAAGCCAACGAGAGAGGGAGATACATCGTAAAAATAATAATACCATGCTTGTAATCGAGGCTACGAAAAAAAATTAGCTGTCCAGATACTGTAGTTGCAGGCGTAAATGGCCCAACCGCAATTAACCAAATTACAGAAAAAAAGCAGCTTAAAGACAATGGTCACACCGATTGGAGAATGAGATTTTGTAAACATTGAAAAGACCTGCAGATTCGTGGAGTGTAGAATGAATCACTAAAGTGAGGGCAATTTCCTATCTTCGCACCTACAACATTTTGGTTTCCATGTATGTGTGGGTGACGAGGTTCCACCATACTAAATGGCTAAATAAATCCACGTCCTGCTTTTCCTCAAATTCATGGCTTACTCGTGTGTACACTTACCAAAGGGTCATGAGATTTGGTTTAGCACCGTATTCCCTTTGCCTCAGGGTAAAGGAAAAGGCAAGCTAGTTTGATGCTTCCATTTACTTTTGGAAAATGATACGACTTATCTATCATTCAAAAGAGTATTCACTAAGTTACGGCAAAATTGTGACGCCATTTCAGTTTTAATCAAGCATGCAAATCGGTACAAATGCCACCTGCTAAAGGTGAAAAGCTCCTAGAGCCTATTTTGGTAATAAATTTGTCCTAATTTCTGAAGTTGTCACAATAATTGATCCTATTTTGGAGAATAGCATAAGGATTGTGGTTTTACTCCTTGGTCATTTAAAATATTGGAAATGCGAGTGAATTGTTTTGTCGGGCCAAAGGTAGCTAATTTACACCACAGCACTGACTGTACACGTTGGTACCTACTTGTAAACGACGTTGCAAATGGAAGAAAGTACCTAATTGTATTTATCTCATATGTGAACCTAAATAATCGACACTACTACAATTAAAATCGCCGGGTATACTACCAACAGGAAAAACCTCGAAAGTAATTCACCCATGTGACTGTAATTTTAAATATTAGAATAAAATTAGGGAATATTTAAAATGCATTACTCTACCTAACGTGTCCTTATATTAAAAGAATCAGAGTCTCACAAACACGTGGTACCCAAATAATTAAATCTTCTCGGGTTCTTATTATTTTTGGAGACCCTTCCTTCTTCCCATTAATTAGAGCAAATCCCAATTGAGTGAGCAAACTCTCTCAGCATGTAGGATTGTAATCGAAATAGACATTCTTTTATCATCTTATTTCACAACTCATAAAAATACAACAACTTCCTTTCACTGGATTAGTTTTAAGATGAAAGCGTCTTATTATGAGGTGCATAAATCCATACTAGGCCTGCTCTCATAGGAAAGGAGCCATTAAACGGGTTGCCGCACTATGTTATTCTTATTGATAGGGGTGTAATGTATTGGCTGTTTAGCTCTTACTTCGGATAAATGGACCATTCTGGGCCTTCGACACTTTATCGCCTCAGGGCGGGTTAGCCTCCGGGCCATGCCAGTAGCCCCAATCCCTTCTGTGCGTTTGACATCTATTCTGCCCGAGCATTATGTCTTCTTTCGTCTACAGAAAAGTCCTGTTGCGCTGCAGCATATTGCATATTCAAGTAGCCATATAAACTGAGTGATTTTCCAATAATGAGGGGAATTTGCCAGCCTACAGGGTTACTTGTGCACAATGCATGGAGCAATTTGGATTGAATTTACGCTTATTTTAAGATAGTGTATAATTTTAGCAACCGCATCACATGTAGTTACTCAAAACGTCAAAACCTTGAAAAGAAAAGTCCGCATTTTCTCCAGTACTCATCGAATCAGTAATTTTACCCAGGAATAGCCAATTGAAGATGTCACTTGCAATGATGGAATTATTTTACGAAATTGATTAAGCAAAACCAATCGCAAGCTCGTCAATTTTTGGTCAAATCAACTAAATAGCTAAGGTTTCTAAGCAATCATTAGCAGCACCAGATTATTTAATGAAGAGCGCACAAATGCTATGAAAACCAAATTTCAATATATTAATAAAATGTCAAGTCATCTATGGTTACAAATATCACTTCTTTTAACGTTGCACAGTGGGCCAGGATTTTTACTTATTAACCATAAGTAGCAATTATCAATCGGTATTGGAAGCAAAGAGCATGTCGCAGGCTCTTTTATGGCGCGGCCAATGCTTCACCTGGCACTGCCGTCGGCAGTACCATTCCTGACGACATCGAGAGCAGCGCTTTGTGGCCACTTCACCGCAGATAACACAGCGTGGGGTGCGGAGTAGGGGATGCTCAAATACTGCTTCCGAATCCCCGTGCCCATTCGCATTTCCACTGCCGGTGGATCCGAAGAGGGCATCTACTGTTTCCTCCGAGAAGGCTTCCGCCCACCTCGAAGCCGCGCGCTGAGCTGCCTCTGCATTTTCTTTTAACTGAATCCGCTCCAGAAAATCACTAACCTCTTCATCCCACCTGCCCTTGTATCTGCAATGTTTATGCACTTGTAAGTACCCTTAATGTAACTTTCCTATACCGTGATGTCAAAATCAACTCTTGTTATTTAAATGCCATAAGCGCCTTTAATTTAAACTGTCATTGTTTATTCTTTGGTAGGATATTTGAAGAGTAGTTTGCCCCAATTCTTCAATGCTTCCAAGTGTTTATGACATGCTGTAATAGGACGAGATTTAGTTTAACTGCAAAGCTAACTGCGCAGCCTCTTTCAAGCATCATTTTGATGGGTCAAACTTTCATTTTTGATATTTTAACAGTAAGCCCTCTTGTGCATCAATACTAGTTTTATCTAGAACCGTACTTCTTCGGAGGTGATTTGGACAATTCAGTAGCCAACCTAATTTGTATTTCTAGTGTCATTAAGACCTTCAAAAATTTTTATACCACAAGGAATATACGGTTATAACCTGTACTTTTTAGTAAGGCAAAAACCGAACTTTTCCACTCTTCGTGTACTGTTAAGCATATTGGAGTAACAATGAAGGCAAGTGGGCACACGCTACGCATCAGAGCGCTTGCATTAGTGGATCTAGGCCATATTGCGCATAAACGACTAACTTTCGCCCCCTAAACTAAAAAAGCAGTCCTAATTCATTTTGCGTTTCATTTTTCCAAGGTGTGTCTTGAGGTATGTCCTGGTAATTTTGATTGCTTTGTGGAAGAAGACAACACGCAAAATTTTTCCAATTTCTAATAGGATGGAAGATTTGATTCGCATTTTTGAATAAATTTTGAAAGGATACACAAAGAGCCCAAAGAGTTTTAATTTATTGCATATTTTGACCATTTAACGATTCCAAGATTATTTCCTGACCCGATTTAATGAGTAATGTTGACAGCCAAGTCAAAACCACCCATGTCCTCATTTGCTAAAGCTAAAGTTCAATACATTTACTTCGACTATGTTTCACTGCAGTAAGGCCATGCAGCTCTAATAAATGTTGCCATAACGGATTGTATTAGAATGGCAAATTCATTTAAGCATGAAAAAAGAAGTTAAATGATGAAGTGATGTGGAAGGTTAGAAGGTGCCAAACCTGTGCAGAATGCCGTCGTGGATTTGAGGGACGTCTTCGATGTGACAGAGTTGAGCGACAGCGGCGGCGGATGAGACGGCGGAAACAGATCGAGCTACGGCAGCAACCTCGGAGACAGCGAATTCCTCGAGGAAGCGGCGCAGGTGCCCCAGCACCGGGATCACGTCGATGAGTGCCTCCGTGAGGAAAGGCCGTAGACGCAGCAGCGCCTGGCGCCTCACGCTGCTCCCCACGACCTCATAGCTCACCACGCCCATCACACCCGAGAAGAGCAGTTGGTGGATCGACAGCCACACCTGCGCCCAAATTTACCCGACCCAAGTAATTTTCACCTTATGTGGATCGTATTGCCGGGTTCAATTGGAAAATTTAGGAACGCATTCAACGACATTACGATAATAAACTAAACATTCCATATCCATTCAATACTTTGGACTTAATCTAGCCATCATTTTTGATACTGCAAAAAATATAAAAGAGTAACACTTAAGTATTTGTGTCTAATTTGTATATACACCACCTTTTCCTTCGAAAAATGAGTTAAAGAGCCTACGCCAACTACGCAGCGTCCTATCAAGGTATTAGTTTCTCTCTAAGTGTTATATCCATTATTTCTAGACTTAAACTCCTAAAGCCTCAACCCTCGTAGTTTATTTATGCAGCACCGTTGCCACAAAGCGATCGAACCACTACTACAATGATTTCTCTCTGGCATTTGGAACTTCACGATTTTGCACAACAAATTGGTGAAAACATAAATTTGTAGCTCATTTAAACTTATTGAGGGCATAGCTCTCTTAAATGCGGCGATTTTTTGGCTAGAATGGATTTGTCAAGCGCATACGACACAAATGCTTACGGTTTTGAAAACATATTAAATTCCCCATCTCAAGAGAAAAGGCATTCATTTAATAGGACTTCATGCTTCGAGAAGTGGATGGGTCCATCCACCACAATTCATTTTAGTGAATTTCTACAATCCACTTGCTTAATGAGGTCTTGGACTTATTGGTAGTCTATTTAGAAAATTTCTTGTTCAAAATAAAAAAAGTGTGGTAACACTAGTTTACTTTCTGCAAATGAGTTTCCTTGTATTGTTTTTCTGGCTATATAAATAATTTGTATCAAAACTGCAGTACACAGAAATGCACACCAAAATGAGGACATCCTCCAAGGATCGACTTACTTGCCCCTCAGATTTGGTCACAGAAGTCCAATTCTTCTCATCAGTCTCGGAAACCCAGCAGCCCGACTCGTGCCACTGGTATCGGAGCGGTCTCATTGAAGTGGTAGCCTCCTCGCAGCTCCATGGTGCAAGCTCGATGAGATGGCAGAGAAGACAGAGAAAATCGTGCGTATGTAGCAGCCGCCGCGCCATGCTCAGTGCCATCGTCGTGGATGAGGCCACGGTATCAGCGTAGACACCGCAGCAGTGCTCGATCAAGTGGCGTGTCAATGAGATCGCCTTCATACCCACTTCATAGGTGAAAATATCCGTCTGTCGCTGCAACTCCTCCTTATTCGTCTCCGATGGCTTCGGCTGTAGTTTGAACAAAGGCAAATTTTATCAGAGGATGCACTTTATACCATAAATGTCATTACAAATTGCATATTTAAAACAGTGATGACCCGTTTATTTTTAAAGATATGCTTATTATCCATAGATCAATTGACTTTTTTCTTCTAAAGTAAACTTTGGCAAACAATTCCTGAAGAATAGTTAAACAACCTTGTAGAAAAAAAGTAGTGAGTTGGAATAATGCATAATGATTTCAAATTGATTAATCAGTAGTCATGTCTTCAAATTCACCTGCTAAGCAATTAAACTCAAACATCTAGAGGTATTAAATGCAAAAAATTGCTTATTGCACGCTTTGTAGTTTCTGACTGGTTCACAAAGTAATAACTACAAGGTGTACAAAAATATGGGGAAATGCATGAGACTAATAACCACTTTAATCTAATAAAAATTTTAGTGCAATCAATGCCGCAACACAAGCTATGCATAAATAAGTTTAGGAAAGAGTTTGGATTATATTAAAATTATTGGCGGTTCTTTATAAAGACCAGGGAAATGTTTACGAAATCCAAAAATATGACCGTAATAATTAGTAGCAACACAGATTGCCAAGATTGTTATTTTCAGCTTGGTTGCACTTCTTACGTGACAACCCTATTTTAGTAAGAGTTGATCTGTTACCCACTTGATCTTTGAGAATTCGGATATTTGCCTTCTTTTCCTTAATTGATACTGCATTGGCGAGACGACATAGAGCTCGATGGCACCAGTCACACAAATCCACAGCATCATCATTTAAGCAATCGACTACGTCAGTATGATAGGTGACAGTCTCCAAGATGTTTGCCAGAACAAGCTCGTGATAGAGTGTAACATACAAAGGAAATGTGGGTAAATTTTCGGGTAGACATTTCATGAGCCGTTTGAAAATTTTTCGATGCCATAATTCGGTTGCAACTAAGTCACGAATAAGGAATCCAACTTTCTGGTGCGAGATGATGAACTCTTTCACAAATTCGTCCGAACCTGACCTGGCTGAAGCAACAGCCTTCAAAAGTAATTACAAAGGAACTCAAATTTACTTGCATATTAAGCTTATCCAAATATGAATGTTGTTTGTACCACTGCTCCTTTCCATAGCAGTCATAGTCCAAGTCCGCAAGAAACTCAACAAAAGCCTCTGCCTCAGCCGGAAAAATAATATACTAAAATGACCCAAATGGTAGCTTTAATACTATATGCCTAAACAGTGCTGCCGTCATAGATGTTCTTATGCAGCACGTACATTTAAATTTATGCATATGGTTGTACTGCTTTAGAAAATGTTGTTCATATAGATGATAAGCGCGAATACTGGACAAATTGCAGTGTTTTCAAAAGATATTAAAGGAACAGTTTAACAAAGTTCATCTCTCCACTACAAAACCAACTATTTATGGAATGCCGGCCCAATCAAATTAGGCAAACTTGTACTAACTTTATAACCCTTTCATTACCTATATGGTTTCAATGAACTGACTGAACCAAAATTAACTTTTGGATACGGGAAGCTATTCACAGCTGTTTCTTTCAAAAATACACAGATCAACGCTTATATTGCCCCGAACTGTGAGCCTCGAAATCAATAGTGATATGGTTGTAATAGTCTGCGTCTTTTCTCTTAAAAATGATTACTTCTTGATCCATACCTGAAATTCACCAGCCATCAGGCAATAGATTCGAATTTCAAAAGTTACTATGCTATAACAACGCAAAATATATTGGGCTATATAAACACAAATTCATAATTAATGCCATTTAGAGTTCTTGCGACATGCGCTCTGTTATAGCAAATATAAAAAACCTGAGTCCTACTTAAATTTGTGCTGACACTTAAGAGATTTGCCATCTTAAGCATCACCTCTGTTTTTAACTTAAATGGAGGCATTCAAAATCTTCTTTAAGGCAATATTACTTCATCCTCTACAAGAAAAGGTCCACTTTAAGCGTACAGAATGACTAAAAGGCTGTAGACACATCAAAAGGTCAAAGAGGGGCAGGAGAGCTCTTAAAGTTTGTTTTGTAGTTAAGCATAAATATTGTAGCGTCCCGAGACTCCCTGAAGACAGAAGAAGATACAATGCTCGGGCAGAATAGATATATTCAGCATAGCGAAGGTGTCCGGGCTACTGGCATGGTCTGAAGGCCAGACCACCCAGCGGGTTCCAAGGGGGCTAATTCAAAGTACAAAAGTGGCGCCTCACCAATCCGGAGGTATATACCACCACTTCTCTGCTTTGGCCTTGATGGGCCTTCGTGCGGGCAAAAAAATCATCGCAAGACAGAGTAAAAGGAGGCTTAATAGATCTGTATCTTGTGAAAGAAATATTTATCTTGAGATAGCGCATGAGTTATGCCTGGTAGCGATTCCTGAACGTCCTATCCTCTGACAGATAATATGCATAAGGAGGACGGTGTACTGTAATGAACCTTTGCGTATCAATCACGCCGTGAGTAAAACATATCTAAAAGCAATAATAAAATGAGGGAAACTGTGACCTAAGGATTAATCCGGCAAATATTGGGAGCCTATCACAAGGGAAAAATTGGTATTTCCAAAATCTGGTTTCGCCTAATTAGCTTATCCTGAGCAGGACCTGGAACCGGGAATCTGCCAGAACTAGACATCGTTTTGGTCCCTCTTCTACGAATTTTAAATTTGGCAATCAGAAAGAGGACCAAAAAGTGGTTTAACTGGATTATATTCGCTTGCAGCTGTAAAAATGACACTTTGACTATTTTACGAAGCCTTAAAGACACGTGTCATTGCAAAAGATTTTATTACTTTTTAGCAGCAGCGTTGAGGAGCAGTAGTGATGCCTAGAACCACGGCTTAGCAACCTTTATGGAATACGATAGTGGTTTATCCCTCAATATTGGTGAAACGCCACCTTTGTACTTTGAATTAGCCTCCTTGTACCTTTCTGGGTGGGCTGGCCTTTTGGGCCATACCAATAGCCCAGACACCTTCTCTGCGCTAAATATATATTCTGCACTAGTATTGTGCCTTATTTTGTCTTCAGAGAGTCTCGGGACGCTACATTTATCTAAAGACGTTGAGCACTGTATTTGTCGTGAAATGAAATGCGAAATAAAAATATCAGGCAAAGTTCTTTTGCCTAGATTGATCTGCAGAGTAGCGAGTCGCCGAGGAAGATCCACCAAGCAAAAAGAGTGTGAAGACATGCGCACCAATGGAACCCTAGGCGAAAATTATGCCGTTAACCGGAAGTATAACCCGAGTAGAAAGGTATCCCTATAGTTGAACGAGTGGTTAATAGTTCCTGTCAATTGACGGAACTTTTGTTTTTAAGCAAAGTAAAAACTAATAGTTAGTGGAGCACAAGGGATTATTAGAAGTGAATTTAAATACATTCTTTGCTTTAACAACTACTGCAACACTGTAAAATAAATTCAACAAGATATAACAAATTCTGAAAAAAATAAATAAAAACAAATACGTGCTTGCTTGCGTGATAAGGGAAATGAAACTTTTATGCAGGAGACGCCAATTTTCTGTAGTTTTAACCGCTTTTAGTTTTGTTTTATTGATTATATCATTAAAGCAGCATGTGATTGGGTAGAGTTTTGTGCAAATTACCCTCGGTAAGCGTAAGTCAGTTTGTTGTTTGCCATTCAGGATGGATGATATTGTTCAAATCGAATCAGCTAAGGCTATCACTGCTTTAAATGATGCATTGACAAAAAACAATTACGAGGGTGTTCGAAATATTATCGCTAGTGCTGTCTCCTCTGCTTCTTGTGCACCTTGGGATCTGGTATCGTGGCTTTTGAGCAAAGTTGATGATTCGACGGTTAAGCATTCTGTTGAATTAGAAAACCTACTTAAAACGAATGTTTCTGAACTATCTCAGTCTCTTAGTGCTAAGGAATTTGTGTTAATCCTTCTTAGCAAAGTAGAATCAAGCAATTCTCTTTGTGTACTAACCTTTTCCATGCCTTTCCTGGAATATTGTGCACTTTCTTTTGGACTTTCTGATTACTTAAACACGCATCTTATCTTCAAGTCCATTCAAACTAAATTGCACGCTTTTATATCGGGAGCTAATGACCCATTTCGTCCTAAATTTGCTAAATATCTTAATGTTTTGATTCGCGGCATAAGCCATTTGTTTCACTGCATGTTTTCAAAGACAGCTGACAAAAATGATGCTCTCATTTACTCGGAAGACGTACTTTATTACTTTTCAGAGACTCTATATTTCGTAGGTTTAAATGAGGATACAATGCCTGTTTTCCGATCTTTTATCTCCGTTTTGCAAATAACCGGCCCGCCCCTGTACTCCCGGTGCTATGAACTTCTTCAGTTTTCGAATAACTGTTCAGATGTTATTGCTGCTTCTGCTAACTTCGCTGATCGCGAAATAGCATTGTTACACGCTTTGGGCTTGTGCTTGACATCTTTTCCCGTTTGCTCATTTTGGCCTACCATTTTTACGAAAGAGTATGAACTGAAATTATTTGTTTGTATTGCTTCATCATTTGTACAGAAGATAGAAAGGTTCATTGCTGATGGCTCTTTTTTATCAAGGGTGGATGTTAAACGACTTATTCGCACCCAAGAACACCTTATTAGCTTAGCTTCTAAGCTTCGACGATGTCTTCCATCTACTTGGTGGACTTCATTTCCCATCTCACTCATAAGAAATTTCGAAGCAATTTCAAAATATCCAATCTCATCCGAAAGTCTTCCTGTTGAGGTCAAAAACTGCGTATTAGCCATCGAGGCTCTCCTGTCTTCTGCTTCAATTACCGCTTGTTGTGAATTATTCATCGGTATCATGGATCGGTCGATTAAGCCCTTTCATTGTGGGCTAAGATCTCATATGATCGTTCTATTCAAAAATTTTTTGAACGACACTTTGTTGATATTGCAGGATGGCCGTCGTAACGATCTACTTATCGCAGAGAACCTAGTGGGAGAGTCTAGTGTCACATTGCCATTCGATTTCGATTACCTTCGAGGCATGTGTGACCTAATATTCCAGTACCCACTACCCGGTTGTGATGACTCCCTCTTCGACCAATCCAGTTGGCTAATGGCGGCGCTAAACTTGGCAATCTATGTCAATATTCGTACAAGGTCAATTTCAGCTTTAGAATGTAGTGCCGAAATCAAAGAAATCTCCCATGGAGTTGCACTGGCTTTCAGTCGTCCTGACGCCAAAGGCCGAAGTACACTGAAAACCAGGTTCCTCGATCCCCTCTCCTCAGACGTTGCATCAATTTCAAACAGGTATAAAATGGCGGAAAGGGAGCACGAAGCGAATCCCGATCCCATGACCATTTCTCCCAACGCACCGAGTCTGCACGACTGTCAACTTTACTTACTCCGATTTCGTTTGCTAATGGACACTGTATCCCGTGTGGGGGAGTTCCCTGTTGCCTAAACAAACACTAATTATTAATAAAGTAGCTTATTTTTACGCATATATTTTTCCAATATCATTTCAGTGGTAGTTTGTCTACCTAGGCCCAGACTTGTTTTTACAGGTTCACCGAGGATGATCAGGTCATGGACTAATTTTAAACAGTAAGTTAATTGGTGCGTGCTTTTTGTTTTTACTATGAGAGGGTTCACAGTATACTGTACCATCTACCGTTAGCTCTATCCATTGGTTCGGCACTCTAGCCATTTGTCGTCGCAGTATTCTTACGGCACCTCAAATCGAAGCTCTTACAAATAATTGCTCTCACATCAGCCCCAAGACATCAAAGGGACTTCCCATCTACAGATCAGGTACGTCTGTGTCTATGTATTATCTAGTGAATGTTATTCAACTTATTCCTTGGGTTATATTCGCTTAATTGAGTTAAATCCACTTCGTGCTAATTTTCTCACTATTCGCAACAAAGTGTCCGTCAAAATCTGAGTTAGACAAACTAGAAAATAATTTAATTCTCATATTCCGCAGTAGGCCACATTGATTAATAAGTGGCGTTTGAAATCCTTTTTTTGGTTTTTCTTGGTTTCTACCCTTTATGTGGGTTTGTTTATATTGGTCGACTATAAGCTCCTCATTTTGCTGTGCATACGATCCCTGTTGCAGATGTTCGTTGTTTCTTAGTTGGCGTTAGTACCACAACAGACTCGACGGAGGGAATGACGTACGCAGCGGGAGCGGGAGAAAGTGATTCCGACAGTGGGAACTTCTCGGAGGGCATGAGGACGGACTCGTTAGAGAAGATGTGCGAGCGTGCACTGGAGGGCGCGGTGGCGCACGTACCCACCCTTGGATGGTCGCGCGACTCCCTCGAAGTCGCCTGCATGGAACTTGGCCTGCCCCCCGGTCTTCATTCTATTGCTATGCCCCGAGGCCCCATCGATCTCGTGTTATACTTCTACGAGTCTCGCAACCACCATCTTGCCGATGTGCTCGCCAAGTGGCGCAAGGAGGAGGTTGCTGATGGCAAGGAATACATCATTGCCAAGCCCAACAGGTACGTGAGCAGCAGCCATATTTTCAAAAGCGTCATCCCTTTTAGCCCTTCTGACTTGCTGAAAATGCACTTTGTTTAATGCCCAAGGATATGCCTAAATCATTCTTTAACGTTTTTCCATATTAAAGTTTCCATTTATTCCAATTTCACCTGTCTGGTCTCATGACATTTTCGTGAAAAACCTGACGAAATTTGTGTACAAGACCTGTGCCATTCGAGGTAACTATTCCGGCTTGGTGAACTGTGTTCGGGCTCCCTCAGATCTCATTAAGCGATTATTCGTTGGATCAACCTTAATGTATGATTTTTAAGCAACTCGTTATTTATGAGATGGATTCACATTATTGTGGTTGAAGTGGTTGTTTAGAGAAGATTGCAAGGGTCGACTTATACCTTATTTTGATGCGATTCACGACACTTGCAGCTCGCGTCTAACTGAAAGTGTTTTTTTTGCCATTACCTACTGGCGAGATTTCGGTTAGTTGTTATTACCTCCCTTTGGTGCTTACTTTATGACCCTTGAAACTGATCTTTCTATTTCCAAATTTCGATTTTTCTTTCAGATTCTTTTTTCATTTAATCGAAAACTACACAAACTTGAAATTCAGCTGTGGTAATTTTAAAACTGGCGAACTTGACTCTTGTCTTCTATTTATTTCGTACGTAATCGGAGCATCGAGTACTCTATCATTATATTTTAGTTTAAGGTCATTCGTGTTCCATTTTTCCAAGATTGATAACGTCTCCGTTTTCATGCTGATTGTAATTAATGTGGCTTTGCGCCATCTGACTAGCGACGAGCTTCGATGTGATTATTTTTACATCCGACGCGCTGGTCTATTCCAACTGTGTCACATAACTACCGATCGTACTTCCATCCAGCCTTCAAAACGGCTTGATAACGTCGTCTCCTTTTAAGTTTTTTTCATCTTCAAAATATGCTAATTAGAATCCAAATAATATCATGCTGGATGCGATAATCCCAATGTTCTGCAGAAATATTGCTGTATTTGAAGGGGTTCGATGCGCTTCATTAAATTGGTAAAAAAAATGCATTTATTTCGTTGTCCACATCAAGCTTTATCCGTCAGTCTGTTAACTCCAGGTCCACAATAAGCTCGGCCCCTCGGGTTATGCCACAAGTTCTCAGATCTGAATAAAATTTTTTACTAAAATAATTTAAGTAGCATACTTAAATTGTAGCTTTGGGTTTGAGGCACCTCCTCCGTTTAAAACGAAGCAGGAGACGGACGCGTTTTTGCGCCGCGCCATCGAGTACCGGCTTCAAACCAACAATGAAGTGTACCCACAATGGGGACAGGCGATGGGCCTTTTAGCCCTACCGCAGAATATACCCGCTGCTATCGGTCTCGAGGCGCAACTCGTTGACGAAATTTGGGCACAAGCTGGTGATAGGTCCGTTGACGTGAGTCATCGCGTAATTTTACCATGCTTCGACATCTACGGCGCTGCTGGGCTGCCCTATCTTTGTTTTGTGCATGTGTGAATGCTAGCATCAAATCATTAGAGTCATTGTTGTTCAAACGTTTGCTATAATATTCTTAGAATGGGCCTAATTGTTAGCGTAACTTTTTTTTCATGCTAACAAGAAATGTCAATTTTCAAGTAAGTTTGTAATGGCAAACTCCACCATAATTACTTCTTATTAGTTTAATTAGTATGGCACAGACCAGTGGTGTATCGCAGCTGTTTCAATGTTACAAAAAGCCTCCTGTAGGCCCATCCCCACTTTGCATTAAACCATGTGATTCTTGCTTTCCAACTTACTAAAGTCTTTCACGTACTTCTGGGTAAAGTCAAATCACTGTACTTTTTTCACCTACTTGATGGAATTAGTCTTTGCGATGTATCATTTCGTTGGGAATCCTATGACGTCCTTAGTGTATTGTGGCATCTTCAACTAATAAAAAAACTTAACCAATCGAGCTGTCTAAAATGCAACTTGTTGTAAGCACCTTTATTTTGCTTTAATTGCTTGGGACTTAAAACCAATGCTTATTTGGGTCTACTGCAATCTGAGTATGAATGTAGGTTTTGGTGGTAGCACATTTTCTCTTGAATAAAGCATAATTGAACAAAAGTTCACTACTGAATGATTAAATGGATTAGGGAGAAGCTTTACTTGTAAAGGAAATCTGAAGAACTCGGTTTTGGTCTCCTCAATGTATACGAGAGCGACGAAGTGCTCTAAAAGGCTGTTAACTTTTTCCAAGTGGATGCTCTCAGTTTCCTCAACGTCTCCCATAGTCTTCACCGTCTAATCGTCATTCCCTTCCACCAGACGCATGCCGGTGATTGCCATAAAGAACAGAGGCTGTGTAGGAAAGTTCATAGGGTCTCCTTTCTTCTGTCCATCTATGTGTTTATGAGTTGAATTTACGCGTTGGGGGCTTACGGATGCTGCGCATTTCTAACCCACCGCATAGAATAGTCTTATTTATGTGCTCTTGATTGCGCAACGGAACTACATCAACATTGTTTTTTTCCTTTTTTCCCGGAAAGTATGACGCAATATTTAGCCAGAAGTTGGTTATCCAATCTCTGATTATTGTTTCTTCGTTGTTACTGATCAGTACCTATGCTTAGAAGAATCTAAACTGAGGCTTTATAACATAGATAATTTTAACTGCTTAAATTAACCACCTCTTTTGAAAGGTTTTCAATGAATTAAGCTAATGTGCTATTTCTTCCCAAGCTTTCTCTTTTTATTCCCACTTAGCAACATGCAAAGACCACTCTTATACTAATCCTTTGAAGGGGGTCATCTGGAGGACTAAAAATTGTGTAAGGCCGCGTTCGTAATTGCTAATTGACAAGGGGTTGATTGTAGGTTTTTGGAACATGCCTTTTTCGTGCAATTTGTGGCTTTACAACTTCTTTAAAAAATTTTGATAATAGTGTTGGTTTAACTGTATTGCTGATGTGATATTTGGATGCAGCTGGATCCTTAGTGCCGTCATTTTCATCTGATGATCAGTAATGGGATCACTGCCTCCTCACATTTCGACATTTTAATTAGCAAGTAGGACCTAAGTGTCAACGGTAGTGGCGGCTTTTGTACAATCCTCATCTGCGCAGTTGTAGTAATGTTTTTTTGGGGCGATCATTTGATTTCGCAGATGATTTATGGGTCATTCTGCACCGATGTTACACACTTAAAGTCTGTGTATTTTTGTTGAGTAGCTTGAATGCACATTATTATCAACGTGTAAAAGGCAAGATGAGACAATGAAGTCTGATTAACAGTTTGTTTAGTTTTGTTGGTTGGATTTGCGTCTACCGTGAACTTACAAAGGAGGTTCAGATGTCGAGAAAGTGTTATCTTACGTATCAGAACACTTGAATCAATTTGACATCCTTCAACAACTTTATTTTCACCTGTTTTCAGATAAATTGGTACGCAAAGCGTCTAGGTTTGGCGTACGTGTACAAACTGACCGAACTGTTCTACATACAAGACACATCACCCGACCACAAGGCGACCTGGGAATTCCTCGATCGTCGAATAGCCGACCTTCGGGCTATGAAGGAAGCCAAGGTGCGTTTTTTACCGATTACCACCGCTGTCGTCCATACCATGTGGACGCGTTTGAAAGAAATGCCTCAATACTGTAGTTTAAGTATTTTAATAATGTAATGGTTTCGCGCAAGGCGTGCCTGTGACTTTCAAAGCATTCATCGTTTTCCCGTGTGGTGTTACGTCACTTTTTCGAAATTTCAATTTTTTACTCCTTCACGCCTCTGCAGTCAGCGTAATGCCGTAGACAGGCGCCGAGGAATTATGGTATTATAGACATCCTCATAAATGGGGATAAATATAACCCATCTGCAGGAACCGATATATGTTTTAATCATTGTTGTAAAATTGATCTTTCCTTGGAATATTTTAGACTATTATTCTCATATCTCTAAGATAGAATTCTCTTGTTACTATTCAAGTGGTGCTTCAGGGTTAACGTGTTGTTTGACTTTGATCTGCATTCTGCCAAATTCGTTTGGATACTTTACATCAGCATAATAAAATATTTTACGCATAGTTCCAACGAATGATTTAAAACTGGAGGGTCATGAATACTTCGTCGTTATGCTAAAATAAGTAGAACTTGCTTTGACCTCTTTTTTGTTCTTCCTTTAACTGTTTGAGAGTGAAAGTGGTTCGAACCGACTGTTTTAAGGCATGCAGATTTTTCCACCTACTATTCTCTAATACGGGTTTATTCATCTGATTGTTACGGCTGACCACTTGAGACCGGGAGTGTTGTCACTTTTGGATGTTTGATCATGTCTCATCTTGCAGTTTTTTGTCGATGGTCATACTGAGTACAGTTAATGTGGGGAAAGGATCAAGACGAATTTTGGTTTGCACAAGTTGTTTCCCGTGAAACGGCAGTTATGACATTTGCTTATAGGCGTAGTCTCTTCCATCTGGCCGTATCATTGCCGTACAAATAGGTGGGGTGGCTCGTTCAGTAACATTGGGTGATTATTTGCTGCTGGAAGGCCTTCTCTCTCCCCTCTGTCGCCTCAAACAAGTGAATTGCCGCCCGTCTGTTTGGGAAGCTCATTCTAGTTGACACTTGGACCTGTTTTGTGGTTGTAGCGTCCCGGTTTCGTGCCAGTCGGTTTGGGTGGTATTATCATAAGTTGCTATGTGCAAATGGTATATTCCAAAGGGTTGTTAACGGTTTTGTAACATGGATATCACATTTGTTTGCAAATTTTGGTGTGATAATTCAGTACGATGAATTGCCGTTTATTAATATTTCGGTTACGTAGGGCGAGGACCACACTGTGGTGAAGCACACGGTATCACAATGCAGACGACTAATTTTGAATTGTTAGGGCTGATGTTTTATTGTCACAGAACTTTCCCCTTATGAGATAACATTTATTGATACTACGTGGGAGCCCTCGTGACATCTGGCAATTATGTAGAACCGATACCCGAATGCATTGTGGTTTCTCCATGGTCTCGATTTACGTCGTAGTTCTTATTTGTGGTTTTTGTTGCCCCCTGTGCGTTAGGCGTAGTGTCTGATAGTCGTCTTTTAAGAAGTCGTTAAGTCACCGTTCTACCAGCAACATTTACATCCGTCCGCGATTTTGAAAAAATGTCCAAAACGCTTAATTTCCTCGCACTACAATGACTCTATCATTGCCCCTGTGCGTAGTTATATAGTTTCATGCAAAGAAGCGGGTTATGTTTTGTCTTCCCAACCGCAACCTGTCTGCTTTCCAAAGGAAGTGCGATCGCTGGTGTGTGTGTGTGTGTGTGCGCAAGGGATTGAATCTTGCAGATCGAAGAGTCGTCATGTGAAGTATCCTTGGTAAAATAATTGTCATGTTTTGTTTGTAGTATGCGAGTAATTCCAGATGAATCAATTTTAGTTAATATTAATTTACTATCTTATATTGCTCCACTCATTAAGATTTCATATTGGCTGCTGGTGCTACTTTGTCCAACATTTTTATAACGAGTATAATTTTCATAAATTTGAAATTCGGTAATAGTACTTCTTGTGTATTTTTGTGGAGTTTGACGCAAGGAAATGGCCTCTACATTCGTTGCTTCCAATTCAACAGAAGTAGGAAGTCGTTCCACTCAAATACAAAAAAAAAAGGTTTCAATTTGAGAGACTTTAAGAGAAAACGCAATTTAAGCTGCTCACTGTAGTCTTCTTTTGTTTTTAATGTTTTGCTACTGCACTGGAAGAGGCCAGAGATTATTATTCGTCACAGGGCTGGGGTTAATTGTCACTTTTGCCTTCGCATGAGTTGGAGAGGTTAAATGCTCATTTAGGCCCATTTTACCAACACTTACGTGGTTTTATTGACTCTCCTTCGATGTTAGCCTCTTACGATCTAAATCACGATGAAAGCTGATGATCGTCCAATTTTGAAGCTCATCAGCATTTATTACTCTCTGCCGAACAATTCATCTCCCTGCGTGAAATGGATAAACCGCCAAATGTCGCCTCTTCCACTGGATCTTCGATTTTTTTTCCTTTTTCGGCAGAATTACCTTTCTTTGCGTGGCGCTGTTACGGTTTATGTGGGTCTTTTAGCCTTTTTCTTAGCTTTATTCTATCTGCAAAAGTCTTGTGCTAATTCCAAGGCCACGAGATAGCCTACATTTGATTAAGTAGATTGAGCTTTTGAACGCCTTTGCACTTTATCATTGGGCTTCCACTCGGTATGAAGTAGAAGCATTGGTTACGGCGTGTAGTTTTATTAATTTTTGTTTGTTCACTTCTGATATCCGTGTCTGCAATGTATTTAGGATCAGGTGATTCGCATTCGCGATTCCACTTGCATATCTTTTTTCAATTAAATTCGTGGTTAGAAGAGAGCGATTGTTGATTGAAGACAGTCCTTTATTACCAATTTAAGGTGGTTGCTTATAGTCTTTCCAAAAGAGGGCATCCACATAAATGGAAAACTGCTTTGGACCATTGAGGGTTCCAGACTTATTGATGAGGTCAGTCTTTTCTTACCAAAAGGCGACAAATTAGACGTATTCCAGTGTCAGAGACCTAATGTGGGCCATCCTGTAACATCACATCGGGGCAGTTTAATTAGCATATTCACGCAATTTTAATTAGGCCTTATCGTAAAAACAAATTCCGTGAAGACAAAATTGATGGGGTCTCTCGAGGATATTTGCATGTTACCAATACCTTTTTCCAAGTAACTCGGGTTCACTTCAATTTTGCGCTGCCGTGGCCTTGTAGATCTCTGGAGAAAAGGCTGTGCATCTGAACTCATTGGAATAAGCGGCATTTGGACTAATGCAAATCTGTTACCTTGTTTGTTTGCTTAAACCGCCGGGGCGGGATGCTATAGCAACTATGTGAGCTTCCCTAATAATCCATTGGATCTCACTATTGTTAGGGTAGCCGCAAAAGTTACTGTTGCTAGTGCTGTTGCACCGGAATTTACTGACCTTTCACCTTTCTGTCAGCGGTCTAGTATTTTATCTACATACCTGCTGACTTTTTGGTCTTCTTTTGCAGCTTAAAGGTATTGCCAGCATGTTGCGTGAGGGATTCTTCGCTGCTGGTCACGTCGTAAGTTGCCTTTTTTGTTGAGGTGTTATCATGGGAAAAAAAACGTCCTTTTTTATATTTGACTGCACAATGAGTCACCTACATGCTTCACTCTGTATACCTTCTTTCATCATAAGATTTTTTGAAAAGGGGAAGTTTCGCACATCGGCTTACCGTTCACCTTGGTTTCACTTCGCCTTTTAGCGATGTCACGCTATAGAGTCGGATTGGTTAGGATGTGACTAGATCAATTTGAACTCAGAATGTCGCCAGTGTCCTCCTGGTGGATTTTTTTGTAAAAATATAAAGAAATGTTGTAAACATTCTGGCGTGAATTTATTAAAACAGCTGCGTGTATTTATTTTAATAACTTGACGAGAAAGTATCGCGCGTAATATACTACAGTCCGGGTTTTGAATTCACGGATTGAGATAATACTTTTCCCACTGTAATGGAAGCTTTATAACCACCAAACCGTGGCGTTGAGTTTCATAACATCCAATGATGAGATCACTGTTGGTTGGAGTACTGAAATGCTCTGCTCTTGGATTCTGTAACGATATCGCAATAATAGAAATTCTCCAAAATGTTTTTTAGTCTTTTTTGTTGTTTTCCAGTATTACAACAGTATAACAGCAGAAGGCATGCCCCAACATCAATGGAACAACAGGAGTATAGACAAGCACTCGTAGATTTCTATCAGGTGTTGCTGAAAGCCTTTTGGAATTGTTGTTTGCTTGTAGTCAATATTATCCCGGTTAGTAACTTAGGGTAGCAGAAAATTTTGGCGTCCTAGTGAAGTTTTAGGCTTGAAAAACGTTGATATGTTACAGAGGTTTGGGACGAACTGCTATGTGTGCATTATATTATGAAGTTTAGAGGTGTAATTTCTTTTTCTTATTTGATATTAATTTTTCCCTTCCTTTAGACCTCGAACATCTTGGGTTGGAATTGTAGAGGCTGTTAGATTCGTTTCCCACCAACCCATCCCCGACTTTGCTGCACTACTAGGAGTCGAGTGTGTGAATAAATCTGTCCAAAACTCTGCCTTTTTTCTGCATGTTTGGTGTGTAAGAGAAATTTATTTACACCGCGCCTACTTAACGCAGTTGGATTGGGAAATTAGTCCTTTACTATCGAGGGCCGAAAAGTGTGCTGCGGTTTTGCGCCTGTGTAAGATGTGACCCGTGGTCATAGTTGTTTTCATTTGATATTACTAAATTTGTGGACTTCCTGTCACACCGTTTATGCTTTTGCTTGTCTATGATAAAATGTCACTGGTAGCGTCAAGGTGATCCAATCATTTTCTGTCTATGCTCAAATGAAGTGATGTTCAGTCAGAAGTGTGAGCAATCCAAATATCTTGGAAGCACCATTTTGTTTGGCATTGTTTGTTTGTAGATAAGGAACGAACGAAGACTTCTACACTTATTTGGTTGTTATTGTTTCACACTCCTCTTTTTTGCAGAGTAATTTGGATGGCACAGAAATTCCGCAGCAGTGAGTGGGACCCCTTCCTACTGGCAGGTCAGATTGTGTTCATGCAGTGTCTCTTCTACGGCACCACGGGTGCGCTGTGCGCCCTGGTGAGTCCGATCTCGCAGTGGCACACGAGCTTGCGTCTCCTCTTAGACGACAGCGAGTTGCGTTTTCGAGATCTGCAAGGACGTTGTCTCATCTCTGTGTTCCTCCTCTCCGCCGGTCTCTGCGCTCTCGGGCTGTGGCGGTTGGTGCGACGCACCAAACTCTGCCTCGACTTCACTTGCACCCTTTATTTCTGGCATTTCATCTTTTGTGCCCTCTACACTGCCTCCTTTCCAGTCTCCGTGGCCTGGTGGCTCACTGTTGCCGTTTCTGTAGTCCTCATGACCCTCATGGGCGAATTTCTCTGCATGCGAACCGAAATGAAGGCCATTCCTCTGGGTGGGGCCGCTACTAGTGTGGTATGATTCGCTTTCGCCAGCGTCCCATGATTTCTCTCCTCCCTCTTCCAGTGTCTTTGTCTTTCTTTTTTACAGAGCTCGTACATATTCCTTTGACCACATTCTGTGTACATTAATAATGAGTGCTTCAAATATTCTTCTCTGTCGTTTTTGAACCTACTATTAGTTAAAGGTAGAGGCCGCATATCGAGAAAGTATTCCTCTCTGTGTGGAAGTCGCATAGGATTTGCTTAGTCATTTGGGTGATTGTGAACTCGGGGCACGCGCGTCTATTTCATGCACATGGAGGCAAAGTTTTGACAATGTGCAGTGCGAAAATTGAAGTCAGTTTTGGATTAATTAAAACCAGTTCTTCGCGTAGAACTTGGGATGAATCATCAGTTGGTGTCCACGACGTGGTTTTACCGCGTTTTTTGAGCTTCCACTGGGTGTGGGGAGTACCAAGTTGTGGCGATTCTGGTCTTCTTTGCGTTGGTGATTGCTCGTGGTTTCACCCTATTAACACCAAATGATGATTCATTAACAAAACTGCGCCTTGGTCTTCACTGGGGGAAGGTTTTGTGTTTGAAAGAGTATTAAGTGGCAAAAAAGACGACGTGGCCACCCTTAGGAATGTTGAATGAGAAGGAAAGAGGACTGAATTTGATTGGAATGGTTTTGGGCTGCCAAAATTGCATTTGGTCTGTATTTCGTACTCCGGGATGGAGGGGGATGCCCTTGCTTGCTGAATTACTGCAGTTTTCCTTGAAGCAAATTTACCAAAAAGTGCCATTGTTGATGTCTGTGAGAGGCGTGCATATGTCCGGGATTTTTGTGCTTTTATTCTCCGGCTTTTGAAAATATTCAAAAAGTGGTAATTTGTTTTTCAAAAGTGAATTTACAACTGATAACATCATCCACGTCATACATAAGTCCGAGCATTTCTAGCAATCATAGTTTTTCTAGTAGCTAGAAATCTCTGTCTGGAAGAAGGCGGATTTCCTGGATTAATCAGGTTATCTTTATAAAAGGCATAGGACGGAAGGTCTGGTATGGGGATTGACTGTTTTGCGGACCTTTTTAGAAGCACATCATGTCACTTGAATAAGAGAACTGCGGTACTTTACTTCCTGTTAATCGTAAGTGGATTAAATGTATGAATACTTGCAGAATTGGTCGTTGGCTAGATAATTAGTTCACATCTCTCAAATGGGTTTATGACTGGTTTGGAGTTACTGAAAATCTAGTGTTAATGCTTTCGATTCCTCTCTTCCGTGCGATAAATTAATGGCCTTACAATAGGCTTCGCTGTGTTTTATCCCTCCTTAATATTGCCATATTTTGTCTGGAAAAAATGTTCGTAATTATTACATGTTACAACATAGTAGATCCTCACGTTATCAAGGACATGCGCTTATATTAGACAAGTAGCTCAAATAGGCACGCACGAATAATGTTTAAAACTGTGGAAGAGGAAAACGATTGTAATAACCGAGTGTATGAAGTGGCGCCTCACTGATTCCTTCCTTTGGAGCTCAAATTGGCTTTTGCTGCCTCATCCATGTTGGACTAATGACATTTCCAATTGATTGCACACATCTCCTCGACATTTAGTTAGAAAAATTTGAAGTGTGTAAAAGCTCAATCGCACTCAACTTACTGACCCCCTTCTCGTGGTACATTCCAAATGTTATTCCTTTTTTTACTCTGAAATCTATTATGTGCCTGCGGATAACCCACACGTGACCAGAAGTGTAAGTCGGTCATAAAAACACCTGGGCTTAGTCGAGTTATTACATTTTAGTTTGAATATTTCCTGTGGGAGCAAATTACTGTCTCAACGAATTTGCATGCGATGATATTTGCCTTATTTTATGCTTACATGTACGTAAGAAGGCCCAGAACTTCATTGGATTTTTTGTACTGAAGTGGATAGGTGGATTTAGGCGGTAAGGATAAGTAGATGGCTTATTTTAGTAATAGGATAAAGTGTAATTCTACATTATATTAGATAAGTTCTGTTTACTATACATTAATGGCCGAACGTGTTCTCTCCGAGCGACCAGTATTAGGGTATAATGATAAAATTGCTCACGATCACAGAATTTCCCTCCCTTAAATGCCTTTCCAAGTTGCAAGATTTTATTATCTGTTTAAAATAGCAACTTAAACTAACATTCAGTCATTAAGAAAAATTCATTCAATTTTCACAAAATTCTGTGAAAACAGTGCAGGAAAAGGAATAACCATGCACAATTAGAAGTAGTATTCAAGTTCGAGGCGAGATTACCATGTCTGATCTAGTGTCCATCCTCTTCTTCTGTTGTCCAAGTAGGCGATGTTGAGGAATGACTAGTCATTGACCAAGCACTAGTCAGACTTGCTTATTTCCAAATTCCATTTATTTTCTGCCCAAATGAATGTTTTAAACTGAGAAAAAGACCGCTTTTACAAGTGTAAAAATACCGCAAACTGCAAAGACGGTTGGTTGCTGTTGATAATCAAATCAAGTCTTATTTAAATGCTAATCTACCTCCGGGAAAATGCACTGTGTAACTCATGCAGGATGATCGAAGAGATAAAAAGAGTTCAGCCAGTTGGTCATACACTTCCTCACATCAAAAAGGCAACTTTAAAGAGACACTAACATATGTTGGGCGCGTGGGGCTGCCTTGCTGTACTCATGCCATTATCTTCCATCCCCCTTTGCTGAACGTCAAAATATGCTAACTATTCCATCTCGATTTCACTAGCATTTTGTTATTTGATGTGGTATTGCACAATAATCAGTTTCTCGATAGATCTGAATTCCAAAATAGAATGAAATTGTACCAAAATTATTTTAATTTATAAATCATATGTTCACACTTAAAAAGGGTGCTTTTTAACATAGTTACTAAACTTCTGAAAATACGTCATGATCAAAAAGCAAGATAAAGGGGGTATTTTAAAAAGACGAATTTATAATCACTAATAGCGAGTAACAAGCAAAACTGTCCTGTCAATGTCCAATGAGTAACTGGCATTGAGTATGCATTGCCATCCGTGTATCCTTCTGAATAAGAAGTCAAGCGTATCGCGACGATCACACCAACGTGTCTGGAAATTTATAACTGCTCGGAGCACCGTTTGATCCCTTGTGGGTTTGTGGGACGTCGCATTGGCGGAGTGAGCCGGGATTAGTGCTAGTGGCTTAGCATTTGTATACTTTGACCACGTGACTCCTCCCAGTGGAATCAACAGGTGTCAGTAGGGGTGATGGCAATAAAACCATAAATTTTATTCCCCAGTGCCTGCTTCATGAGAAGAGAAGAGACAGTGTGTGACACGTGCTAGTCAACTAATAGTGCAAGATAAACCCAAACACAAAAAGAGAATATTGGTTTGCAAAAAGTGTGATGTACAGAAAGGATTATTTTAACTTGTAACAAAGTAAATTCTAGATGCCCTGTCAGGAGGTCACAGTGTCATGAAGGCGTTATATCGCAGGATGAATTTACCCCATAAACAAGTTTAATGTTAGAAAGGCGTCGCTTTGTGGCCTGACGACCAATCATTCCTCCAATCAAGCATTAATTATGCGGCGCTGTTTGCACAAAAAGACGCCTTTAGGCTGGACTGGGCTATTCAGGACAAATTAAGGTTGTGCACACCGCTGAAAGGAGTCTAGCTGGCAGATTAAGGATAATTTGTGGCTGGAGTAAAACGCAAAATAACGATTTAATCGGGTGCACAAAATTGTAATGAAAAACAATTGAAATTATTCAATGATGGGGTAACACCAATTGAACTCAGACTTCAAGCTGGTAAGACGGTTTGGATTTATGCTGGTAAAATTATTTTCGTCACACACCGTACGGACTTCCCTATTTGAAGTGATTAAATCGACCTGAACTATCCACTCTTATGCCATAACTACTCAAACCATCTCTGCTAAAGGCATTGCGCTACAAAGAGACCTCGAAATACCTATTCATGTCTTTTACAAAGCTGCAACGACGAATCCCGAATCCTTTAAGGCTAAGAAAGTGCGATGTAAAACCCGAAATAATTTTTGGCACCAAGCGATGCTAATTTTATTATTAAAAGGCAGTAATTTGTTCGTCACATTTTTCCAAAATTTTTTCGTATGCAATTGTAGGTATACATTTGTAATCATGGTCCCATTGATACGGCAATTTACAGCCAAAATAATCTCTGACGGTGATTGTCAAAAGCCTTGTGAAAATATGAAAGGGAGGGGAGTAAGTCACATAAGCTCCAGCAGCCAGACTGGTCTTTTGTTCCTTTCTTTAAAACTACGGAATGTCTAATTTTATGTTCAGTTCTCAAGGATGCGCTTTTGTGTGTGGATATGTGAAAGAAACCCGTAGGAAGCTTGTTTACGTGCAGGAGGGGATGAGGCTTGGATAACTTCCGGGTGGAGAGAAGTATTTCTGCCTCTTCAATTCTAAGAGGAAAAAAGGTAGTGTTATTGGTCGTCTTCTTTCTTCCAATCACATAAAGTCATCTGAAAGTCAGATTTTTTCACTAAATCTTAGAAAAAGGTGGATCTTTTTTTACATCTTCCCTTTGTAGGAGCTATAATAATTTACAATCACTATCAGATCCACAAATAGAGTTTTATTTTTAAGTGGATTTAGTAACCTTGGGGATAATAAGATGGTAAAAGCTACAATTTGCAACAAGACTATGAAGGTTTCAAAACGGATTATTGTCTGCGGCAATAATTATTTTAAATAATAAAGCATTAGGAAGGTGGGAATCACATCTGTCTGGCTTCACAATGGCAATAGTCAGATCGGACCAAATGACGACTCTCCTTTCACATAGCCACCACTGTAAACGAAGCGAGATCGAGTGAAAATAAGGGGACTATCATCTCCCTCATCCGACTGCAAGTGAAACGGCTTGGCTGGCTCCACGATAAGAGGCTTGGAGGTAGGCAGACGTCTCAGCACACACGCATAAAGTTAAATACCACGGAAAACGTTAGAGTAAACTTACCATTTGGCGGATTCCGCCTGGATGTTTACTGTTCGGCGCTAAATGCTGCGGTGACAGAATTGATTGGAATCGGTTGGTTCTTCAGCCGACCCAGCCTTAGCGACACCGTCCCCTGCGCAGTCTAGGCATTGAAGAAAGATGGGCCATTAAGGATATTTATTTATGTTTTAAAGTTTGCTCATTTTAAGGAAAGTGATCATCAGGAATTTCCCTCACTCTTCGTTAGTTTATTTTATGGCAGTTGCAAAAGCAATTTACTTGGCAGAGCGCACCCGGCCACCATGCTGCTTTGATCCCCTTTAGGAGACGTGGACTTTTAGGGTGTTTTGCTACACTTTTGTGTGAGAAATTGATGTGACGTTTTTGATGCTTTCTACTCTGAGTGTCTGCTTAATCCTCTGTAAATAGATGAAATTAATACAAACCCACATTGTGATTGAAAAGTAGCACTGACTGTAAAATGCCGGTCTTAGGTTAAACTTATTTTTGTATTTTTGAGTTAAAACGTTTTTTTTCATTGCTACAAGACATTACGTGGACTCCCAATGAGCACAAATGGTCGAGCTTTTATTATCCAAAAGTGGCATTTAGTGCAGATCGTTACACTGCCAAGAAATAACTACGTGGTAATTGTCCTGATTAATCACAGGCAGTTGGTGTGAATGGTTTGAATTAATTTATCTTTCAACTAAACACATTTCAGACGTGTTTTAGGGAGCCGTCAAAATAGATGCTAAGCACAGTGATGTCACAAATATACTCTTGACTTTAATGACAAAATAATGACAATGACGAAAATTTATTAAAAGCAATCATACATAATATTCAACGTTCGTTTTATTTTCTCCAATTTGTTCATGCTACATGTTAATTTTTGAGTATATTAAAAATTAAAGCATTTGACGGTTCATCTACCGTCTAATGAAATCTAATTTTAGTCTCCAAATGCCTATCCCCACGCAAACCTAAATGCCAGTGGGCCCACTCAGTCGACGTGTTTAGCAGATTTGATGAAGTTTAGTGAGGTAATTTATTGGTACAATCCCCTAAATGATTCCATTTGATCCCAATTTAGTGATTCAAAGGCCCCTAGAGAATGGACAGGTTTTCAGCGCTAGTGCAAATGAAAAAAGTGGATAAGTGGATGGGGAAATGAAGTGTCGAGATCAGCGCTTACACCTGTCTGGGCGATCAACCGGGCAAATCGCGTCGTAGCAGGGCTAATAGACTGGCGTATAACATGATAAAGCTATTCAAAGTGCCAAATCCATGTACTGAGATACTTGATTTTTAGGATTTAATGATATTTTCTTCTACTACTCAATATAAAACTAGTTCACAAATAAAGGCATCTAGTCTGCGCAACGATGAAGTTGTAGGATACTCTTGTGCAGCAATATTCTAGGTAAAACTGAACTTAGAGAGCTTTTGCAAGTTAATCAACTCTATATAATAATGTAGCAGTTGACATTGACATGGTGGCGCATACATGTGTCCGAAATGTAATACTGCTGACTGTTGGAGGGATCGCGCTTTCAGTTGATGATTTACGAGGCAAAGCATAAGCGGCACTGGTAGAGTCACGAAAGAGGGTTGCGGTAGCCTCTGCGTAAAAGTAGCCTTGCGTACGGTCAACAGAGCAGGCCTAATTAATTTGCACAGCCCGGGGAAATTAATACCAACAGCAGGAGTCTTGTCGTTCGTGTTGATGGACCTTTTGATGTTGGTGGTAGTATCTATGATTATTTTGGGTTTATGAAACAATCATATGTGCTGCTTAAGGTTATAATATTAGCAAAAACAAAATTTCATTTAGTTTTTGCGAAACAAATCTGCTATGACTAAAATTTTGCACAAGAACGCACTTTTAATCGACAGGTAGTGATTTCATAAATAACCATTAATGTTATCAATAGTTGAATGATGTAGTCTTTCATGCCATTTAAATCAGTTAAAATATGGATTATTAAAAGTACACTGCATTAGTGATTAATTAAAATCAAATTAAATATAAATAGGGTCAAAACCATTCCCCGATTTTGTTGAAATTGTCTCCCGAAATCTCTACAGCTAATTCCCACAGCCAAAGTATCATAAACGGGTGAGCTAGAGCAAAATCATTTTTAGTACGACAAAATTTTATAAATTTTAAAAGCAATGTTAAATAAAGCCAGAGTTGCAGCATTGACCAGTGTGAAGTGTCTCAGTAAATTACAAGCATGCGGTCTAACTACGCAAGGTCCGCAGAGGTTCGTTTCGCTTTTGTTTGGGGAAGACAAACCAATTTTATATGGTAAGATTTGTGGGGTTATAGTGTTACAGTGTTTTCTCTACCCTTTCTACTAACTGCGCAGAAACCCTATCAGGACCCCAGGCACTCTTAAGGCCACTTAAATGTGACGTCCCTTCTCCACTCTATTTATGAGAATCGTGGAAACTGTACCACGCATTTTCCTTTTTTGATAGCCACGAGATTAACAATAAAAAGGGCGACAGGAAACTTGCTTACCAGACCAAGGGGCAAACATTCCAGCCAATGGTCATGCCTTGAATATATGATAAATAATTGTCACATTGTATAAGTAGACTGTGATTACTGCTTTTAATCGTATTCCAAAAACTATAACTTACCAACACTTCGCTTTAAGATTGTATTTGGATTTTTGTAACGAGGTAGTGATATTAAGATCCACAATGCAATTTATCAAAATGTGGAAACTGTCGTTCATCAATGGAGCCATAGAATGTTGAGTCCAGTGATAAACAAAAACAGGGTTCGCCTGTTTGTTAATGTGGGGCTTAGTACAAAATGCCGCCTTCCTTCAAAACAGCATCGGCTGGTAGGAAAATCATGTTTAAAGATCAAAGGTGCCAAAGTATGTCCAGTAAATGCGATAAACCTAGTGGTTTTAGGTTATTTCCAAACAACAATTGATAAATGGTGACTACTGTCAATGCAATGTCAGTCGCGAAATTGTTCACAACAATTTATTTAAACGTTATTTATATTGTTAAACCATATTTTTAACTTAGAGCGAAGATTTGGATTTACCCTCTTCTATTCAGCAGTACTCGTCACTGTTTTTAATGACAAGCTGAGCTACAGTGACTAACATATGTACCTAGACATCTTCTTTCAATTTATTTGAAGAATTTGACAAATATCAAAGTCACTAACCACTAGCAACGTAGCAACCTCTTCTTGAGAGCTGTTTTCCACGTCAATGTCATTGATGGCCAGAATTTGGTCTCCAATCATTATTCGTCCATCCATTTGTGCTGCACTACCTTTTATCTAAAACAAAACGGGGTTGTTAAATAAAAGCAGCCAATGCGGACATTACTTTGAAGCTGACTTTACTTTGAGTACTTTAATATGAAGCAGATCTCATTTCGCTAGTGTTGACACGTAAAGTGTGAATGCACTGGGCATTACGAATCAGATTCATCTCTGTTAATGCTCTAAATGTTCAAAATAAAGTTTTACAAGCAGAAGTATCACATTTTTTATTAATTATTACGTGCGTTCTATGTCTTTAAAAGAGTTAACTCTAAATTAAGATGTACTCACTAAGTCGCATACAATTACACCCAGACCCGATCTCTCAGTTCCCACCGCAGGTTGCTGGTTAGCATTCAGAGGTGTCGTTGGCGGGGTGGTAGAGGTGGTGGAAGAGGAAAAGGAGACGCCGTTAGCCGTAACAAGTGTGGGTCCGGAGCGCTCTACAATGCAAAGGCCGAGGCCACGACCGGGCTTTTTGAGGAGAACTGCAGTAACCTCCTGGTCGTACCACTTTGTCTGCACTCCCGCGCCTGGTCTCTCTACTACTAGAGTGATGAAGCCACTGTCGTTGGCGCAGTGGCTGGGGGAGGTGGCCGCCACTACACTGGAGAGGTTCAGTTCGCTCTGTAGTGGTGTTTGACCCGAGAAGGCCGCAACGATTGTCGACACTGCCACTGCATAGGGCAGGTTGGAGAGTGACTCGTTGTTTACCGCCAGTAGTCGATCGCCCGGTTTCAGTCGTCCGTCTAATGCAACGGCTCCCTCAGAGAAGATTTCGTGTACTTGAAGGACGCCCTATCATCGGGAAGGAACATAAAATATTTTAGTGCCTTGAGTATTAATAGCCATTTTTGTACATAATATTAACCACTACTTCCCCATCTCTCCCATCATTCTAGGTGACAGACTGTTTGTATTAATATGATAGTCATGGATCTGGGAGAATTTAAAGATATTAACAGTTCTAGTTCGCCCTTCTTCTTCTTCCATTTAACGGGGTACATACTTTAACCCACATTAATTAGCGTCTTAATTTGCTTTCGGTTTGGCCAAGTGAACACAGAATTAACTCCGACCGTAAGCTGATTATAATGTATTAAAATTGGCCATAACCATTACTGCTAAAGTGTCAATTCAAATGGCAGTATCTAGAAGGAACTTTAAGTGAATTGGACGCAAAAGGACATGGCGCCCCAAAAGTCGGTCTAGTGAGATAAGTCATTAATCAGAGCCGCCTACATAAACTTTTGTTAAACGAAAAAAATGTGTGTGTAGTAACTAGTGAGGAAATAAGTAATTGCGGAGGGCATTGGTTGGCATTTCACTTATTTCTGTTTTAACTCTCGTTTCAGTTTAATTTATTGTCTTCTTATAAGACATTGATAAATCATGTGAAAGAACAGAACCATCTTGATCTACCTTCACCTCGAGTTACGGCTGAGATAATAAAACGCAAATATTTTCATGTATGACATTTTTTGCGTCCAAATAGGTGGAACTGATCTCGCCCATCTGGGCATTCCGTAATCAACACACATTTTAGGATTAAAATTTGATAGGGATGGCGTGTAGATATGGTGAAATCTTGTTAAAACCTATGAAGGGCTGTTGGCAGTAAAAGTCATTCGGTTGTTTTGATTTTTTTGAGCTGACATTTAAGTTAACAATAAAAGTAACATTCGAATTCTCTAAATCTTCACTTCGAGTGGAAGAAGGTGAGAATCATGAACCCAAATCTTTATATTAGTGCCCATGGGGTTCCTAAATATTTACTTCACGCTAAGTGATCTATGCATAACCAGGGAAAAGGAATGTGATCTTACGAGAGAGGTTTCACTACCACCGATAAGGGAGATACCAAGACTAAGGGAAGGATTTTTGGGGATGCAAATGAGGGTCTTTTGGCCTGGCAAGATGGGCCGTGTGGTCGCCGACTCGGCCTCATCGCGACCGCCACCGTTCCTGCGGTTATGGGGGCTACGGTAGGCTGCAGCGAACCGCTCAAGCACCGTATCGTAGCGCCCTCGTAGTGCCGCCTCGCTGGTTCTACTGCTACCTCCGCTGCCCTCGTCACAAGCACTGACGACTCCAAGGGGCAGAACAGGAATGGGCGGACCAGCAAGTTGGGTGAGACTGGACATTGGCACCACTCCGAGGAAATTTTTGGCTGCCAGACGCTTTGCGAAACCGGGGATGACCGCATCCGGACAGGAGGCGCGGCGCGCCTCACTCGAGACTCCGATGTTTGGTGAGAGAAGGTCAAAAGTCTCCGAAACCGTTGGCTGGCGTAATCCTATTGTCAAATTAAGTATAGCATGCGGAATCGGTGGACGACACGTCCCAACCCCACAACTAAGGGAACTCCTTTTGCATCATAAATTTGATCTCAAATAGCTACCCTTCCTAAGGGAAGGTATGGCAAGTTTTTATTTGACAAAAGCCTGCCTAACTTTTTTATTTTACTAAAAACAAAAAAAGCTATGTATCAAATCAGGCTTGACATTCAAAAACAAGTAATTCCGGTGATTGTTTTTGAAATAGTTAGTACCTTTTAAATCCCGAATTTACATTTGTATTGTTAAAGTTTGGAAATGAAGGTATCAAGTCTAAATGCATATTTAAATGTGATTCTGCGCTAAAAGCTGCTGTGAAAGCATTGACGCGTCTGTCATCTTTCCGAGTGTTGTACTGAAATCATTTGGCCTCATTTGTACCACTACACTAACTTGACTCATGCACAACTGCCTCTTTCAGTGCATTGTTATAATTTGTAATAACAATAATCATTAAATATGCTACAAGGCTTAGTGCTCCAATAATTACCAAAGGAATAGAGGATTGCTTATTTCCTCAAAATTATCCAATCATAGTGATAAACTTACATGAAATTAACTTTAATGCATGAGACAAACTCATACATTCCATAAACAATGAAACAAAAGACTGATTTATAGAAAGCATCTTGGTTTGAAGGATTGCCGGACCCTTTACCGATATGATACAATTTGAACGGGAGTAAGTAATCGCCGGAATAAACAAGGTATAAGCAAAATGGCTCCGCTAACCCTTCAACTGGGCTAGATTCCACTGCAGATCAACGTACAACCCGTAAATTGCCCTACCACTTTGCGAAATAAATATTTATCCTGGAATTTTATCAGCATACAAAATGGGTGGTCTAAAATGCCTGAGGAAGATACTCGGGTTTCACTTTCTTGCCAATCGCAATAGAAGAGTAAAGAGAAGCTTCAATACACATTTTTCAAGAATTTCAGTTTATCGAGGCACGGAGGCACGTACCCTTGTGCTTGGACTCGCTGAGGCCCATTCCCCCCTTGGATGAGGCGATAGTATCCGCCATAGAGGCGAATTGAAGGGAGGATTTTTTTGAAGAGGCTGACGAAGCGGAGGAGTGCATGAAGGCGTGAATGAGGGAGGAGATGAGAGGTGCAGAGAGGCGTTTTCGAAAGCCCATTTTATATGGCTCCTCTTCCTCCAAAGGCCGATTCTCTCCCGTAAAAAGACGGACTCGTGACACCACTATCCGAACCTGCATGAGCAAATGTTAAGAGCTGAGATGGCAGTTATTGTTTCTTTCCAATCATCTTTTGCGCTGAGAGAGAGGTAAGGACTTAAAAATTTATCCCATTTCAATTCCTCAGGCTTCGAAATTGCAGAAAAATTTAAGGCAAAATATATCTGCCGAGACCAAGGTGGCGATTTTACTAATTTTCGTGAAAATTTAATAAAACTTTGCATTGAGATAAGTTAGAAGATAAATGCTATTTTGTATTTAGGCTGAAGGTGTTCTCTTAATGAAGAGCATAATGCATGGAACAGAGTTTTCCAGTTTATCCTTAACTTGATGCATTTTTAAAAATCATCGAGCAGAGAAATATAACGTAGCAATTACATTAATACGAAATGTCATCGTCGAGTCTTGTTTCATTTTGCCAGACACAGAGCAAAACTTTTTACGCTCTTTCCTTTCGATTTCAGGAATTTTCTAAAAGAAACGTCATTGCTCTTTGGATAAAATGCAGAAATTCTCATGAAATAAAGTATGGGACGTGATTTAAGTACCTGATGTTACTCTATGTAGGATGGCATGATTTTTTCTGAGGGTTAACATTCCCAAACTTGGATTACCCTTGCACGAGCAATCGGACAAACGATAGTTCTTGCAGTACCTTACTTTCACAAGGGCAGTGGAGCAAAGTGGTTTAGTGAAATTATCACACGCTAACTCGTCAAGTAGATAAGCCAAGTGAGATAGCTAAAAACGCAAGGAGTCAAATGACTCAAACGCCGATCTTACGCAAGGTTTACAAGCCATTTCTGGATATCCAAAAATACGACTTACGCTCTTTTTGCAAGAGAATATAGTATAGACAAACACACAACTGTTCTTTCAAATTTTACTGCCCATCTGGCGCCGAATTTTACAGTAATGGCATCGACGAACAGATTAATTAGCTTTACAAAATTAGGTATGCGTTCATTTGGAACTTGAAATTTCCCAAAATTGTCTTCCTTTATAGAGGTGGGGTAGTATCTTGATGAGAGACAGAACTTCGGACGGATTTATTCGGGTGTGTTGTATCAATGCGGCAACAGATTCCCTGCTGAATAGCATTTCGGGATGGATGATGTTAAGATCGGGTTGGTGTGAGCGACCCACCTGATGCCGAGCGGATCTCAGCCATTCCAGGACGGAGTCGTAGCTTGCATGTAAGGCGTCATGCCAGTCCACACGGAGGATCCGATCGCCAGCCCTCAGTGTTCCATCCTGCAAACAAATTTGCACAAAATTGTGCAATAACCACGTTTTTATAAGTTTCTACTTAGACTGCTGTTTAAAATACTCTTACAAATTTGCTTGAAGTGTGTTTGTGAGCACATCATCCAAGTTTTTTACCCTTGTAGATGGGGTCCAATCTAAGACAATTATTGAAAGACATCTTTGGTTATAATGCAAACGCCATCGCGTCAAATGTTGACGATTTGATAAATGCTACTATTCCAACTCATTTTTCACATCAGTCGTTCAGATGACTCAAAGCTGTGGTTTTCGCGAAAAAACGAAACTTGTTTGAGAAACGTAATGCCATTAGTAAATTTGCCTTCCTCATGTGACCTCTCATAATTAGGACAATCTCAATATCTAAGAGGAATTTATTCATTCTTTCGAATAAAACCAACAACGCAAATGAGGTTGGGAATATAAAAGTGTGCCGGAAAAGCATTAAAAGGTACAATTATGGCAAGGTAATGGAGAAAATTCAAATTCATTCCCACATAAGGACAGACTCATGGCAATAAATCTATAGTTGGGAAGTGAATGAATTAAGAGGTACTGCTGATGCTGCAGGCACTAGTAAATTATTCATATTACAACGAAGGTAAGCTACCCATGCTTAGCTTTATTCGACTTCTTTCTCTTATTTTTACTACAGAGACGAAATAAAGTTAGGATAGCTGCTAAAATGAAGTCTGACCAAACTCTTGCGGAGATTCCTTTAATAGGGAGTCGTAAAGTGGCGAGTTTTTCATAATCACTTAAATCATACGAGGACGTAGAAGTTATTCAAAATAACTCATCTTACGGGATTTCTAACTCGTTTTGCATGTCAAAAGAATAATACATGGGAATGTGCCATATGCATTATGGAAACAAGCAGTGCTTATGCTGATAAAAAAATTGACACTGATATGAATAAAAAGCAACAGGCTGTCGGAATTGTAAACCAAAATGAGAATGTTCATTACCCGAACATACTAAAACATATTGAATTCATTTGACTCCTAATCTATTCAGCACTTTGATCAGACAGGTCCACATTTGGTTCAGTAAATTACGTGGCAATCTCCACTACTGCGTTTCATAAAAATGATATGATTATGATACGGGAATGACCGTAACATCTTCATCAAATGTTAATTTGTCTTTTTTAAATGAAAACAGGTGACGCCTTCTGAACATCAGTGCTTGATTAAAACTACTTTTATTATGGAGTGGATAGCACTAAAATCTAAATGCATATTAAGCTGCAGACACTTATAATCGGAAATGGTAGTCACGCAACAGTAAATCCTCGGTATAGAGAAAATTTCTCAAACATCAACATTTTGGTGACTCGAAAGTTCTACATTTATTGTGCATAAACTGGAGGATTGATGAATTGCCAAAATCTCAACATTTATGTTGTTGGTTTTAACACATGTCTTCACTAAACATAAATTTGATTAGAAATGATCAAAATTAAGGCGAAATATTTTTCGTCGTGTATGCCTACATGCCCGCACATAATTATACTCTCTGTCTGGTCGAAAAAATTGACTCCTCTGCATGGCAGTGAATGCGACCTTTTGGTCGTATCCGAACAAGTGTTTGGATCCTTTCAAGACGTTTATTTTTGCCAATCTGGCAGCAACTTTTACATTTGCTTTCGGTTGTATTGGTGTTCAAGCAATTATTAAAGATGTATGTTTAACTGCATGCACATGTAAGGGCATCAAAATGCAATCCACTCTTACCAATGCGGCAGGGCTATTTTCAACCAACTGTTTGATGTATATCCCCGGTTCGTTGGTGAAGCTTTTGTCCATTATAGCGAATCCAAAGCCGTTACGACCCTAAAGGTCACGAACCGATTATGTATGAAGTTGCAAAAATTGTTGGTTAATAGTGTGGTGAAAGTTTTTACCCCAGCAAATGTTTCGTTTAAAAGTACAGAAACGGGAATTCAGCTTCAAAACGAAAAACACTCATTGCTAATCCTTATCCGTTTGTGCACTTATTTTTTGTGGAGATTAAATAACACTAAGGAGGCGTCATGCGGCACCTCAGAAGGAGCACTTACTCGTAGTAGGCGAGTGGCGTGAACTTCCTCAAACGTTGAGCGACCTATGGGGCTACCCTGAGCCTGCAGGGCACTCCGCAGAGGCAAATCTATCCCAGATGCTGTGTCAACACTGCCTCGACGACTAACCTTTTGGGAGTTCTAAAAATTCAATTGTTTATGAGTGCAGCATTTCACATAGAGCTAACTTGAGCAGGTCGTTTTTTCGTCTATACTTAAAAAAATGTAAACAAATTATTGTTATTACAAACAAGAAGTTATATGTCCATTATGCCGCAATGTATTTTTCAAGAGAATAATTTTGTCCATCATGATAGAATCCTGCCCAAAGAGGATACTACGTTAGCTTTTAAAATACGATACTGTTCACCTCAAATAAGGGAACCGTGCCACCGTTACAGTCTCAAACTGGGTTAGCTTCCTATTTGGCTCATTTGTCTGCCCACCTTCTTTCCTCTCTCTCACAAGCACGCGGTTCCGCACTTAGAAAATGCCATCTTCCTTCCTCCTCACGCAGCTTTCGTCCACTGGGGTCATAATGCTTCTCGAATAAGCTGTAATACAACTTTCTTTTGCCTCTTGCTTTGGGGTCAAGTAGACGCGTTAGCCTCCTACAACCCCAAGCCGGAGTTATGCTGATGCTACTGCTGGTTTTGTGTGAGGCTTTTGCTAGCCTCTCCTTGGTATGGAACGCCTTCAAATTCCACGCGATGCATGTGATGCACTTAGTCATAAAGGTTGTGGTTTCCATTGCGATCAGCATTCAACCTTTTATAGGGCACAATTACTATAAACACTGGCATTTTTCAACAGCCCCCTATTCTACTATAGACAATTTATTAGTGGATAATGCTAATGCCAACATTAAATGGTGTTTTAAATGAGAAGATACTAAATGGAATGCCCTAGGGAATTGTGCTATCATGTTCCGCCCACAGCACTATTTTGCTGTTTATATTAAATGCAATCATGAGTAATCTGAATCTGCATACGAACTATGATGGGACTTAAAGGCAAAACCTTAAAGATCAGACGAAGCATCAGACCACGCTGCAAATAACACGTTCAAGTCAGGTATACTTTTCACCTTAATTCGCGTTTGTTTCTGTGCAATCCAAAACGTAAAAATAACAGTCCATGAACCAGTAAAGGAGTCATTCACTCCATTAAAACTTAAACTGCAGTTAATTCTACCTCGAGACTAATAGAACTGTTAGAAAGGATGCAAATTTTACTGACCTTTAAACGGCAAAGCTGCCCTAAACACATCCCCAGCGATGTAATCATGTTACAAGCACTAGATGATGCAACGTTAAGTCAATGACGAGCGATGGTTGCAAGGCTGATTTTGAATAACGTTTGGTGTGGCATCAGTAGGGTTCTGAGCATACAGTAGTGGTAGAGACCTTAAGAACAACTGCAGACTTACTGTGACATAGGAAAGTGGCGCAACGGCCATGTTGGTGAGGTTTTCAGGATTCCGGCAGATCACGAAGCATAGAGAGGAGGGAGCTTTGGAACGTTTACTGGAGGATCTGTGCAGGACGCTAAGAAGACAAGAGCGGATCAAGGGACCGGCATTCAGATGGCTTCGTCCATAGAGGACATGTTCGTTGAGCTTAAATTTGCGAAAAAGAGATGAGAGTTAGTCAAATGACCAATGCCTGATGACTGGAATCGCCGCTGTGAATGGGTGAATGATATGATGGAAAGGAGCCAAAACTACATGAGGCAATTAAAAGGATACTGTATTATTATCGGCAATAAAAGAGAGCATCGAGGTTGTTACCTAGCCGAGTTCTGTTGTTCTGAGTACCATTTAGCAACGTGTCCCTTTCCTTACTCTACATTATGAATTTCGCCTTCGTTTTATATCCACCACAACCCACCAATCTAGTATTTTCAACTTTTCTACCGATAAAAAACAGGCAGATGATCTGAAATCATCTTTTGTCATACATCGCTTAAGGGTAATAACCGTCCTTCCCTTTTCAATTTTGCATAATCTTTTGCCTTACTGTTGCATTATATACGGCTTCTAATTAAGGCGGTAATATGTTCATGAGTGTCTACCTCAAGTAGCTGGTCTCCAATCGCAATGCGTCCATCCACCTCTGCGATACTTCCAGGTCGGAGGCCACAGACTAAAACAGCCATTTGATTAAGGTCCTTGTTTCCACATAGAGATATGCCGAGGGTCTTGAGGACGCGCCGATTGGTATGATTGGAGGGTTTCTGAAACGAAGTGACGGGGATTGTGGGTGAACTTAGTGGGGTTGTCGGCTGCTGGTGAGCTACTGGGTTGCGGTAATTGGAGGTGAGAATCTCTTGGATCTCCTTTACGGTAATTTCCACTATAATTATCTCACCGGTCAGTTCACCGTACTTCCTCTGAAGATTATCTGAAATGCAAAGTAAAATTAGATCAGATCCTCAATGCTATAAAATATTTCAATGAAGGCTCACTAGGTTCGACTGGGTACTTGTGCCTGTCCCATGATTGTTTCCTAGTCCAAAAAATAGCTCATAATCCTTCTTAATTCAGTAGCGTACCCATTAGATCCCTTTACCTGAATCCTAGTTTATTAAACGCCAATGCTCATGTCAAATCACATGATAAACTTGAATTTATATCACACAATTTGCTAAAAGAACACCTTGTAATGCGAACACTTATCCCATGAAGCTTACGCACCGATTAAATTGCTCTTAAATAGAATCTACTTGACCATTGCATTATGAAAATTTGTGCCGAAAATCAAATCAAACCCTTCAATTCTGTTTTACGCTTGTTTAAATACCCCTCAAATTATGCTTTAAGTATAGCTCAGGTGAATTGCTTCACAAAGACGAAACTAGTGGGGAGCACTTAACCAGGATTTCCTCCTATACTTGTCCATTAACCAGCCAAAAACATCGGCCACAGCATGATAAATAGCGCATGAACTTTTCTTATTTTTTCTCAAAGTATCACAATGAATTACCTTGAAAATACAAATAACTTTAATAGTTGTAGACCAAGTAGCATTCGTCGTGCCTCCAGTTATTGAAAGAAAAGTTCGCATCAAATCATTAGAAAAAAGTTTCGGTGGTAGAAGACTTTGGCTATTTGAATAAGTTTCAACATTTGAAAGGGAGTAGGGAAAGGGATGGGTTATTCTGACAAAAACTAAACATGAAACGCATGCAAACACACTTTATCGCTATATAAACATTTCCTTAGTTCATGGGTTCAGAAGATAACGCAACCAAGATCTCAGATTTTCCAAGCGTGACAGTTTTGGCGACGCCAGCGGTTGGAGGAGAACACTCAGAGCCGCTTAATAAATTAAATCCTTTCCTTTTATAGTTTACTCTATTGGATTGGATAAAAACCCAAATGTTTTTGGAATTCTGGCACAATTGGGCTTATTTCTTGTTAAACTCAACCGTACTTTGGCTTGTAACGGAAACATCCATAAGACCAGTTATAAGTTAGCTGAAGAAGGGGCCTATTTGGAAACATCACAGATTACAGCAATGGGATTTGAAATTGGTGGAGTACGAATTGGGGCCTCATTACAAATTGGAGCCGCCTGCCCTTCATGATTGCCATGTCCCACCTTTCTGTCATATTCACAAAGATTAATTATCATCTTGTTGAATCTCGTAAAGTGCAAGATTTACGTAGATGTAGAAGTTAATTTGTAGCTATTCACTTTTGGATCGGAAGTTTACAATGCCATAGTTTTAAGAAATCGAACTGAACTATGAAATAAACTGTGAAGCAAACATCGTTTGTCCCAAAACTCCTGTCTCTATAATCTAAAAACTATAAATAATGTGATGAGTTGGCTAATGAAATTGCACGTGCTTTTTAAGGCGAAATATTTCGCCTTAAAGGCTTTCGGTGTTAACGGCAAGCTTGTCTGGGGCATGCAAATGCACACACCGCCCCGTTCTGGCGAAAACACGATGACCTGGAGGGCAGTTGGGATGTCGGACAAGCCTGCTCCGCCCGAGTGCAAAGTGCTACTGCATTTCAACCGCGGTATATTTTACAGCCTCAATAAACTAGCATCCACTTTATAACTGATGAGAACAGGGAAAATGTTAGCCATAAATGAGGAAAAGAGCTATAAGTTAGGCGATTTCCCCACTTTGATCACTCATCACGAAACCACGGAAATGTAAACTGCAAATAACAACAGGAGCCAGGTGGGTGACCTCAAAATAATTGTCAGTATCCTCTCATGCTAAAATTAGATGTTGCATAGAGAGCAGCTATGAACCGCTTATATAATATATCAGTAAGATTGATTGCGGTGTGGCAAAGTGCTGGTAAGAAATTATTTGGCAGAATTGAACAATGGTTCAGCAAATAGCATTAAACGGCTTAAGTAGTTCTGTGTGTCTCCTTTTCTTAAAGGCACACATAATTTCTAAAATAGTCGAATTTTAAGATTGCCATTTTACCCTTGAAAAACTGTAATAGAGGTAGTGAGGAAAGCAGGAAATTGAATAAATTTCGCAGGTAAGGCCGACCACCTACGCCTTGACTCTTGCTGCGTTTCACTTTCGTCATCTATGTCGCATTCGCGATAAAGGGACGAATAATGGTAGTCAAGAGCTAACGTAAACAAAATGGGAAGTTTTCACATCATCACTGCTAAACAATAAGGAGTAGAAGAATCTTGATGTCGAACAAACCCTACCTCAAAATTACGGCCTTTAGAGCAAAGGTCGCCATGGCTTAAAATACGACATATGTATTAAAGTACAAGTGCACGCCAAATAAAAGGGAGCACTTGCACTTTTTTACTTTATATGTTTTGATGGCTTCAAACCACGCCCTCAACTAGCAAAGTGGCAGTATCGCCGTAGGTTCTGAATGCAATAACAATTCACATATTAACAATCAAAAATATGCACGAAATATTGAAAATGAGCAGACAATTTGGGGCCAGTAATTTAACGGTGTGAGTTACTCTAGCAACAACCGATTGAAGGTAAGTACTTTTATTTTGCACATTTTGGGCTGCTGCTAATTACCTACTTCCTGGGAAGGATTTCCATGTGTCACAAATCGACTTTTTTCGTACGCCATCAAATTTAGTTGCAAAATGACTCTTTTACTCCATCAAGGACTAAAAAATTTGTAACCATTTTGCTCGATAAGGAAATAGCTCGGCTGCGTGTTCCCGAGTTTGGTGAGCAAGAATAGTGTTATTGGCAAAAAAGTTGAGTTTGTTTGTTCTCAAGCTGCGATCATAATCATGGTCAAAAGCTTCATTGTGTCTGTTTATTGCGAAAAAGCAGGAGTTGTTGTGGTGTTTACTAGACCATTCACCAATAACACGTTTTCTTATTCTAAGACTCACCACAATTACATAGGTTCACTTGTCATATCTCAACCAATCTGATAAGTTACTAATAGCCGAGTGGTATCTCGAGTGCCTCCCCGACTTTTCTGGAAATCTAGTTTGCATAAAATAAGTAGGTCTACCCTAGGTCTTTCGATAATCCCGTGGAAGGTTTTCAAACCGGATTATCAAGAGTTCTTACTGTTTGAATTGATGTGGAACGATTTCTGATGGATATTGAGCTTTGCACTTGTTGGTCAGCTTTTTCTTCCTGGAGCTTGGAATTTCAGTAAATTATAATAATGTGCTCTTCTATCGACTAATTATGGTCAGGACAAAGGCACTCCTATCATTTTCTGTAATTAAAGTCTTCGACCTTTAATAGGTTAATTGTCAGAAGTAATATGCTGACTTGCCTCAAAACCCCTTTTTTGTCATACCCTTCACTTTGTTATAGTCTACTTTATCTTGATCCGCGTCTATCAAATGACAATAAGTTTCTCCACTACCATAAACATTAGTCGACAGAAAGAAATAGAAATTATAGGGAAGGTGTGTGTACCCATGAGGTCTCCTTTAGCTGCCATCCGACCTATAAAAGTAAACGCCTAGAGGGAGAAGTCCCTTTCATTGAGACCTCAGCAATTTAGGTGACAGGCGATTTGCTGCGCAGATGAAGGACTATTCTTGTAACTCACACCAAAAGGAGGCCTGACATTCAAGTGGCACAAAATGGAGGTAGCTGAATTTGAGCCAGCAGAATGAGCACCCTCTTTTCTGCATGCGCAATAGAAACTCTAATAGTTAACATCGGATGTTAACCTTAGCTACTTTAAAAGGTTGAATAATATGGTAAATGTAATTAGTGTTCCAACTAGCGATGGTTTACCCCTATGCTTATTCCTAATTGGTTAGTCCCGAAGGCAGCTGTGTTTGAGGGAAGGAGAAACTCCACAAAAATTGATATCAACAATGAGGTCAGATGTTTTGCACTTACATTTTATTACCAGTAAGGCCACAAACTAATTAGTTTATAAAAATACGGCGACTTTTCCTGTTTTTGGTGCGGCAAATTTTAATCTTGGTTACCAAAAGGGAGAGCACGTTACTAGAGGGTTTTGTGAATTTATTACCTAAAAGACGCAGAAGTGATTCCCAGAGAGGCATTTTAATTGCAACCTAGAAGTCTGTGCGTGCGTTCGAAAACTAATAATTTGTTAGACTTCTCAGCATAATGCAATATTTAACTTGATGTATTTAAAATTTGGTTGCATGAACAATGATCTGCAAATAAATAGGACTTTACATTCAGAGTGCAAAAGGGCTCGACTATAAGCCTCATAGAAAGACCAAACATTTGTATTTCTCCACAAGTAGGCTGTGCAGTCAACCCACAGTGCATATTGACCTACTTACATCGTCTGTCTTGATCGCAACTTAATTAACCAATTTGAAATAAGGCAATGCAAATCATCGTAATCTAAAAAAGACTGACCACCTGAACGTTAGCCTTTAAGATACCGGTTAAGCATGTCATTACGGAGTCTCAGATGATATCCAATAAAATTGGTCCTTCGTGCTCTCTTAAAAGTCGCATTTTTTAAGTACTGTAAAAAAGGTGGACATAATCTGCAGTAAAATCGCAAGACCTGCAGGTTGTTTCAAGAAAAACATGCTTCAGATGGAAGAATAGCCTCTAAATTATGCAAACTGTTGAGTGTTTGTGGAATTTTTATCAAGACAAGGCAATGAAACACTATTTTGAGCAAATCTGAATTTTGGCAATTTCAGTGATTAACAAGTAATTTGATTTTCACTAGCACGCGAATCATGATAAGCGCAGAATCCAATCATCTTAATACCCCTCTTCGGCGTGAACCAAAGTGAAATTGCATAACAATGGCGTGGTTTTGTAAAGCTAGACGGTTTCCTCGAAAATATGAAGGACTTCTTACTACAAGCATTAATGGGTGGCCTTACCAAATTCAGCATCGGTTACGGGGACGTAACAATAGGCACCCTCAGGATTAGAGGCGAGGACAGTTCGATCTTTGGGAGGGTGAATGGATTTTACGATCTTTTGTCCATTTTCCCTGGTAGACTGCAAACATTCTATAATGGGATTGGTGCACATTTTGTCTGTCAACACATGGCCAAGGATATATGATTCCGGTGATTGTACAAATACTGGCTTACGGAACTCCAAATTTGATAGTGAAACGTTACTAGATGTCATTTCTCTCATGCACCTGGTTGCATGTTCATTGAAGGGAACACACCGATGCGAAACAGAGTCGGTAGATTGTGTACGGCGCCGACTTGGGGTCTTGCGTTCATGAGATTCACGGCTTGACGAATGGGTGGATAGATGGATGGACGGATAGATAAATAGGTAGGCAGATAGGTGATATTGATATGAAAGGTGAGATGGGTGGAGGCAATAGGGCCACGAACACGTCAGGTGTGCACGTAAGCACATGCACACACACCTGCCCACGCGCCCGAAAAGTTGTTTCCTGATTGGCTATCACAACAACCAATCCATGGGGCGCTTTGGCGTCATTGATCTAGGTCGAATGCCAGGCCGACCATCTGCGGCGTGAAGGCTTGACGCCGGGCTTAGGGAGACAGCATCATGAAACTGTGGTTGAAGGATTGCAGCGAGACGACAAAGGCATGCTAGAGAAGAGTAGACCCGCAATCCATCACCAAACTGCAACTCGCTTTAACGCCAATTGGCAATCCTGTGGGCGGCAGATATGATGCACATTTTCAAGTGGCTTGATGCGTACAATCGCCTTCCCAGAGTTTCATTTATTTCATCGACTTTACTTCGTCATTGCTTTTTGCCATTCTTTTCAGTTTATTTCATTATTCATACTATGTAGCTCATACATTTATTAAAACAAGTCATAGGATATGGGTGTAGGTGTCAGATAACATGGGATAATGGGCGCTCATCGCTGACAATTTATAATCCTGTAACAGTAAAGTATTTTTCACTTACATGTAAGCTGTGCTTTACTTGAAAAATATCAAAGTGAGTAGTACTAGTTTCACAAGGCCCATCCGCCTAATTATTGCAGAGAGCGTTTTATTTCATCGAGTTCATTAAAATCTATAATCTTGTATAGATGAATTAGATGTCCCTCTTGATAAGATCTGTTGCTTTTCCCATATACTAGTTAGAGGGATCATTACTTTGGCTCATGGGCGTCAGAACCTAGCCAAAATCAGCAATGCTGATGGTTAAAAAACACAGCCTGCTGCGCAATTTATATGCATGCCTCCAGCCACAGGCTGGTGCGCCTTCATCCTCGTCCATTGCATCGCACCGGGCTCGATTGCACAATCGGCCAGGAGCCCTAGAGGAAAGCCAAACAACTCTCCTCCACTACACGTGACGTGAAAATTATGCCTTTGGAAAAGCGGAAATACTAGTTTCGCAGACATACAAAGGCACTAAGCTTGGAATCATGCCTAATGCTTGCTTCCATCATAATGACTCCCAGCATTGGCTATTATGGACCACAATCGACTTCTCGCTATTATTATGGTCAACGGTTGTCCGATTCATGAATTTTTTCCATTCGCCGTAGAGTAGGTTTAAATTTCAAGGTGTGGCACCGAAGGATAAGTCGTTTTTGTTTCTTTATTTAGAAGTTCGGAAAGTGGACCTTTTTAATTCTAGAAGGTTGATGCAAGTTTAAAATGTTAAGAAAAATGATGAAGAATGGTAAAACTGGTGAGATATCATAAACACTCTCTTGGAGTGCTGTTGCTGCTAAAGTAAACCTGCCAATTTTTTATTTTAGTTCCTAAATGTTTGACCTCATTGAGCGACTAGAAAAGGGAGAGAAAAAGTATTTTTGCTGATTTTTCTACATAATGTTTCCTGAAGTTCATTAAAGACGAAAGCCAACTTGCCCTTAATAGATAAAATATCAGACTGAGGGTAGGGGAACTAAGATCAGGGCCTGACTGACTACTTAAGGGAAGTGCGTAGACAAGTTGCAACTGTGAGGTCTAGGTCGCTTTCTCTTGCCATTTGGATAAAGGAGCGAAGAGCTTACTTACTGTATCGCTAAAAAATTTTGGTAAACCATAGCTTGGGTGGATAAATATATCTGGGATTGATCGACTACCGCTTATGAAAAAACTGGGACCAACACAATTGAACACGGCAAAAGTACCTTTAACAACGCACTCTGGTGGTAATATCTGCAAAAAATTGCCCATTTTAAGGGTTACATGATAGAATCAAAAACTAAATACCGGCATTCTGGGTAATGTAGATACTTAAACTCAACTTACTCATTCAGTTAAGTCATTTTCTTCGAAATAATATTCAACGAAAAATGAAAAATATTTCCCAGAGTAATTACGAAGCGGTTTTGCCGCAATTCTGAGGCCTGTTTACCTTACAACCTGTAAATTAGCATTCTGCTTAATTAAGATGGTACATGGACAGCGATAGACTTTTTCGTCTCCAGACCGTTTGCCGTAGATCGTGATATACTTAATCACAACCGCATTCCGTCCTCTCCAGTGAGCTTAGGTAATGAGGCTATTGTCTGACCAACTTTGCACATCTGCATTGACTCAAAGTCCCCTCAAACTTTGTTTCGGTTTCCGCAGTCTGATTGATACTTCTCGCGTTAAAAGTGGAATGAAAACTACTTTAAAACATGTTAGAAGTGAATTTAACGCTGGGTAGTGAATGCAAGGGGTTATGCTAATTGTATCGACATAAAAGGACTTGTCTGGTATGACTTATATTAAAATCAGCGGCTATCCATCAGCAGTGATGGCCATAAATATTTTTTATTAAGTTCGGGACAGTTTTGTTAATTACTGTGCATTTTTAAAGCAAGGTTGTACAAACCAACCTTTGATGTAGGCGATATTCACTTTAACAGCTCTGCTAGAATGTATTAAAGGTTGTTTTAAAACTTAAAATAGTTATTCAAAGTTTTATACATGAATAATTTGAGTTGAGGACAAATTTGTAAGGATTTTCAACCTACTATAGCAAGACGGATCCAAAAAGCCAAGATTGGCATTTGCTTTGGGTACGGGCGCAGATTTACCAAGTTTAGAGAGGTCAGAGCCGGGCACCTGCATGAATCCACCCTTGGAAAGATCCCGGATACACCTGAGCATCTTCTTTTCTGTTAAAATGATTTAGTTATCAGTGAATAATTCTCTGTTACTTGCCACAACCGTCTGAACAAACATACCAGCAATATTCTGACCGGAGACTTTCTCATTTATGGGTACTTGTTCTTTGCTTTTGAATTGCTTAACGCCTTCATGGCTCGTCTTCACTGTAGACGCATATTTACTCAGCGTCTTTTTCTACAAGTAATTACAAATTGAATTCAGACTTCTTTTATAAGCTTGACATATTTCTGTGCTTTTGCAGTCAGCGAGCACGCGGAGACTTAGATCTGCTTCCTAAGAACAAACCTCGAATAAGCGTATGAAGTGTACGAAAGTGTACGAAATGGTGCGTAAAGTTAATAAATCCCCTTGGAAGGCTTATACGGAACCTACGCTGTTAGGTTTTTCTAGACCGATCATGCCTATTACGCAGCATATGAAGTAACCCGATTGTTTGAAAGTTGCTATGCTATAAAAGGGCCTCGTGATGCTGCTAAAACAATGCGATTTACTCTAAACCGGGAAGACGATACTCTACTTTTCTTCCTTCATGAAAAGCCCACTTAGGCAGTGTCTATGTCTGCCTTACCCTGGGGTTCATTTTCATTTTCTCATCCAGAAGTAAAGTCTGCCGGGAATTGAGAAAAGGATAATTTTTAGCTATCACTTACTGGATTCAGACAATGCATTTAGTTTATCAAAGTTTTGAAATTTTTAACCTATTTAGTTATGCAGTTAACCACCCCTTGCGGCGTTTCCTTTTGATCCAATTAAAATGCATAGAGAATGAAGGATTTTACCCGTCTAATCCTTTACTTATTTTGTTTCCGCTCAGATAGCTTAAAATCTTGCATCGATGTCTCAGTGATAACTTTGACTTTATCCGTCTAAACAATAGCGTAACAGTAGCCACACAACAATTAATTGTCTACCAAATACTTAAACATTGTTGAATAAGTTAGCATCTTACATCTCGTTGAGGTGCAGGTGGCACGATTTGATGAGTCTTGTGCGTGGAGAAACAAAAAACTTGCATGATGCTGGGACTAACAGTTTGATATAAAGGAGTGATTCCCCCCAACTGCTTTGTACGCGCGAGACCCAAGTTACGAAAAACAGCGATGGTTTTGAGGGGAATGAAACACACTCAAAAAAGCAAATTAGTAGAATGAGGATTGAAAATATAATCGTAACTAGGAGAAAAATTTAAGGTAAATATATGTGAATAATTTGATGAATTTAAATTTAGGCTTAGACTTAGATGACCCGCATCGTTCCGAAGCTTCCAATTATGCATACAAAGTCAGAATTAAAACCCTAAAATGGGCTACCTAACTCCGAAAATCTCTCACCGGATTGGAAAATATACGATTATTTAAACATTGATGACGATCTTTGCTTAATGGAGTGTTTACTAAAAGCAACAATACCTAGAAGTAGGCTGAATAATATTGTGTTAAACAGTTCGAGAATGTGTTGTTCATGTTCATTATGGAGAAGCAACTGGGCGGTGTGATTAAATGCGTATGATTTTAAGTGGTAATTAAGTAATGGACTTGACTATCTAGAGTCGGAGTGAATAAAAAGCGGCAAAGTAAGGCGGTACGCAATCAGTCGGCCAATGGAGATGAATTGGACAAATAACTACGACTACAATATCTGGGACCTGGACGGCCGTATGGCATAGTATCCAACACACTTACTTCTCACTTTCTTACCTTGGCGCATGCTGATTTTCTGCGTTCGCCGTTGCGAATTTGCCGACTTGATTGATGTTCAGGGGTTTCTGGATTTGAATCACTACTACTGAGCTGTAAAATGAGAAATCCCTAGCCTTGGCACTTCCGTTATTCGTTCTCGCACATTGTCAACATTAGCTTAAAAATTGACATTTTTACGATCACACCCTCTACACGGCTTCATAGTCTAACTCTTCAAAAATATTTTTTGGAATATGTAAACATAAATGCATAAAAGATTCTAAGTACCTAAATAAGTGGTGTTTGCAACTAATTAATGAAATTATTCGAATACTCTTTTCAGCTCTAAAAAATGTATGGAAATATGGCAAGACGACTTTAGAGAAGGACATTGCTCAAAAACTCCTGGCTATCGTTGGCCAACTGCACGGTACTTTAACTACCTGTATCGTTACGTAATGAAAACCAAAATAGAGAGTAGCATACTGGAGGGCATTCCCTGAGGCGTTTAACAAGAAGGCGCATGGGCTCTGCATCTTGAGGATCAGCATTGGCCACTGGAGTATTTTCTACCTTCAATTATGAAATAATCTTATAACCATCACAATTCCGAGCTATCAAAAATGGAGCTAACTGTGTCTGCTTACAGCCCAAGGTTGAATCCACATCTCTCGCGTGTTCTTAAAATGTCTCCGCTTAAAAACATTTATCACTGTATCGTTTGATTACAATGAAGAACAGTGCCTAAGTAGGAGAAGATATGGCTTCATGCATATTATCTCAACAACCAGAAGAACAAGCAATTTTCACTGGTAAACTTGTCGGATTTTCTTTATTTGTGCAACCTGCTCTAAATATGTGCCAATAGAAAAAAAACTTTAAAAGAAGTGGATAAAGTTCGAATTTTAGGTGTGCTCTGGTTATTACGAAGCTTTCCCAAGTATATATAGTTACGTTAGTCAGAGGTGGGCAATTCTACATGTACTGCCTTAATATGATTGCTATGAGATCTGTTTGGGGGTTGCTGCGGCTTGGAGGGATAGTATAAAGTTCTTAATGGAAGTCTGAACCACATGAAGGCGACTTTTACCTTCAAAATTAAGTCGCCAACTTTCAGGGGTAATTTGGGGGATACTGAACCCAAGTCGCATACGATGGCACCCGCAAGGCGAATTCCGCACAAAGATCCACCTTCTAGGTAAAGAATATAAAGAGTACTCGTAAATATCATTTTGCGTGATACGGCTCCGTGACAAATTTGAATTTGTCCTTTACTTCGGCAAATTGTAAATTTTAAATTCTTTGTATAAACACTGCGTTCTGAGTGCGCTAAGTGAAATTAATATCAGTTTCCACTCAGTGGCTTTTCCAATTAAGTAATTTTTTGCTACGTGCACTTAGCATTGGAACACTCGAGTCTGGATTCCTTAGGTCATTAACCAAACATCTTATAACTATCGAAGTGCCTATAAAACGATTTTGTATCGCTCATGTAATTCGAGAAATTATCCTAGGAATGAACTCTTTCTAAAAAACCGATAGGATTTTCTTCAAAAGAATATGTTTTTAGACACTAAGAAAACTTTCATGAATTTAAGTATTTAAATCCGGTTTAGGAGCAGAAAACTGCAGTGCTCGAAGAAGGAAAATAGTTGAAGGTCATAAATACAGTTACAGTTGTGATAGAATTGAAGACCATGTAGCTACAAAAGAGGCAGATGGTATACACAGATAAAATGGCATTTTTCTTATGAAATCACCAAGGTAATAGTTGGAAGGGCGTCTACTAAAGTTGAAGACCACAACAGGACTCTGGATGATATATTTTCTGCTCTTAAATTGAATGACACCCACCCATCTTACCACATTATTCAGTATTAAAAACTGAGGCGGCTGAGGCGGAAAATTAATTGCTGAGTCCAGCAGCATGAATAATTAGTTCTTCTAAGGAAAAGTGTATAATACAAAATTCCGCAAGTTTTTCGATTTGTAAAACAAAAAGCTAAATATTTTTCTTCAGCAGCACCATTTCCCCGTAAATAGCAAAACGTGACTGACTTGACCAAACGTATTTCGTTTGTATTAAACCATAAACCTTTAGGCCCAAAGGTCTTCCATTTTTACAAACGTACATTCCGTTTAGATTTTCAACCTGCATGTTTTTCGGGATGGTTCAAGCACGTAAAGTTTTAGCATTAAGGTGTAAAAACAAGCGAATTTCAACCGTTTACATAGAAAGTTCACATAATCTACATTTAAACACCCAAAGATACATTGTGAGTTAGTGAAAAATGTCAGGCACACTCTTTGGAAGCTTTCATAAATCCATGCTCTTCTTCTTCTTCCATCAGTTTTATTTCTATGTGAAGCACCAGGCATCCTTTTTGACTTCCACCAATTCGCTACAGCAGTGTTTGTATTCACAACCACATATTTTATAAAAGTGCTGAGTGAGCTTACGTGCAACTTTTATTTCCAATTTTTCGTCACCCGGATTGACCACTACGCTAAATATTTCACTCCAGTTCCGCTCAAAGGCATCGCTTTTGCTTTTACCGGTAGCTCTGCCTTCTGAATCGCTGAATTTCTCCATCGAGTGGACTCGCGTAGGCTGTTGGGTGGTGGCTGAACACTCGAATTGTTCCTCACTTTGCAGTGGGGGGGAGATATGCGTGGCATGAATGCCTCCAACCACCTCGTCCCAGGAGTTCATCTTTTGAGGTACTCTCATGATTACCTTTCGAGCAGAAGCTTCATAGTCATTGAAAACGCTCCTTCTCAACATTCTCTCTTCTAATTTATTGCTGCGGTGTCTCCGAACTCCACCACGAGAGCTGAGTAGCAATTTCATGCTTGGAGTAGAGGTTGCATCTTGGTTTTTTTGTAAATGTTGGTAGCTGAAATGAAAAACGAAATGGTAACCTATCGTGTTTCATTTTTCTGCTCCTTATCCTTATTTTACCTTCATCTTGAATGATGTTCGGACGTCCCACCGAGTAGGGCTTTAGCCTGTATTCATAAAAACCCTAACTACATTAGCTCATAAACGAATACGCACCAGCCATTCCGCTGCATTTCTTAGGCGTTCTGACATTTAAAACTCCTATATCTTGTGACTTGCCGATATTAAATAAACATTTTTATGAACATTAAGTCAACACTGGCTTCAAAATCAAGAGACAATGCACTGAAAACCCATGTTTTATGAGACGTTAAATCAGTTGGGAAATTTTACTAGCCATAATCATTGGCTCACTTTGAAGTGAATCCATTTGAATTCTACAACAACACGCAATTCGCATGTCCAATAATTCTGTTTCAATTCAAAGACCGCAACTAATTACTATTTCTACTTGTTTATCCAACTAAAAATATTAAACGAAATCTAGTCTGCATATGGTCATGACTTGCTTTCCAGTCCTAGTGAATAACTACACCGATGGCGATTCTAATGTGGGATTTCATACAAGCATCGGCTGTCAAAATTCTCACTCCTGTTGGTTGCACAGTTATAGGCTTTCGAATGTTATGAAATAAAATAGATGCTTTCAGAGTGCCCCATTCTGTCCGCTTTCTACCTTCAATAAAAAGTTTTCAAGTGTATCCAGGTTCTCCTTAAAATTTCCACTTTATGAAACCAGAACAAAGTGTAACTAAGAGGTCGTAACAAAAAACTTGGATGCATCTCCAGTGGTAGTTCCCACTAATCTAGCCTACTCAGAGTGCTTCGTATTGACAGAACTTTTACCTGAAATCACTCACATTTACCGCTTGTGCGTTAAAAAAAGCATTCCTTTTTAAGCCCAAAATTAACTACCAAGAGAATTATGCTTACTTTGGGTATGGTTTCTACCCACAAAAATGCCCACACTAGTGTACGCGACGTGGTGTGCATTACTCTAATCACTCACATTTGCAATGTCACACCTGGAAGATTCACAGGACTCAATGAACAATCCGAAACTAAGATAGATGAATGGAAATACGTCACTTTTGTTGGAACAGCAATGCAGCCCATTCTCTGGGTGCATTTTAGTCACGATCTGCGTTAAAAGTAAAATCGCATATAGTTACTGCAACGATCTAGTCAACCACGAGACAGTTGCTTCAGTCTTTCAAATTTGTGCAGTTCAAACCGCCCATTTTTAATTTTCGTATACAACATTAGACCTCCTGAGTTTTGCGAAAATCTCCTGGTTAGTAAGTACATTTTCAATCAGAAGTTTTCGTAGCCAGAAGAAACATGTAACTTTTATTCATGCGCGCTCATGTATGCAGAGGGAGGCAGTGAACCAGTCAGAGCCCCTCTATCCATTGCAGGCATGAAATCACACGTAAATAACGCAAATGCCACGTAAAGGGCTGTGAGGAGCCTTAAGAATATCTGTTCTAAAAGGAAAGGACACGAAGCCATTAGGTAAGTTGTAGGTAAAGATCTGAGACAGTAAGTAAATCTCATGACGAGGAGAGGGGAATTTAAAATATCCTGACTTAACTGCGATGCCAAAAGTTGAAAAGCCAAGTATGAAAAGATGAGGTGGTTACTTATTTTAGTAGATTTTAATTCTCATTGTTTAAAAATGTGTTTCATCAAATAATGCAGTGCTAGCAGGAAAATGTCTTCCAACTTTGTAACATGCCGTTATTTCTTTTAGTCTTACACTTACCCACAAAAGCTATTCAATCCGTAGAACCAGTATTTTCATCTCGGTGGCATTTCTGGAAGGCTGTATTTATAACCCTCCATCCCTTTCGCACACTGACAATGTCTGTTCTCCTAGTGATGTGACTTACTAGGACTAGTAGATACATTATTTTAAATTTTCGTCTTATTTCAGGTTTATAAGTAAAGCCACCTTAAAAGGCTCACTTTAAGGTATCAGTTCGTGTCTACCAATCTTTTGCACAAAACCTTTAAATCGGCTTACTCTAAATTTCCATAAAATCGAATAAACAGCAGAACACATGACGGGGGATTGCCATATTCTTACAATAAGACCGCCTTTTGCGTTCAAACGTCAATATAATAAAATGCGGTCATCAAAAGGCATCAGGAGCATAGTTGGGCGCAAAATCCTAACCTATTTTTTATCTTTAGCCTAATGCTTTTTAAAATGAATTATAAAATAGTACATGACCTTCCGAATCAGTTTCTTTACAACTTGAAGAGATCTTCTACATTACCGCATACAAATCAAGTCTGAGCAAATTCTGAAATACTCAGCAATGACCACCAATCCAGTTGCATCTCCAGCATGGCATGGATCGTTTCTAAATTTGAAAAGCAGCACATTACTTAAAATGTTTGACAATTTGAATTAAGGAGTGCATTGAGCCACCAACATCTTAGTGCTAGGACTGTTTTGTCGCTTTGAGCAGGTGGGTGACGGTTCCTCAAGTTTCCCAGAGGTGACTACTATGTAAATTGAAAGCTGGAGTAAGTTCAGTAGGGGTTCTCGGGATTGAAAATGCGTCAGCTGCTGTTTAATCATTTATTTCCACAACTAGTACCCAAAACTTTAATTGGGGAGAGATATTATTTCCCTTCGGTTCTGTTTTGTGAAGTTTAATTAACTTTATATTAATACAACTTTAGTCAGGAACATGTTGACAGCCATGGTAAGACCAGGACAGCAAAAAATGTCCACTTTTCCTGTGCAAAGCAAAATAATTCGATATAAATTTTGGACAAATGACCCATTTTTATAAGATCCTATATGAAATTGCCTTAAAATCTCCACTCTGACACTTATTAAAACCTAAAAATATGTATCATAAGAGAAAGGTTCACAGTCTGCAAACTTTTTGCGTTCGAGTCACAGATATGTTTGAAGTTTATCATCGGTGGGAATACAAGTAAAAGAACATCGCAGCTTAATTTGAGTGGAGGAGAATCGGAACAGAAGCGAAGAAACTGTACGGGTTTCCAAGTGCGCCTGTGAGTTCACAAGCGCACGTGCGTGCACACAACGTCGAAGTGTGCAGTGAGGCGGAGGGAAGGAAAGGAGGCAACGACACGTAAAAGGAAAGAAAGAGCATGCGTTAAACCAGCAAGAAATTCAAATCGTGTATTTGAGAAGGCTTACGCTTCTTGCGCCGGTTTCAGGCATTCTTCGTGATTTGCATATACCGTTCAACCATGCGCTGTATAAAACCATGGGGTGGTACCCTGGAGAGGCATATGCGAGCGAAATTTCATGAAAAGTGGTGAGCTAATGAATGTGCCGTTGGTAATTGTTAGCATGTGTTGTGATTCTCATCAGTTTTCTGTGGCAAAATCAAATTTTGTAGCAAGGTGGATTAGTTGGCAGGACATACGGAAAATCGCGTCCAAAGAAGTTTGGTTGGTCATACATCAATTATCGTTAGTTATACTGCCTTGTATAGACTGCTGCATGTAGAAAAAGTGTTCATCATTGCCTTCTCATCATCAATGTTAGCTGGGTTGAGAAGGAACCATAAAACCGTTGGGAGTAACAGTTTGTGAAAAGTTTCCTCCGATCTTGTTGCACCCTTATGCGCGACAAAAATTACATATTCCGACCTGATGTTCATTTGTGTATTCTTTCGTTTCCCCCAAATCAAGACAGAATTTAAACCCCAGATTAGCATAATAGAAGAATCATTTTTTCTGACGCATTCCGCAAGTCGGCGAGAGTATTTGGATCTCAGAAGCCAAGCCATATCCTTTAGCTAGGTTTGCTAAGCCATGCCACCTAAATCAAAGTTCATCCGGCCAATAAACCAACAGACACTATTATATCAGTGTCCAAAGGACGAAAAGTAGCCGACCGCCGTAGTTAGCAATCGAAAAGAAATGAGTTATCATGGGGAACGAAGAATCTTGTTGAAATGAATGAGCATGTGCAAGCATTGGGGAGAGAAAGGAGGGGGCTGGGTGGGATGGAGGACACACAAGAACAACAGACGTACAATTAGAGCAGTCACCGACCTTACCATTGGTCATAAGAGTTTCCGCTATGTTTAAAGCAGTTTTGTGAGAGCGTTTCAATGGCAATTTGAAAGTGTTTTAGGTTGCACGAAAAAGAAATGTTGAGTAAAACAATAAGCGGTAGCAATTCTGGGGGTTTTGCTACTGTTCAAGAAAGCATAACTCAAAGTGGAGCGATTGTTCAACATTGTTAAACAAACCTTCCTAAATGAAAGTATTTGCATTGAATTAAAAAGAATACTTGACGCTTGACTTGAATATTCTTAAGATGGAATTAGTCACAAAATTGAGAAGTTCCCACGAAAGCAGAATGCAGTGACTGAAAACCCTGCTCACCTACCTAGTACATAAGCGATACAAAAACTCATAGTAGTAAAATAGTTTAGTTGGATTTCAGATCACCGAACAAGGGCAGGGTGTAGCTATTTGAGTCACTCATGGTGAAATGCTTATGGGATGTCTTGTATCGTCTTCACACCCTAAAATGCACCACCATTTCCATTACCAAGACCTTTCTCGGGCCTGTAATCACAACTTAAAACAAATTGCAATCACGTCAAAAGTAGTACCATAGTAACTCAACTGCGTCAAATGTCACGAGCCTGTGTCTGCAATTGCCTTGGGATAATGGGATGATATTAAACTTTGGCCTAGGCAGTTTTATGGTGAATTCCTTTTACACTAATTGACCATGATATTAGGCTTATAAAATCGAAAGCCATCTTGCACAATTAATTTTTTAGTTCTAAAGAGGGGCAAATAAAAATTGTCTTCTTTTCACTGCTCGTAGTGAATTCGTTTTGCACCAATCAATCAACGGTTAGTTCAAAAGATTGCCAACAACTAGTCATTTCAATTATTTTTAAATTAAGTACGAAAATGGGTGTTGATTAACTCACTGATCGGGATTGGATTTGGTGGGTTGAGTGACTGAGTTGTCGCTATCAGACACAACCTCATTCGGCCGTTTGGATGATTTCGGTGGGACCTGTGTGTGCTCTTTTGGACTGACGGCGAACTGTACTGCGCTCATTTCGGCCGTGGGTGTTGCATTGTCGAAAAGGAAGGGATCAGAGCTAGATAGCCTCGAATTGGTGGAAGCGGAGGATACACTGGAACTTGAGGCACTATTTCGATCATGGGACTTATCAAGGGGGTGCTCCTCGTGGCCCTCAGTGGGTAACGTGAGCTCTGGCTCAGTTGGCAGCTTAGACGTGAATTTTAAACTGAAACGAAGGAAATTCGTGGGTTTTATATAACACACTTATAAATAAAAGTCGGCGTCGATTAAGCACTAAAGAATGAGGGGTCATTTAATAAAAGGATAAAAGGCTGGGACAAGTCGTGACATTCACACTTCTGTCACCGTCTAGGTCAAATAAATACTCAAAGCTACCTTCCATACTCTTACAGTGGTTGTGACAAATTCATGAAAAAACTAGCTGTTTCTTCTTCCCCTCATCTGAAATATACGTGACCTGAAGTGGCGTGCACGTCCAGGCCTGCTAACCCCTATGAGCATTTTACGCAGAAAGGCACATTCTCAGTTACTCACACCGCTTGCACAGGTCAGCATGCTTAGCACCAAAGATGAAGATGATGGCGAAGATTTTAAATTTACTACTTCTAAGGGCATTTTTATTCCACTGATTTTTTGTTGTGCAATTACTTGAGGAATAAATCCCTTTTTAATGATGGTGAAGAACGTCTCACCATGCATCACCATTAAAAAAGATAATGAATGATGTGAAGAATGCAAGACAGGTATACAATCCCTAGGTCATGTCCAGCTACGCAGTTATGTATAGCTCTGATGAAGACCATGTGCACAAGAAGCAAGGTGAAAATTACATCCACTTGAGACAATTTAAAATCAGAGCACGAAATTTTGGCCACGCACCACTGTTTTGTCAGCTCTAAGTCGAAAGTTTGACCTGGGGTTTTACGTAAAATAATTCCAAGAATTCACTGACAGCTAATAGATATGAAGAATTGGCATGGCGTCTCTTTGCATTGACGCATGAATCAGACGACGGTCATTATTTCGATAGACAGATTTTTGAATAAGTGCACAAGGCTTGATATCGCTTGGCTTGAAGCGAACAAAACCAAATTAAATTAGTTAAAAAAGGGCATTTTGCTTATGCCGTGTGGAATAGTTCATTTATTGCTAATTGTAGCAAACTTCATGGATGTGCTCCTGAGTCAGAATCTGGGGCTTAATCAAGTATGCAATCAGCCGAGTGAGATTTCTCCATTGCATACATTCATTAATAACGATCAAGCAGTCAGTTTTTCATTTTCTTGGTTCCAAGCATAGCCTACCTGCACAAATTTGCAGATTTCATTATGAAGGAAATTGAATCAACATGCAGCTATATGATCGGAATTTGTGCAAAAAATTGTTAATGTGGGTTTCCTCGTTTTTCATTAAATTTAAGGAAATGAACCTACTTACGAGAAGCGCAGATGATTTAGCGTGCGCAGCCAGGGCTTAGGGGGCACATAGCCACTTCAGTCTTGCTAAAGTGCATGCCGTAATATAAGGACAATGCCTCCGACGCCTCTATCAAATTATATCCAAGGTGAAGATTAATTTGGGAGTCATATTTGTCAAAATTATCGTAAGGTGGCATTATTCTTCCAAAATAGCAGCTTTCTTAATTATAAAGTACAAAAGATTAAGAATCTGCAATCATTTTTGTATCACAGTGGCATGACAGTAGACAATCAATTCAACGTACGTGGTATCAGCGATGTAAGGACACAGAATGCGAAATGATTAACATTACGTGATGGGGCGTTTCCTGATTGTTGCTGCCTGAATGAGAAGATTATTAAGAGAGCTAGATTGCATTACCTTTGGTATTGGTTGCCATAATTTCGACCAGTAGAATCTGACAAATGGCTCCCCTTCACAAACACATAGACACACACAGGTAAAAACACGAATAGGGACGACGACCCAGCTTTTAAATGGCATCAGTTTAAAAATCAGACTTAGTTAATTTATTAGGAAAACAAGTGAGAAGCTGGTCATTGATAAACGTTATGATTCGGTTGCACAGAAAATCATGCACAAGGGACTAACAGATAGGTGAAAAGCGAGTAGATAGAGCTGAAAGACGGAGCGATAAAACAGACCAGACAAGTAGAAATTATTCATTAAAAAATCTCGGAGGATTCGTTTTTATTTTACCTTTTACTTTATGGCAGGGTGGAGAAATCTGGAGTTATGACTTGTCAGATTAATGGACAGAAATACTTACAAAAGAATTAATTTAAAATTCACAAAATGAATAGAATATCCACTGTTGAGGCATTATCATATCAACTTGTGCCATTCCTACTTTGTCAATTTATTTAAAAGTCTTTAGCTTTAAAAGTGAGCAATGAATGGTGAGGCATGACTATGCGAACAAGATGCATAAGGCCACAACAGGCTCGTCCCGAAAAGTAACCTAATTAGCAGTGCCCCATATACTTCCAAAACAATGCATATTTACCAGCATGCAAACATCTTGGGGGGAACAGGGCCAGACGTCAAAGTAGGGCTGTACGGAGAATAGTTTTCACCGTATGGCCGGTAATGATTTCGATAACGACGTCGTGATTTCAACTAATAGCCTGATCTCTAATTCTCAGTCAAGTTTAGACATCTACTTTTAGGTCATCAGTGAGGGGTTTCGCATGAAGATTGTGTATTTGGTCAGCGATTTAGAAGTATCATAAGTGCAAATTCGATGAGCCACATGGGAGTAAAGGAATGCGAAAAGTGGGAATCATGGTGAAGCGAAAGCAATGGCAAAAGTGGTGGATACTTCACAAATTACATGAGTTTAAGACTTTATATTCATAGATTAACAACGCTAAACAGCTTCATATATCCGGACCATCCTTACAACGATAAAAAGAGATCACGTTTGGCGAGCGCGGGAGATCAGTATTAATAGCTTAATAATGGTGGATTGTTGCAGGTGAACATCCATAAAAGACAGATATGTCTTTCACATCTTTTCGGTTCAGCGCATTTACTAGGTGTTTCATAAGTAAACTACCACGTTTTCGCATTCAGAAAATCGAATGCTTTATTTTACAATACATCATCTACACAAAAATTTACGCGAAATGTTTTTGAAATAGCAATGGCCTTAATCCACTTTTCCAGGCTCCTTCGTTATCGACGGGCATTAGAGGGATAAGGGCGACAGCATGACTTAAAGCAAAAATGTGTATGTGCATTATATATTAATGGTAATTTTGGTGTGTTATAGCTTTAAGCCTTTTAAATTCGGGAGTATGACCTTTAGCGATACTTATCAGGAACTTAAACTAATCGCTTTGGCTGTTGGCTTGATACAATCATACACACACACACACACACACCTGATATTGCCTTCGAGGGAGAGCATGCTCCAGAGAAGGCTTTGGACACCAAATAGGGTAACATGACGGAGACGTTTTCCGTTGAGTTCTGTCACCACGTCACCTACTTTGAAGTTTACCCTGCGGTAGGCAATGACGGAGTTTAGCGTGCGACGCAGTGCCCCATTAGGGGTGATGTCCGTCACTGTGAAACCGTCACCCGTGTTGTCCTTCTGGCCCAGCGTCATGCCTACATAAACAAAAAGTCAGACACCAGCCTGAGTTTAGTTTCAGTAAAAGGTGTTCTTCAACAAGTTAAGCGCCGTTTAATTTGATCATTCTAACTGTGGCATTCCTTATTACTTGCCATATCTACTCAACTGCTTGTTGAGACCTACAAGAAAGGCCGGTGATTGGTACCAAGCATGGAATATCATCTTTTTTTCAATCTATAACAAAATACCAAAATATTTTTTTTGACTAAAGGACACCAAATCAAAATCTGGCGTGGTAAGGACTGTGGCTCTACAATTTTCCCCTACTCGATTGTAGTACCTAGGCATTGCTTGATGGCACTACACTGGTATGCAAAAATGTCGCAAATATTTAATGTTTGTAGCCTGTGGCTTTCACTTCACTTTGTGTTATTAAGACAGAAAAAATTCTGATCACCAAATGCATATATGCTCCCAAAATTGGCCCTATTTCTTTATAAAAAAGAATAATTTTTATATTCAGGTTCCCAGGTGTATTGGTGTAAAATTATAGTGTTTACCAACGCAATCAGTAAGATGCATCGATACATAACGTGTCAGTCAGTTATTTGTGAAATAGTTATTCACTTTATTTCACCAACCCTACCAATTAATTCTCCCTTCGCCTTATTGATGACGATTTCAATGGAGTCATCCGTCAGATTGGGCGAAGCGTCCGAAGAGCCGTGCGACTCATCACGAGACTCCCCTGACCAATTTTGATATCTTCCAACTAGTGGCATAGTCAAGCAACTGTTAATTGCTATCACACTTATAATATGTAGTCAAAAAGGTGGGCTTTGTGGAGAAATTCTGTACCTTACTACATTCATTTCACTTAACAAAACACTGTTTATCGCAAGTTACCATTAAGTACAGCAAACACTATAAATGTTTATTATAATTATCTTTGGAAGGTAACTCTTAAGGTCATGTTGAATTGATCAACTAACAGCAAATAACTTGAGATGAATTAGAAACCGGACCTCGAAAATCCTGAAGCATTGTAAAAATACATTAGTATATTTCCACACCTGTACAGAATCCATAAATGGGGTGATGCTAATAGTAAACATTCTCATTGTGTCGCATCATTTCCTAAGTTTATTTCCCTCTCTCTATATCTGAAGCATTTATTAGATAAAATGCATGAATTATTTTTTTGATCAACAATAATCAAAGTTACTTCAAGACATGCGCATTTCTATTTGAACATAACAAGGCAATTGACCTTCTCTTCTACCAATATTTTCTGCGGTGTTAAAGCCACTTTTCGTGAGAACGCTTCAAATTTCTGTCTGAAATCAGAGATTTTACTGCCAGAGCTCGACACGGTCTCGCCTCTCTCAATGTCAGGTTCAAGCTCAATCGAGACGGTGTCGCTTTGTGTGGTCTCAGCGCTAGGCATCTAGGGGATGGTGGACATCTTATCCCCACTGAAGGTGGATGAGCAGTGTGTCTGGCCGGAAGCGGTGTTCGGTGATCGGCCGCTCACAAGTTATCCTGAGATTCGCGACTTTTGCAGTGTGGCAGTCAGAAAAGTGCTGTCCTTCCCCATTACAGTCACGCCGCTGATCTGTTTGTGCCTAGCCCCGGTACAAATCAGTAGAAATTAGTCAGGCTTTTGCATTCACATTGAAAAATAATTTTAAATGTTTGGGTGGGACGAAGTGTTGTGTGGCAATGTGAGAAGGAGTTTTATTACGGTACGATTTATTCCATAAGCAGGAAGGTATAAAAGGATATCAGTAATCATTCGCATTTGCATGAAACTACTGATGTCATCTTGATTTTAGTTTAAACTTTATTTTTAATATCCTCTACTAAATACTTCCCTGCTCAATATTTTGCTTGAATCTAACATATTAGTCCGACCAAGAGGGGACAAGTGCTCTAAAGGCTTTGCCGGTTTTACGGGTGAGATAAGGAGATCTACAAGAAAATAGCGAAATAGGCAGGTTACCTCTAGAACTTCGTCCATCGATTTTAACTCAGTCTGTGAGGCGATCACACTGTCCTTTTGTACTTCGACGAGCCTGTGTCTGAAATCTGTCTGACGACCCATTCAGTCGATGTTGGCCAGTGTCTCCACGGATATTCCAAGTGGAGCATTTGCTGATGGAAGAGTGTACTCCCAAATCTAGATCATAGTTCAGGGTATTATTATTTGGTTTAAAATTTCTATATTCGGGTGCTTAAGAACCCTGTAACTCCTCACTTGACAATGAAGGGATAGCATTTGATACTGCACGCCTACCATTAAAGTGGAGTAAATGAGATTATCCTGAAGGCTGGTGGCATAATAATTGGTTTTTGTCTTTACTCGTGATAGTGTTGTACCAACAGATCTCCAAACAATTGCATCTTCTAGTCACCCTATGGCTCTGCAGAGTAACCATGAATCAATCCTTCATTGACACAGTCAAGACAAATCTACAAGTAGCACTTAGCCCGCCGGTATGCTATGCTAGTATTTGGTATACAAAATTCGTTAAACCCCTATCTATGTGTGTGGCTAGACCATGTATGCGCGCATTTTTCTCTGGCAAAATTCTTCCTGGGCTCTTCTTGAATACTTTGCAAGGAATCTTCTCGATAAATATATGCTTACATTGGTCCTTCCCTTAAAATGATGAATGATTCTTCTGCAGATTAGCGATTGGAAAGTTAAAAGATAGGCAGAGATGTTGTTTTAAGAAGCACTTATTGACTCTGTTGAAGAGCATCAAGGCAGTTCTGATTTGGAATTCCAGTGGAGCGAAGGAAATACTACTAATTACAGCTCGCCAATTACAGTGGGGGCTAAATGTCACTGAAAAATGGCTGATATTGGCAGTTCAGAACTACGATTCCATATTGTACAACTCATTACGTTCTATATTAATTCATTTTCCCATACCAGCAGTCTGCGTTTCTTATGTCGTTTAGATAATTCCAACCGATTAGTTCATGTATGCAATAAATATTGCATTTCAGTTCTATAGTGAAAAAAACCATCCTATATTTTTAGGACTTCCATGGCAACGCATAAACAGCTAATTTTATTAAGAGAAATTGGATGATTTTTTGGCCAGTCACACAACCTTTATGGAAAAACTACCTTACGCAGCGCCAAGGACAAGCGAAGAAAGATTTTGCGAATGCCAATTTATATTTGTTAAGCCTTGATATTCGCTTTTCCGATGAAAACTAACCATAGCATATACACAAAGAAGGCCTCCTGAATCTGTGATGAAAGAGAAAGTACATTACTCTATTCCGAAGAGATTTAAATCCTAACTTGGGCATTTATGGCTGATATTTTCATAAATACCATTCCTGTAACAGTTCTAATTGACATAATGGAAGCTCTTGATCCGCTGCCTTTTTCCAACATGACAAGGTCAGTATAGCTTAAGTCATTTAGTAAAGCAATGTTTTCACCTTTGTGTCGCGCGACTTGCTAATTGTTTGACAGAAACATGTTTCGATTTTCGAGGAATAATATGCGGATACGCAATTACTTCCCAGTGAGTGAGACATGTTTATGCATTCATATTCAAACCCATAGAAGTAATATTACTAGTTAAAGGATTGCTTTAGCAATGGCAGAGAGAGGATGACAGATAAACTTACAACTATTTCTGCATCTTCGTTTAAGGTACTCCGCCATCGATTTTTCAGTAAAACTTTTTCTTCTTGGTTTAACAAATGATTTGGAGAAGTTCTGCCTTAAAGAAACAGAAAAATTATCACTTAGCTCGTAACAAATGGAATGATGTTGAAAAAGAAATGGGCATTTTGAACTACCTGGCTCGATGGCAATGCTCTCGGTTGCATAAGCTTGGTAGAATCCACTTGCGGAAACAGCTGTGGGCAGTGTTGATATTTTACACACATATCTTTCATCAACATCTAAATGTAAATGAGGAGATTTGTGGGTTTATGGATTGTATTATCTAAATGATTTTGCAAATTTACATCCCTCTTCTGAAATAAATAGGCTCAAGAGGAAGCTTCACGCACAAATCTACCCTTACTGGCGTTTCGAGCGTAGTTTCCTCATAGCATGCCCTTCAGTACACGCGCAAGGAAACGTTTGTTTAAAGCCTTTGTTTCATTATTTGCAGCCATGATAATTATAGCTTAAAAAAGATAGATTTCACTGCCATAGGGCGATGTACAATGCAACCGCTTTTATGTATGGCCCACCGGAAATTGAGGTTGCATCCTGAATGGCCATTTCGGGATCTTCTCCTAATTCCAAGCAAAAATGCCAATAAGAGACAAAATTAATTGTGAGAATTCGATAAAAAAAGAGTTGTACACGGTATAGAAAAATTAATAAATTAGTTCGGATCCATAAGATTTGGGATTTTTGTGTTGATCGCGTCAGAAGAATAATAACATGGTGAAATTCTGTGAAACGTCAATTCATTGGTATCACAAGCGAATTAGTGTATTCAGGCAAGAAAGGTCAATTGGGGAAGTCAAAGCACTTCTTTTACTTCTTTACGCAAGCCAGTAACCCACCCAATCTGATCTCGGTGTGGGCAAACAATTTTTGCCGTGGGTTAATCAACAGCAGCATTCGATAACAAAAGCATTTGGCGTACTTAGTTGGGGTGAGTCCAAGATCGCAACATCTTCTAAAGCATCATCTACTTGAAAAGTGAGGAAACGAATTAACCCAAAGAACAGACTAAAGAACTCGTCAAAGCCAAATACATTTCCACATACCGGAGATGGCTTCTTCAATTACGATTCCTCCCTCGATTTGATCGCTCAAATTTACTACAATTAGTAGAAATTCCACATGAAGCGCACTTTGCCCTGTCGGTGTAGAATAAATAGCTGGCTACAAAAACATTTTGTTTTTAGTTTTAAGTAAAGTTTTTTAAGTGAGCTAAAGTTGCATCATTTACTGGACATTATTACAGGGAGCCTGTTTCAATTAAGGTATAGGGAACGGTAAATTAATGCTGTGCCCGAAACGCCACATGTATTTAACACTCACTACTGTCTGCTGGTTCCACTAAAGCACTGCGTAAAATACCAAGCATAATGGCGCCTATGTGACTCAACAGTGAAGTGAGACCAGCAGGACTCCGGATTACAAAGTGATTTGCACAGATGTTTTGTGCGGCAAGAACGGTGGCCCTGGTTGAAGCAAAACTTGATAAGCATAAAGCAAGAAGGGTGATCATTTTTTAACCTTAAGTACCGCAGACCAAATGTCTGAAGTTTTTGTGCACTTCATCGATCCCTGAATGGTCATGGATGATAGATAAAATGGACAAAGTTTATACCACAAATTGATTAAAAACCAGATTTTGTTGAAAGCAAGAAGAGCTATCTTTAAAAATTCTTTGGATATATTTTAGAAACATTCTTAGAAATAGTGTGATCGAGGGCATGGGTTCTGGCGCTTAGGCATTGCTGCCTTGAATGTCAGCACTTAAGTGTGCCTCGAGGGCAGTTATCAAATGCGGATGGAAATTAACAGGCTGATAAAGATGAACGGAACATGTCCCACTAAAACGCTTATGAAATCAGTTCATGAAGATGGGAAATTTCCTAATTTTTTAGCAGGTCAATAGAAAATACAGAATATGCAGGCTGCTGCTTACGTTTTACGTCTGCCTGGAATATGAGGAGCAAACGGATACGGAGATACGTATAAATGACCCGAAGGTGCCATCTCATTAACAGAGAAGTAGTAGAAACTAAGATATTTAAGGAAACAATACATTCACGGACGCGATTGCGATATCACTCCATCGACTGCCTATTTGACCTCACCCCTTCAAAATGGGCTTACCTGGGTTAGGTGTCTCTGCAATAAAACGCAAAAATCTGTATTGTTGAGTTAAAAGCTTTTGGTTAGTAAAGTTTTGGGATGGTAAAAACTCACGAAACGCTAATGGAACTCCAAAATAGTCCGAACATTAAGGAAGCTGCATATGAAATCGTTTCGATGCTAACATGCTTGAACACAAGGCCATGGAAGTGGAGAAATGTCTTAAAAATCCGCTTACCATCAGGTGTCCTGCTTAGGTCAATAAGGGGCAAAGTACCTACAAAAAAAGATGAGGAAGCGTTGCCATCTGCAGGGTTTGTCAAATGCAATATCGTAATTTGAACCCGTTTTAAAATTTGCCTCTTAGAAGAGGCCAACTATCACACAAATTGCAACACGACATTCGTTTGGATCAGCAGCACACCCTCCCAAGTAACGTTACTGACTGACTTCCATTAAGAGAGACTCATTTGCCTTCTAAGGTCCTTTTTAGAAGTTGACATGTAAGGTTACATGCTGCAAATTACAATGAGATTGGTGAACATACAAACATCAAAATCCTTCTACTCAATTAAAAGATTATCAGAAATTGCAGCCGCATAACCTTACAATCTTTTGTTCCACTTAGATCACTGCTTCTGTAACTTGCAGCAAAAGAACACGTCTAGACTCACACCTTCCTAAAAGCGTGTCACCAGTTATGTGGCGGAAGAAAGTGAGCGGCTTTCAGTCACCTTTTCTTTAACATCTACCAAGGACACCAAAGGCGGTCTCCAAATGCCGCTTGTGCACACATCATAACGCATCACTAACCATGTCGCAGTCTCCTAGTAACTAGGCTGTAACTAGGATCACACGGCATGTGCAATCAAAAGTCGTGGTAAGTGGCATGTAAGCCTGAGTGGACTGCATCGACAGACTGGTTCACCCGATTCCTTCTTAGACTTAAAGTTCTCTCATTACTTTGAGTCTAAGCGTAATAGCTCGTTTGCTGCGCGACCAGACGGAAGTCATCAAGCCATGGGTTGTGATCGTCGATATGCACGACATCCTACCTCCACCGGCACTGGTTGGAGCTGTCACTCACACACACACATACACACACCTACTAATTTAGTTGAATTAATTACGCAAGCAAGCCACAGTCCGAAACTTTGATGCGTGCCTCCTATTTCCCATCTGAATGCGCAAATGTATTCTCCATGCCATGCAGTTCACATCCACCTTCTTCGTACCAAACCATTGTCCCACCATCTTAATCACACTCACTATAGTAAAGTGGTGAACGATTTAGTTGCACAGCAGGGTTTAGATCAGAACATAGTTTGTAAGCATTTGCACATTTTGAGTTGATTGTGATGTTTTGCGTGTCAACACAAAGAAGGGGAGTGATGCTTCTCAGCAACTACGAGTCCACCTTGCAAATTTTCTCAAAAGCAAAAGCTTAGAACTGAAGAAGCAAAATGAATAGTGGAACTAGAATTGCGCTTGAATAAGCCAAAACACCCGTCAATTCTTTATACAAGTAACGAAAAGGCAGCACTGTATCCTATTTGTACTTTGATATGTGGGTGATAAAAGGAACCAGAATGGGATCTGAACAACACACCGATATATTTGACGAAGACATGTACATCAGCACCAGCTGGAATCAAAAATGATAACATGCACATCTTGCAACTGGCAATGGCTTTTACCAAACAAAGGACTAGCTTTTCAAACACCTCATTCAGCAACGCTAATCCTCAAATGAAAGATCACGCATGGAGAAGCATGAGGTCTCTTTAGCCAACTGCGGCCACACCATAAATGCGTTAACTGCTGAATCTCGGAATGCCACGAGCTGCTACAGCATTGCCCGCGTTTTCCAACATACCAGAACAGGACTGCTGCACTCACGCCACTTGCGACATCGAAGTGTACGCATGGATCTACTGTGTTGGTTGACAATTAACGCCACGTTACCTTCGTGGAGGTGGATTGCATCCGCACCAGTCGTAGGAGGTGTAGCCATTGCAACAGACTGACTCTTCTGAAATGTAACAGTGAAAAGTTGCCAATGCATTCATCAACTTGTCAGTCGTCTCACCAACTGCCACATCCACTCCACGAACGTCAGTGTGCCTTGGGTTAGGTAGGCATAAAAGGGCGCAAAATGCACAGCTACTCATCGTATAGAAGTAAGACATGTAAATGCTCCTACCCTCCCCTCCCTCACATCAGCCACCAGTTTTGCGGCTTCAAGCAGAACGCAGCTTTGAGGCACAGTCGTTGAGGGTGTCGACGTTGGCGGCGAGGAACTGCTGCATTGCTTCACCAATCGTGAGACGATTAGTCGGATTGGGTGCAAGGGAGAACTGCACACAGCGGCTAGGCCGGCCTCCGCTCCTGTTGAGGCACGCCGATAAACACGAAGCACGTCCTTGAACATTCTGCTCATCACCGGTTTCTCATTTATGTAGAGTATGCTGTCGCCCACATGCAGGCGGCCGTCCTTCAGCAAAGGAGACGATGGTCTTGGGTTAAATCACGATTTGCGACTCGCCTTTCAGTGAACAGGCAGAAATTTGTGGAGGAAGCGTGGTGTGGCAAATGGGTTAACATGGAACGGTGAACTGTGAGGCGACTATGGACATTCTTTGTTGCATAAGCTGAACCAACAAATGTTTGTGATTTTGTTTTTGTGTTCCACCCAGCTCACACCAAGTTACCTACTTGAGTACTTACATTGCTGAAACACTAGCTATCCTGGTTAGATTGGGGCGACTTGCACTTCTCCTATAACCACAATCACTAAGCCCTTTTATCGGGGATTTTAAAAATACAACATCTTCTGTCGCCTTTGAAATGATTCACTTCAAGCACTTCCTTATAAGCTGGAAACAACAAGGCCAGTACAAAAAATCACAAAATTGAAGCACCGACGCATTTGTGGGTTTAAAATAGGGCTTTTACTGTCAGATGCAGGGTGTTTGTCAAGCGTGATGCTTAATTGAATTATGGAGAAGGATTTCAAGTGCTCATTAAGGGGAGATCGACGACAGTGGTTACGGTGTTGCCAAGCTGGAGCTAAGTGAATGCTGAAAGCCATGCGTGCCTGTCACGGGCACAATCTCCCCATCCGCCTTCTACAGTAGCAATGAGAGTAGCAAATTCGCACCACCTCTGCGCTTAGTTGATATTCCTACGAGGCGTGTCGGGTGAAGGCGTCAACTGCAGATGCTAGTGGTAAGGTGCAATGAAAGCTCCAGGCGAAAATGCATCACCGCATTAGAATTGCCCTACCGTCATTTCAAACTACTTCAATCATACATACAAGCATCATGCTGTCTGGTGAACCGGGATCGGGCACTACGTGGGCGCTGCATGCCACATTTCCTCGACTTCATGACCTCCAAAAAATAGTCTGAGTAATGGCGTCATCATATCAAAATGCAGAAAGTGGCTTCACTAATCAAATTAATCACATTATAACAGGAATTCTACGATGACGCCATTACCAACTTGGTCGTGGTGCGATTCCTCTTCTGCGTGAGATTTCGCCACATATTTTTATATACTTCTCCTCGGCTAATTGACTTGTGCTTCACTTCATCTAATCAACAGAGTCGGCTACCTTTCCTCCCTGGAGGAACCCATCAGGATACTCGCGTTGGTTCAGACCCTCCAACTTCCACCTTACGCATCCTCTGTGTAGGATTGGCCTAGAGGGTGATACAGTTGAGAGACACATTAAGCATCGCTACACATGTGGCAGGGGACAGGCAGACCACTCGAGTTATACGAAGGACCCAACAGTGAGGAAGTGACTTACTTAGTGCCTCAACAGGCAGATAATCTGTTCGCATACCAACACAGTGAGAGAGATGAGACGTTTACATTAGCATGCGTAATGCGATGAGAAGTAAGCATGGTTGGCTTCTAGGGTCATTGAGTACGAAGAACTGCTGTGGCTTCAGGTAATAGATCATCCACTACTTGCGGCGATAGTGCTCGCATATAGACAGCCGTTTGGGTCATACTTTTTTCTCGTTTCCTCTGTTTACCACCACAAGATTATTTCATGGTCCTTCTTAAGGTAAGGATAACAATAAGGGTGTTCTTTAATTGGGGAAATCTAGTGTCCTCTTAAATAGGCTGCCTGGATTCCCTAGCCCCACTTAAGCACGGGCATCGATGCAAGCCATCCACTAGGTTCACTAAGCCAATCTTTTGTCTCCTAGCTTTTCAAAATAAAATCAATCGCGATGTCATAAAGAATTCACCGGATTTTACGCCTTTGAAGCAGAGATGCTTGGAATCTAGACAGCATCTGCCGAAATGCATTTGCAATAGCATCCTGAAATCTGGTCAAATCTAAGTCAAGCTAAAGTGTAAAAACGAATATGATTATAAAATCTCGATTAAACTCACTCTTGGATGGATGTCTTTGCCAGACTTGATTGCGTCCTAGAAGATTAATTTTTGGGACATCTGTAGATATAGAGCACTGACTACCAGGAGGACTCGTGGTTGTAATAATATCACAAAACACATTTAGAAGAGATGTGTCAAAAGAGCAAAAGCGTAAAAGACAAGCATGTCAATCAAATGAGCAGGATGTGCGTAGCAAGAATAAAAACAAGCATAAATGACGTGTAGATTCAATAATGCAGGGGAATGGAGGCCGACTGGGAACAATGGAGTCAAAAAGGGAGGCATTTTGGGTTGAGATAACACATAGTCGCCGGCAAAGAGAGGGGCTAATGGGTGAGAGAGAATCATTAAGGGGTAAAATGGAGAAAAACTCACACGGTGGGCCAATCCGCCCTCGACCAGACGCTCAACGCGTGCACCCAGACCATTCGCATGAGGAGACAAAACGGCGCCGATTCTGGAACCCGTTTTTGGAAAGTCTATCAACTTACTTTCCACCATCTCCTCTTCAGGCTGTAAGAAAGAATTGGCAAGGTTGGGAGTCGAAGATTGGACAGTTAACTGCCTTTCAGCTTAAAGTAATGAAAAAGATGCAAAGTAACAAATGGGACATTTTAAAACGGTGAATGCTAATAAAGTAATTCATCAAATCGTCAACATTTGTGCTATTTAGGTTAAACATAGAACCATTCACATCTCTTCCACCAGTGCCGATTGCATTAAAACCACGCGTGATAAAGTCTCTCCCGTTCACAAAGTTAGATGAAACTAGCAACCGATTGCAGGAGATACATTAGTGTTGAAAGTCGAAGCCAAAACATAGAAATAGAAATAACCACAAGGTTAGTAGATGGTTGTCTGTTGTCTACCACCTTGCAACCACTTCATTGTCAAATGCCTGAAATAGCGTCTTTTCCGCGAAGTAGACTTAGGAGAGACTTAAAGTGGATCAAAGAAAACCCCCTCAACTCAAGGGATCACGACACAAATGGTTAATGTAGGTCCTAATCAGGTATCAGTGAGGCCGGATTCGTTGACGCTGAACATGGAAGAGTGGAGTTCCGCGAACAGCCAGCTTGTGAATCAGTTGCTCTGAACATTCATTTCGACTACGAAATACTCGTTGAAGTTCATCGATCCAACTTCTCACTTCCTTCCATTTCGACCGTCCCTTGAGAATGATGTTGTTAAATATGGTGCTACCTTGAGTGTGGCTTCCATCACGTAACCATGGCAGCGGCGTAGGCAGCTCGAATTCTGCACCAAATGCTCGAAGGAGGCAGCACAGTGGAACTGCAGCACGTCGACACAACGGCTGGAAATATGCCACTGTACCTACTCCGATCTTGCAATTGAGCCAACTAAGCACCTAAGCTGGTTGAGCAGGATGATGGACACGGAGGTGGATGTGGTAGTAAGTAATGCTCTTCCAGCTGACTACGTGCGAACTAGCACCAAGGGCAGACGCCGCCATGCCATTGATATTGCTCCACCAGAATAAGCTAATGGGTACAACGATTGGGTAGGTAGCTGCTCCGTGAAGCAGAAGCGCAATCGTTGGAGGGGACA